GATTGTCCAGCAGCCAATAAATGACCATCTTCTCCAAAGTTCACTTTGCCTCCTTAACATAAGACTTGTTGTTGGAAGAGATGCATAAATATTAGTACTATTATGGGGCAAGAGAACACATCCTTAAACCAGCAGCTGCAAACTTTGCATTACACAAACCGGTGAAATCAACAAGGAAGCTGATTGCCCCAGACTTTTTGAAGCTATGCTGCCATCTGGTGGCAACTGCCTATTCTTATTTTATATGTTGTATATTATATTAACGATTAAGAAACAAAACACCTGATTGTGAGTTTTGTTTGTACTGCAGATTTTGCAAATCAGTTTCTCTCACTTAAGAACATAAGGAAAGCCATGCCGGATCAGACCATGTTCCATCTAGTCCAGCACTCCATTCACATGGTGGCAGCCAGCTGCCCACGGGGTCCCTCAAGCAGGGTTGGTGCCAGACCCCTGCCTGCCCAGCCCCTCAGCAGCTGGTGTGTGCAGGCAGGCCACCTCTGGTGCAGGAGGGAGCACACAGCCAGCCAGGATAGTAGCCACTGACAGCCTCCCCCTCATCAATCTCTCCAGTCCCTGCTTAAAGCCATCCAGACGGGCAGCCATCACCACTTCCCACGGCAGAGAATGCCATAGTTTAACTATACCTGATGTTCAGTTTCTACCCTAAAGTCCCACATCTGGAAGTAAGCACCTTCTGTCTTAGATGCAGGAAGGTTCTCGTGCTTTAACAAGAAGCCAGCATACTTGTATTGCCAGATGCAGCAGCAGAGTTATAACATAGAGCTGTTTGAATTCTGGCTGTGAATATGAGTCCCAAAGAGAAACATTTTGCAGCTCCCCCACCAGATATTTCAGGTTAGGATGTACTTCTCTAGGGGAAAGGAGCTGAACTTCATATACAAAGACGACTGATGAGAGAAATCTCAGTTGAAATGAAAGGTCATGGCGACACAATAAAAGATGGAAGACTTTTTTCCAATATAGTTTTTACCTACTGAACCATTAAGAGACTGGTACATAAAAACCAGCTTTGTCACTCCTGCCCAGAAGACAAATGGCAGAAGAGGCAGATCGCTGTTTTCTGCACCAACTTGAACTACTGAGCAGTCCTCAAAGATAGCTCTGTGTAGACTCTGTTGCAATAGTCTATCCCAAGTTGTCTAATTTGAAATTCAGTTCATATTATGTGTGTAGTAACTCTGCATAAAAATTGATGCTGCATCATCATACATTTTATGCACCCCTTTGTCATAATGTCTGGATTCTATTATACGTACTTAATATTTCCAACTGGCACTTCAGAACAAGATGAGATTTCATGCCCTGTCCTCTTGCGTGAAATTCTTATTTGACAGAGTTATGTGCCTTCTATTCTTAGAGCTGAAGTCCCCACTGGTATGATCAGCCGCTGCATAGGTGTGTGAAGCAGAAACAGTGCAGGAGCTCTGAAGGCAAAATGCTACGACAGGATGCCTTGGACCTTGTTGGTTCTTGTTTAAAGCATGCCACCTTGAAAACAGAAGGACCTTTTCAGGGCTTGTTTTATGCATAATGGGTTGCCATGTTACCCAGCCCATACAACTGAGCCCACCTTGGGTAAAAGTTGCAGAACAAGAGTGGCATTAACACACACACACACACACCCTTCTCAGGCTTAACAGTCTTGCCTGTGCCACCTGCAGGAACAGCTCCTCCAAGTGCCCAAATGGCACACCAGAGGGGCTGTCATGGGTTTACCACCGTTTTTAAAAAAAAGCACTCCAAATGTATGCATTTCCTCCCAAATTTCGTTTAGTCAGACTGGCACAAGTGTGGAGGTGCAACAGTTTGCAAGTCTGAAAATGGGAAGCCTCACCTGGGGAATGTCCTTGGGAGTACCTGCCGTCAAGGTGCACATGGACCGACAATGATGTGTGATGGGTTTACCATCAAAAGGTAAGCTGTCCAGGGAGAAAAGCCATGAATGGTCTTAAAGTGCTTGTGAAATGTGGTTTGTCCTTGTTTATAGAAAGAACTTTATGGTTTTGGAGTGCCCCATGGGTCCATTGCCCCCGCCTTCCACCTATTCCTGACACTTTCGGTGCTGCAGAGGGTGGAAAAGTGCAGTCAGTCCCTTTTGCTGGCCCTTGCCTGCGACGACTTCCAAAGGCGAATTTGTTTTTAACGTGAAAGCCCTCATTGAGGCAGGGCGAAATTGAGTTGCTTCCACAAGGACGTATACAGATTCATATTTATGTGTCCCTGTCCAAATTACCCTACTACTCTATTTAAGTGGTTCCTATAAACTTACCTGTCAGGCTGCTCATGAAGTAACCAACCCACTCTGGCTTATAGCATGGGCTGTGAACCAAGCCTCCAAGTACACAGCCAACGGGACACAGTATCCCAGTCTGTGGGAAGAGCTCTTGCTGCCTGTCCACACGGCTCAGCAAGAGCCCCAGCAGGATACAAACCACACGGTACTTCTCCCAGCTGCTTCTGGGGAGCTTTTGTTGAAGGGAGAAACCGAACACGGAAGGGGCTGCAATCCAGATGGGAAGGGGAAAGAAATGTGCCAACAGCCAGGTCCCAGGCTATGCTTAGCTATGCCCGTAGGAGCCAGCCCTCCTATGGATTCCCCATGGTTTGTGCTTACTTTGCTGCTTGGACATGTCATGGCATCAGCCTTAAGAACCCAAACATCTGGCCAGTTGGGGTACGATTTTACAACGCTCCATTGGACACCCAGCTGTACAACAGGTAGATAGATAAGCACAAGATACAAGTCTTTTCACTGACTTTGCGTTGCTTTCCTCACACTATACTTCACTAAGAACTGATCAGCTATTACATTCCCATATGCCAAAGCCAGATATAGCAATCAGGCGACGTGAGAAGCTATTTTCATATATTGCCATGGCAATCTGCATCTTTTTGTTGAAATTAAAGTCAGCCAGCATAAAGCATCAATTGCAGCACTGTTTTAGGCTGGAAGGGGAAAGATTGGCTATTTTCCGTTAAAGGGAAACATTAAAATTACTCTGTCCAAAGGTGTCTTGGCCCTTTCTGCTCCCCTAGAAATAGATGAAGGGGCACCCAAATCTTTCCACCCTCGTTTGCATTGTTGTATACTGGTTGCATGGCTTTCCCTATGGGATTTCCTTCCCCCTCCCACCCAGTCCCTTGCTAAGTGTACCTTCTATATAGTATTGCTACAGTGGCAGCTTACAAGAGACACCGCAACAGAGGTGGGACAGAACAGGAGCTACTGTGCAATGCTGCAGTGAAGGTGGCAGAGAAAATCTCTCCACAGGAACCTATAAACCTAACAGCAACTGGTTCAAGGCTTGGCATATGGCAAAGCCTGCAGAATCAGGGCCCGTGTTTAATTGTGCAGAGATTTTCATTGATGAATTAATGTTGTAGCCCAATGCTAAACCAGATCCCACCATTTCCTATTAATTCACTCACAGGTCAAAGGCTGAGGACTGAGGTCTACCTTTCAGCCCTACCTTGACAGTATGATAACCTCATGTGTTTCCTTAAAGGAACAAAATCTTAGAAGCTTACCTTGTTCTCTATTTTGTTCCTTTCTGTCTTCCATCATCAGGATTCATTTTACTCCTTATACTGCACAACTACTCATTGATTCACACTTGGTTATCTTCCTTTCATAATTCCCTCTGCACAACAGGGTGTTATTCCTAGAAATACACAGACAGCAGCCACAGAGGAATAAAAATGCTATATGGTCACGTTACCTAATGTTGAACAATTTGTGATCTGATATTTTAGAGTGTTGCACCTTTTTTGGATTTTGTTTGGCCATCACAGTTTTCTCCTCTAAGTCAGTCTCTGAAATTTTACGGCCAGTCTTGTAGATCCATTGTGCATCCATATTGGGGCAAAAGAATAAGCACAGAGACTGAATCCCCCATCTCACAAAGGCAAGTTTTCCAAAAGCACTGCTATAAGCAGTATCTTCTTGGTAATTAAGATAATGGCCTAGTAATCCAAGCTAAGTAATCCAAGCTGAAAGCCAGTGTAGTGTAGCAGTTAAGAGCGCAGCACTGGAACTCAGGCAATCTGGGCTCTAGTCCCCACTCGGCCATGGAGCCCACTGGGTGACTTTGGGCCAGTCACAAACCCTCAGTCCAACCTACCTCACAAGGTTGTCGTTGTGGGGTAAGCTGGAGAGCAGGAGGAAAAGAATGATGCAAGCCACTCTGCAGTTGTCATAAAAGTGGGATATACATCAAATAAACAACATTCATGCTCCAGATGATGGTATACTTGTGCTCTGAATACCCAGCCTCAAAAGTTTCTCAGCAGCTCCAACAGCATCTGGTGTGTGGGAAGGCAAAATCCCACCTGAGATAGAGAAGTATGTGTTTAATTGGATTTCTTAAACAAAAACATCTGATTAGAACACCAAATAGTGTGAAACAAGACCTGAATGTGGTCTGCAAAACACCCTGTCCACTTCTCTATCTATGCACTGCCAGGTGCAGCAATGCCCTAGCAGTGATGCCCTTCAAGGCCAGGAAACTAGGCTGCCCGTTTTGTATGTGATGCCCTTTTGTCTAGCATGGATTAAATGCTAGAAAGCTTATCTGCTGCTACCGTCGAATTTCTCAAATCATGCAGAGTGACCAAAACACGTCGCTTTCGGATCAAGCAGATCTTCTCTGGTGGGCCCTTTGGCAGCTTAGTTGCTAGCAACTGCCCGAGGCCCACGCACCGGCTCTGCTCTTCCTCCAAGGAGTGATGAGGCGAGGCAAGCTGAAGGTGATGAGGGAAGACCATCCCAGTGAGATTCCCAGCTGAGCAGAGGCTTGAATGAGGAGCCGAACACAGTCCTGTTCAAATGTTTGCACGGCCACATTGTAGGCATAGCCAGCACCTCCCTCGCACTGGGTGCCACGTCTTGGAGCACATTACAGTGTCAAGAAAGCCATGACACTCCACTGTTGTGCAAACAGGACCAATCCAGCCTCCCGGAAGTACAAGACAAAGCATTTGAAACACGGCACAGTACAGTTATTTATTGAAATACTTGAAAAGGGTAGTCATGGGGAAAAATAGGTTGGACAGGAAGAATTTCCATTCGTCAGGGTTACTTGGCCTTCTTTTGTTTTAAAAATGCCACCTGCGGGTAAATCCAGCCAAGTGCAGAATGCAGTGCAGACCATGCAACTAATCTACTACTCAGTAGAGTAAAGTACTGCATACTATTTCATTTCTACCCCATACACATCTTTAAGGAGAGTAAGGGATGAAACAAATACTTTTGGTGAATTATAAACAGTTATAATATACAAATCGATTGCCCACTGAATGTGAAACAGCTACAAAACAGAGGAAAATGAGAGTACTGCAGGATGGCACACAGTGTCAGATGTTGACGAGTAACAACAGCACTTGCTTCCGATTTAACAAAGGGAACACACCATCCTCCTCCTCCTCCTCCTCCTCCTCCTCCTCGACGTGTGGCACATTTAGTTGTACAATGCAGGGTAGAAAAAAATCAATCCAAGTTCAGTCAAATTTGCACATTAAAACACTCCTGTGAAATATGATCAGTGGATGAGTGAGCAGTTCTGTTACTAAAGACAAAGAAATCAGCCCTCCCCAAACCCTGTAGCCCTAAAAGAAAACTTCAGATGCCTGTGAAATAAAGGAAGGGAGGAATGATGATCCTGGACTTGAGCCTACACTGCTGAAATTAAATTCCAATTGCACTCTCTCTCACTCCATTTGAAACATAGAACAGCGGTGTTTCCAATAACTTTTAGGGGCATCATAACTCACTGCCTTAATATATACAAGTTATTTTACAATAATTCCCTTTTGGCCATCGAAATGTAGCCACTGTAATGCAAAACCTCTCTTCCACAACCTATGCAATACTGCAAGTTCAGAACTATCATTTAAAATAATCTTATCATGAATTACAAATAATAAAGTAACTCGCATATATAAATATTTCTAGCAGTTTTAGAATGTACATAAAAGTTTCTCTTTTTTCCCCTTTGGTACCCTCCCTCCCCAAAACGTGCGGTCTTCCACATCATCGCTGCTTTAGTAATGCTCTGTACATGGCGAAGCCCAAAACAGCAAAGACTGTAGCACCAAAACTTGCTCGAAGCCAAAATGTAGAGCTCTTGAGGTCTGCTTGTGTCACATGCCTGAAATACAAAGCATTATAAAAATCTGATATTATAATGGCAATATCAGAAGAAAACACATAGCTGACAACGCATAAGCTTTTGGAAACATGGAACACTTGTCAGTTTTAAGTTAGTTCTAGAAATGTGGTGAAAACCCTTTTGCTGTAACTGTACAGAAAACTGTTTCACTATATGCTAGGTACCAGATCAACCTGACTGAACTGTCGTTCAATTAACATTTGGTGGCAGCGTGGAATGAATTGCTCAGTCATGTTTGAAGCTAGGCTGGGCTTCGTATTACAAGGCTGGTCTTGACCAAGGAAAATTCTTCGAGCAACCCTTCTATTTCCCTTTTTGCTGCCGAAAAACTCTTACCCTGAGGAAGAGCCCTGTGCTGCTTGTAAGTCTGCAATTGTAAAAAAAACTGAATGACCCACAGGCAAGTGGGTTAGAAGCACTGATGGATTAATCTGAAAGCTGATATAATAAATATAAGGAAAGCCTCTCTCTCCCACTCAGTACAGCATATGTGAAGCAGTTTGAGAAGAGTCAGCATCTTAGTGATGCTTGGAGGGACAAAGCAGGAATAATCTGGCTGCCCAAAGTTGGCATGCCAAGGTAGCTAATTCTCCCCAAGTCCATTATTTTCAAGTGAGGAATCATTTGGCATCAGAAAAATCAGGACAGCATCTCTTGGGTTGAAACGGCATGGCAGTAATAGCGTTCAATCCTAAGTTTTTGCTTTTCTCAATTTAAGCTTCTCCATCATTTTGATACAATGAAATGTGTTGCTTTGAAGAAGTGAACTGACAAGTGCAACACTTTCCCAAAAACTAGAACAGTAAAATGACAACAGCAAATGTATTTAGCAGATCAAAAGAGCACACAAACAAGGTCGTCCAGATGTATTTTAACACTGACTCTAGCTACCTCCTCCCTCAGCCCCTCCTTCCGGAAGATTTCATTTAAATATCATGAGCATTAACCCATGTGGGTTCATGTCAGTGTAATATCTGGAAAGCCTGAAGTTTACCCATCCCATGTTATTACTGTACACGTGTATGTGCAAACACACGTGCACATATAAATATGTCTTTGGTGGGCTGCCATGGCACTCAAATCAGAGGATGTCTAAGAAGCAACCAAAGGATTGCCCCTCCAGAATCATCTAAACTTCGACTTAAATGTAGTAATGATACCATCATTGGAGAGAAGCGAAATTGTGCTGTGTGTCCCCTGGCCAGCTGCAAGAGGGGAAGGAAACTACCCTCAATGTAGCTGCATGAACACTTACACTCTAGCACCTTTGCTCCTCCCTCCTGGCAGGGCTTAAGCATAATATCACAGCATTCACATCGTCATGCCATGAAACTGTTAAAAGGCAGGGTGTTAGCAAACGGGGACTGATATTAGCAGAGGAAAACAAAATGCAACAGAATAGAGTGAGTATGGGAGATGAATGCAAACAACAAGCTCAACAAATTCTGAAGAAAACCGAAAAGGGACAACCCGTGGCAGAACGTCATCACACAACCGTTTGCGAGCATGCTTCGTTAAAGCGTCTTGTTAAAGGTGGGCTTACCATAATGTAATGGACAGAAGCTTTCAAACAAAGGGTACTGCAGTGACCTTGATTCAAGGCACACTGATTTTCAAATTGACTGTTACGGAAGTGATTTAGGACTACCATAGAGAGCAAGGAGGCCAGAAGTCCTAGGCATTTAAAAACCCAAATGAGAAATAATGGGAACACTTCAAAGGTGCGTGACACAGAGATACTGTACACTCACACCATGACATCAGGCAGAGCAGGTTCTGATGTGCATGTTAAAGAACTACAAGGATTCTTCACAGAAGCAGGGATTATTACGCCACTATTATGTACCGCCACAAAACAGGCCAAAACGGATGGTTATTTTTCAGGCGCTCAGGCAAGAATACTGTCAATAATGTTTATATGTCAATACCCCATGCAACATTAATAGCCTTGTTGGTTTATTGCCGCCACTCAGTGAAGCCAGGTCCAAAACCACCTGCAATCAATCTCCAAATTGTTATTCTTGTGGGATGTGATCTTGAAGCGGACCAAACACAAACACGTCTAGCTCGCGTTAGTTCTTTCAAACGGTCTTAAAGCAAGGCATTTGTATGGTTTCTCCTTTAGTGAAGGGTCCCTTAGGATCGTGTTACCTGTCTTCCAGTAACTGTGGATCAAGGGATGACTCCATGAAGATGGAATTCTCCACAGAGCTGACGGCGTGCACCTGGTGAATAAGACTGCTCCCCTCGTCTGCTAACAGCATGGCACCCAACTCATCTACACGGGCTCTTAACCTTTTTACACACATGCACACAGTTGGCAGTTCATAGCATGGCTCAAAACAGCAAATAGCACACCAACATGGCATAGTCAGCTACCGATCTGTTTTTAAGTAGAGAGCATATGCTCCAGGGGACAGGTTAATGAAGGGGCCTGTCACGTTAATTATGGATTCAAAGGGAATCTAGGGGTTGGATCCAGATTGACACTGACTCAACTGCACTGCACTGGTGGGAATGGACTTCCCTGCTTTCCCACAGAAGCCTTTCTGGGCCCCTGAAAAATCATACACGAGATAGTCAGGAGAACTTGTTGAACAGGGTGAGGCAAGGGGGATCCCAAATCTGGGCAGAGAGAGGGCAGATCCTGGATCTGAACCCCCGTCTCTAACCAAAGTATTTACTGGGAGCTAATCCAAGCAAAAGAACTGCTACGAGACTTGGACATTTCATTTTGGGTTGTCTCACTAAAATTAACACAATGTGACTCAGAGACTGTTAAACTTGTGAGAGGAACTTTACTTTCATTTGTTGTTATTTCAGGTATGTACCTTTATTAATAAGGAAGGGGTTTTTAAAAAACAAAAACAAAATAGGCTTCTTGTCAAATTTAAACAATGAAAAACATTAGATCAAAAAGCAACTCAGCTGCCCAAATACTGTTTTAAAATTTGCAGATTCTCTGTAATTTGCACAACGTTCCCTTCAACATGTTTAGTGAGTTAAGAATTTTGAATGCATGAATCAGTATTAAATGCAAACTTCCCAAATTTGCTGCTTTTCAGCTTATTTTTTACAAGTGTTTGTACAGACATGCAGTCTCCATGGGCAGATATGGGAAATCCTATGCAGAGTTAAGTGGTGACAATCCAAGGAAAGATTCTGACAAATGTTACCTAAACATTCTTGATTCATGTAAAAGCAAATTGGGGTAGGGGGACATTTGGACAGGGGCAAATGTCCTTCCTGTGCTTGCCAGCCTCCCCCTTGGAGCTTTCCTACTTGCATCTGGGACCTACTATCCTTGGGATTAGCTACAGAGTGAAGAAGAGATGAGGGTGTTTATAGGGAAGAATTGGTGTCTAAATCAACCCCTGCCCCCCAGCACCATTAAGGAGTATAAGGAAAACATGGGCTTGGGAAAACATTTCTCTTACAACATGTGGTTCCACCATAAATACTCATAAAAACAACAGCAAATAATTTGTTTCTAACACACAGGTGGCAATTCTCACTTCACCTTTGAAACCCATTTACTGTGCAACTTTAACAGAATATTCTCAGAACATATATGGGTACAATTTGTACTGAAATTGGATTTTCTATCTTAAAAAAAAAATAGAGCACAGGCCCAAGGGTTTATCAAGGTTTCCGGAAGAAATTTTTGTTTAACATAACCAATGTTTTTTACATTAATAAGCAAAGGGCATGTTTTCCAAATAGAAACTGCAGACCTTATATTTTGTAATTCTTGTTTTTACTTTTTAGCCACCTGTTATTTCATTTTGGCAATGTAATAATTGGGACTTGTGGCTGAAATTAATGAGTTATAAGACCATTTACATGTGAATGAAACATTAACTGAGCAGACTTAGTAGTTTTAAATGGGAAACTTGAAACTATTAAACAAGAGACAAGAACATATAGAAGCTGAGACATTAAGTTTGCTTAATGCATCAATCAATCCTTATTCCCTCAAAAGATGCCGTGATGTTAACAAGGAACTTAGTAAGAGTTGTAACAAGACTCCAGGATTCCTGCATGCAAATACGGGGACATTACTGTCATTTAACTATCAAGCAAATCAGTCACAGACATAAAAGTTAAGTAGCAGTTCACATGAGTAACACTGCCCATACCAACCTCAAGACTACCTTTCAAAACCAAAATGGTTTAAAGAGAAATTTGGGATGGGAGGGCAGGAAAGGAACTGATAATCCATGCATTTGATTAGGCCAGGCTCTCTACCAGTTTTGCATTTAGGACCCTGAAATGGAACAATATTGGGCCTGCCCAAGTTAAGAGTAACCAAAACAAAAACAGTGCCTTTCCAACTACAAACCAAAAGAATAACAGCATGAGGGCTACAGAGGCTTAATTGTGTTTTTAAGAACCCGAAGGAAGTACAATAAGGTTTTTAAAAGTGCAGAGTAGCTTTGTTAGCCACCCACTACACATTACATCCTTAGAGGGAGGAGACTGCTCATTTGCTACCAAAACAATCCAACTTCTTGCCCAAGCAAGCCTCACCTTTTCAAGTGAGAAACTGTATGTTCTGCGGCTTAGGCAAGATCACCTCATTCTTCCACAGACTCCTGACATAGGCCCAGACCAATCACATGGGCTCTTACTTTTATGAAGGCAGAGAATGAATTGCTTACTGTGTCCTACTTATCTAACCACATCAAAGGCAACCTTCTAAGGAAGACAACATCAAGTGGGCTGGTAGGGGCAAGTAGAAGAGCCTTGTAAGAAGAATGGGTGGGATCCGCACAATAGTGACTGGCACTTATGGATCAAATAATCCTATAGACAGGTCACATGCCAGACATATTCAATTCTATGCATGTTTGTTGGGGAGCCAAGAAACCATTGAAACAAGTATGTTCTACTGGGAAATCCAAGCCAAACAATTGTGAGCCCTTTCAAACCTTCAGGAGCAAGGGAGCTGGGGAATCAAAAGTAATAATCTGATTTATACTGATTGAAAAGCAGGTGGCTTTGCAAAGCTATTTAGCTGAGAATGCACAAGCTTTATTAAACCAACAGACTTGTTTTAATTAATACTTGGCACAATCTATCATGATCCACATAATCAGAGGTTTATAGCTCAAATCCACTTGTAATTCACTTTGTTTCCAAGAAACTCAAAAACAATGGAATAAATGGAAAACATTACCAACTCTGAATTTTCTATAAGAAACCTTTCTAATATGACAATTGCAGTTTCACAGGATCAAGGAAAAACTCTCAAGTAGAGATTCCCACTTTTTGAAATGTAATGTCACTCACAGAGGGTTTCAAGCCAGAATAAAATGCTGCTAATGATACAAGAGAGACACTTTTTTAATATTTCAACAAGGCAGACAGAGAAATCCAGCTTCTAACCATAGATGAGACGTGCAGACAACAGAAAAGAAGCAGCCAGGCTGTTGGGTTGAAGACAAACACACAATGCATTAGAAGACACTTTAAGGAGTGGCATAAGAATGTAGTAAGAGGAGAGTAAGTGCCAGCCAGACAAATGAAAATGAACACCTAAAGGAAAAAACAAATTAAACATAAAAACAATCCAGAATGGTTCAACTGTTTCCTCTAAGGCAGGTTGCGTACAATGTTTTGAAGACAGCCCTGTTCCTAGTTAAATCTATAAAGGTAAAACTTCTGGGAAGTTCAAACCAACCATCCTACATGACACAATGGGAACACCTTCCTTACAATGAATTTCTATGTCAAGAATGACAGGAAAACATCCAAAAGGGATGTGGATCCACAGCCTTCGTTGTAACGTTCTTGTAATTCAAGTCCAATAATTTTCACCTTTGCTTTTCTCAAGATTCAAACTTTAATCTTGCTGTTCCCTACTTACATAGGAGTCTACTTTAATTTTCATCTAGACAAAAAGAATGCTTTACAAGACTACAGCCTGGTTCACGTGTCATGATAGGGCTCAAGCACACCTGGGATATGCTTCTTGACTTCTCTTTCTGAAGGCAGGAGTGGCTAAATCACCAGGAACTCTGTTGCCTTTCTCTAAACAAGCCAGAGACATAAGCCAATAGCAAACTCTGGCTTATAAGTCTGGCTCAGTAGGGAAGAGATCAAAGTAAGTTTCCCTTACTGTTACATTGTCTGAGAAGCATGAAAATCAAGAACCTTAATATTTATGTACGCTTTTATTTATTACATTTCTACTCCACCCAATAGCTGAAGCTTGTTGCTCTTAAACTTCAGAAGAAATGACACTCTGTTCTTTTTAAGGACTTCTGAAATAAGCTTCTCACCCCAGAGCAAAATCATGCTTCAAACATGTGCCACCCAGGGAAATTTGAGCAGCTGGGCAGAGAAATTCAGACTGCAGCTACATTCACAAGCTGAAAGCCTGTAGGCAGTTTTGCGCAGAGACTGGAAGTGATATGCAGTGTGTGTGTTTGCACTGAGTTGACCCACACACATACAAGTGAGATGGGAGCACTTCTATGCAGAAGAGTGAGGTTATTGTTTGCACAGTGGAAAAATAATGGTTGCCATTTGTGAGCTGTGTGAAACAGGCATACTAAAGAATACAGAAAAATAAGCAGCCATGGATTCCTTGCAAATTTGATTTTTCTGAAGAGGAAGGCAGCTAATTTGGGGAAAAGCCAGTTCTCTCGGTATGCTCAGACCTTTTTTTATTTTGGATGAAGGAGCATTCAGTCACTTGAGAGCTTCTACTCACCTTTAGTTTAGAGAATACACTCAGATTTGTCACCTCAGCTATTACTGGTGACCTCCCTTTTCATTTACTTTAATTATTTTTTCAATCTACCTAATAGCAAACATTATCTTCTTGAGGGAGTAGAGACTTCTCCCCCAGTGGCATGTGCCTTCCACAATGAAGACAGAAAGCCACCTGAGAGGGAAAGTCCCACCTCCACCTCCAACACAGCAACTGCTCTCTAACCTTGACACCCTTTGATTGCCTATTATGCATAATTACAGGACTTGACAACATAGTGCTATCAATCTATAGCACTTCCTGCTCTCCTCTGTGTGTGGTAAAAGGCCTTTTAATGGCCTCTTGCCTCCTTACCAGGACTGCAGAAAGGCTGACTGGACAGCACCCAAAGTACAGTGTTAACAGTCCATGAGCATCTCAAAAGGGCTCTGAGGGAGTCCCTTCCTACTTAAACATTCCCTAGCAAAAGATAACAAGAGCTGTGCAGCTGGAATGAAGCATGCAGATAGGGATGTGAGGGTTTCACTATGTGAACACTTTCCTATTCCTTAGGGATTTTGTCACTACAGATGTAAATAGCTATTTTTAAAAATGAAAATTTTCCACAACTACCATCGTATCCCCTATTCATACCATGAGTACCTTCAGACTTGCATTTTGCCAAGCACAGACATCTTCCAAAATGTGTAATTATAGCAAGAGGTCACCTACAGTATGGCTTCTGACTAGGGACAGCTTCTGTGACATAAATAAAATCAATCTGAGCTGCCATTCTTTTACTAGGCCAGTTTAATTCTTAAGGATCTGCTAATTTATTTTCTCTGTGTATAACAGAGAAAAGGTTCAACTCATGATGATATCATATAGTAACATAGAAACAGAGTGAGTCAGAAGGGGCCATCTATTCTGACCTCTGGCTCCAACCAGCTCCACTCATGACATGCAGCACTGTTTGCAATACTAACAAATCTTTACAGAATCTCCTTCTACCCTTCTAAGCCCACCCCTTAAGATCTGGGTTAGAGATCCTTCTTCAAGATCCCTCTTTGAAGGAGATCAGGAGAATGGCTATCCGAAGGGCCTTCTCTGCAGGGGCGCTCCAGCTGTGGAACATGCTGCCCAGAGAGGTGCATCTGGCTCCAACACTTGATTCATTTTGGTGCCAGGCCAAAACATTTTTATTTTCCCAGTATTTTAAGATCTGATGATTGTTTTAAAAATGGGTTTTTATTTGTTGGTTGATGGTGTGCTCTATTGTTGTATTGCCATCCTGAGACCTCAGTGAAGGACAGGATAGAAATACTTCATATTTGCTAGTTGCCAACTGCCTTTTCTAGAGTATTTGCATGGCTTGAGCAGAAAATGATTTACTTAAAATACCAGTAGCATTTTGTTAGAATTTGTTGTTAAATGCCACAGATCTCACTGCATCATATCCATTCACAGGGACAAAAGATAGGTATTTTGACCACTGGAAGTTAATTCAACTGGAACATTTTACGAACAAAAATACACAAATTTAAACCCTACAAATTAGCCCCATAAAATAATGCCAACCAGTCTCCCAGCTAGAGATTTCAGAGGTACATAATCGGCTGGCAAGCCATTTTAACCAAAATTGCCCTACAGGAAAACTAGGTGCTGATCAAGGATGTTCGGTTTCTCCACATGCCTTAACTTGCATATAACTTTCTGCATGAAGCTTATTCTGAAAATTTACATCAACATTACGTTTATAGCTCTGCAGGGCTGTTCATATGTGGGTCGTAAATTGTGGGTCAATTAGCAGTAACAAACTGGTCTTAATTAGAGGTTGTTCTGTGATGTCCAAACACAATATTATGGGTTATTGTGGGATAAAAAATCCACAGTTAATCTAAGAACAAATAATGAGTTATTTCTTAGAACAAACTGGGCTGAATGGAGGGTGCATATATAAAATGGTGGTGACATGTGCTATGACAAGTCTTGGGTTGATTTAGCCATGATTTGCTGCCATTACATGTGAACCAGGTTGTTATTGAGAGCAAGGGTTTTGTTTCATGCTAGAGGTCTTAATAGCAACCTCAACTCCTCTACATCGTTATTTTTACTAAATTGCTAATTAATAAAATTATAGAGCAAGCATCATTTGAAGAGAAACACTTTCAGAGCAAAACCAATACCTTCCTTATTAGGTACAGTTGCCTGCTGAATGAATATGGAGTAAAGGGTCTGAATCAATTACAGAGTTCAACCATTTGTTTAATAAAATACTTTTAAAGCACGCCTGGTTCCTAGTAAATAAAATCAAAGACCTGTTAAGAACTGCAGTGAAGAGTTTGTTCTTTACAGATTGCAGCAAGTCTGAGTTGAGGAGGTTCTGACAGATGCAAAATGTACACCTGTTGCAGGTGCACATACAGCGTAACCGGGCATGGCTGCGAAAACACACAGAAGGACAGGAGTTGAAATCTCAGGCAGAAACCAGGTCTGAGCCAAAACCAAGAGAGAGGTGGGAACAAATGGGTAACATTTGGGGGAAAAGTGAGGCAAGGGTAGACTAAAGTTGTGTTGATTTCCAGGAGGAGATATTTTTAAGAAAATGCATTGTGCTAATATGCCTGCATCCCCTTGAGGAAAAAAAGGAATTTTTCTTTTATGCTGAGCTTAGAAAGAGTAGGGGAATGGAGCATGCACTCGCATTCCAAGAGGCAACTCCTCCTAAATCCACCAAATGCATGTAATTAAATTGTATCCCCAAACTGAACAACTTCATTAAGTAACAGTTACCCTTACCTCTTCCATCCCAAACAGCACACACATGCTTAAGAATCAGGGACATTAAAGAAGTCACATACAGCATGGTATATATTTTTTCATATATTTAAATATTCCAGGTTAGCCAAATGCATTAAGCAAAAGCAAAACAAAACACACCCACCCACTTTGACCTTTGATGTCCTCCTTTCAAACTGCACTAAAAGGTGATTTTGCTTTTATGGAACAGCAAAGATCCATCTTGATCCTACACCTTTTTGTGGTGTAAGAAATTACTTTTTTCCATGACAGTATCTATCAGTGGTTCTTCACCAGAAGAGGCAGAAGTGGAAAGTCCCTGTTCAAAGGCAGTACACCTATGTTTCCCAGATGGGGAACAAACTGCTGAGGGCTACTTTCATCCTGACTTGTTTGGAAGCTTCACAAGACCTGTAGCTAACCTGAAAAGAATATTCCTGGACAAGGCAGTGTCACAGCACTAGCACAAAAGGCACAACACTAGCGTAAAGCAATACTAAACAAAGAGAAAAAGAGGCAATACACCTCTGAAATTCAGAGGCAAACCACTGCGGTTTCGTGTTGACTAGAAGATGCCAATAATGTTATGCCACCATGAGTTTATGTTTGCCCAGCATCAATAGTGCTAGCACACTGGATACTGCCTGCATTTTCATTTGCAAAAGAAAATGAAAAAGCCCTGTTCTTGTTTCTTGTTGCGCCAAAAATGTGAAGGCCTTTAAGGAAACTTGGTGGTGGTGGTGGGGAATTCTTCTTTTTCTTTTTACCCAACCCATCACATCTCTAAATGGAGTTTAGAGTTGTATTGAATAGCAACTAATGCACTATTCTGAATTTGCTACTTGAAAATGATGCCTGACCCAAGCAAGTAGAAAATGTCTGATCTACCAAATGCAAAGGCTGCAGATTGGGCTTGCTTGGCAACAGAGTGAGATGCGTAGTGAGAAACAGCAATTTTAATGTACATTAAATCTCAGCCTAACATGAAATACAAGGTATCTATTACATTTTAGGAGCAGCATGTGACCTATATAAAAATAAACAAGCTAAGGAATCATCAAGCAGCACATTTTTGTAGTACTTCTAGAGAGGCAGGGGGAGCGGGAGGGAGGAAGGGAGCGGGAGGGAGGAAGGGAGGGGGGGAGAGAGAGGGGGGGGTGCTGCAAGGATCAAGAACTGACTTTAGCACTGACTGTGAGACAGTTTGCTTAGCAAAACCATAGCTTGAAACTGCCTAAAGATATTCCATTTTCCACACAAATGTATTAAGTGGTTTGAACCCTCCTAAGTGTTTATAAATGCCAATTACTGTTTTATTTTACACTGCCTGTGGTAACTGAGCACATGAAAAAGTTCCTTTTTAGTCAAACGATGAGTAAAAATAGATTTCTGTAACCAGAGTACTGAATAATCATATCGTTGTGCCATTCTATCCTAGTACAGCGCTTACCACTACTGGAAATAAGAATTGTAATTGGGATACCGTATCATGTTGGTTAAAGCAGGTGTCTATTTAAAAGAAAGAGAGGGCACTTAAGCAGCACGCACCAAAGCTTGGAGCAGTCTCTTTGCCTCCAGCATGCCAGGGTCTTCAATTCCAAAAGGCAGACAGAAGGGTCACAGGAGATGGCTCTGGACTTCTGAGCTGAAAGAGTGCGCCCCATTCCGGCAGCCTCCAGCTCTGGCCTGTCAGTGCATGTGTGCTTAACTATCCTATGGAAAATGAAACCCTATCTTTCTCCCAGAAATGCCCTGCTCCCCTTCATAAAATGTAGTATGACCAGGATCCAAAGACCCAGTTTATACATACCTAAAGGACTGGCTATGCCCAATAGGGGCCTTGACCTTTTCCTCCGCAAAGCAGACTAGTGTGCCTTGTCTCAAAAGTAGTTTGCAAGCCTCCTCCATCTGAGAGAAGTGGTTTGCCATGTGGCAGGGAGAGCTGTTGGGTACATGGAACTGGTTCTACGATTCTTTGCATCTTGGCCCATATGTATAAGGGCCAATTAAAGAGATGTGCAGATATAAACTGATACATATAACTGAAAATTAGGTACCATCTTGAACACTCAAACACTCCATGTGTAGCTAGGAATGTAACCTTTTATCCATTTGTGAAACTATATCCTTAGCAGCAGTGATTTCACAAAGGTAAATACAAATGTTTGACCTGAAGCTTTAGTTATCTCCATTTTCCCCCAGCGAACAAGGGTCCAGTCTCCTTGGGACATGCTCACAACTCTTTGTTAATGAATGAGGAATGACAATGAGCAATGCAGTGCATGCACACATGGAGAGAATCGAACCCCATGTCTTTAAGCTGGAGCCAATTCTGCAATGTATCCAGATTTTTTTTCCTCAGAAATATGGTATGTGCAATAACTGGCACACAGACGCTTAAAACAAAATAATTTAAATCGTTTGTATTTCTCTGCCAATTTAGCATTGAACGCTTTCATTTAGTTGCATCACTAACATCTCCCTCTGTTGCTAAACACAATTTCAGTGAGGCACAGAGTTCCATCCTTATGGCCACAACAGCATGCAAAGTTACCATGATCCATGCAGTCTGAGTTATGGGTTGCTCTGGATACTTACGGATACATGGCCATCGTCGTCAGCTTAACAAAGATGTCCTTACTTGGTGCATCAACAGTGTTACAAGAAAAGGCTTGCGGTGGAGGCATTTTGTGTTTTTTGCAGAACTCGGCTGGGGAAATGTTGTACTCTTGTCTAACTTCATGCAGGTCTGACTTGGCAGCTACCACTAAGCAAGGTATCCTACTGTCCATGAAGTGTTGCTACATGTTAAAAGTAAATAAATACATGGAATTAAGATGTATACAAACGGAGTAACCTTCACTGACTGGACTCTATAAAACCACAAATCTACGTAAGTAAGCATCCAAATCCTTTAGATTTGCTTTCCACAAACATCAAACAGAAAGGCTGCTTTTGAAATCACTGTTTCAAAAGCAGTTCGAGAGATGATCTATGGGTGAGGACAGTTCAGAGAAAGATGAAAAAGGCACCAGGCTTGAATAAACTTAGTTCACTTACTACTATAACACAATTTAAAAGACTTACACTGCAGTCTTAAGTATGCATACACAGTGATAATTTCCACTGGCTTTAACTGGATTTATATTCTGGTAAGTAATCTGAGGGTTATACTCTTAGTTACCTTTGTTTCAACCAAACTGAACTTCAGAATCAGTATCTTGAATGCACACCTGTTCTTAATTATATTTATGTTTCATTGAAATCAACTGATGAACCTCAAATCAGTACAGTGAGCAATGTCACTTGATGGGTAAGCAAGCTGAAATGTCACATTTGAACTATTTTATACAATTTAGTTCTTGGTACCTGCTCTTTAAATATCAGTTTTCAAATTTTACAGTGGGGATTTTATCTGGAAGTTTCACTGATGAATGTGAATTGCTGGAAGCTTTAAAACATTTGCTGAAAAATTTATTGCATGTGGGATAATATTTTTAATGATAACCATTTCACTCACCAATTGAATGCATCACCACTATGTGGTACAGTTCTGAACACTGTAAATCACAGGGTCAGGCACTTTTAAGCTGTTAAGTGAACTTTGATGACACATGGCAGCCTATGCAGAAATTATTTCTGTGCAGGAAATTTCACTGTATGTGAAGCAGACCATAAATGAAATCTGTCCCACTTCTCCTTGTGGAATATATTGTAATAAAATTGGAATATATTGTAATAAAAATCTTTATGTATGATTTGCACAGTTCTGAAATTTTTGAAAGTTTAAATTTTATCCCACAAAACCCTATGGCTTCAGAGCCAGAACCTAATTAACCCTTAGAACAGGATAACTGGGAACCTAGCTCGGTTGTAGAAAACTCAGAACTTAGCCTCCCATCTACTTATAGGCCAAAGGAGAAAGAGACTGCCTTCTAGCCACAGATGTAAGGTAAGGTTTTGAGTCAAACCTTGATTTACAACTGGAAAACATCACTCCTTGAACTGCATTAAACACATTCTTGCCTTGACATCCCATTATCTTTTGTCTGCTTTTAATTATGTACTTTTGATTACCCAGATTGCTTGGGCATATCTTGACTCTTGAACCCCATTTGCCTTGAAACATGTAACACAGAAATCCTGATGTAGGGTCTATCCTACTGTAGAACTTGATATCTGACTGTGGTTGAATTCTAACCTTGGGACTATTTTGGGCAAAGTCATAAATGCTAGAAAGACTTTCCTGTCTGGACTTATTGCAGACCCGTCTCCTTGAATCCTGTACCACATATTAACTTGTTGGATTATGAACTTTTACTTGGGTCTGTTTTGAATTTCAAACTATGAGTTGCACAGAGGGAAAACTGCCTTTGCCAGGAATGCCATTTTATTTTTATCTTCTTTAGTGCTACTATGAACCTGAGGCCCTCATCTCCCTTGAATTTTATACCATGAAATCATTGATTTGAACTTATAGAACTTTGGATTTTAGCTTCGTAACTGAATTGAAAAACTAGCCTTAGAACCATTTTCTGAACTAAGCAATGGACTGATGTTAACTGCTATTTTAGTTATAACAATTACGTTTTCCCCTTGGGAGTGTAAGAAGTTGACTATCCCAACCCTATTGCAGCCTCACAATCGTTGTAGCTTTCGATGAGGTAGGGTAGCCTGAAAGAGGCCCATAAATGAGTGGTTTAAATATCACACTGGCTAATTATATACATAGTGGGCAAACCTTTACTATGTCATTTCTAGACATGCTGGGCAGGAAAGAAATATCCATTTTCAAAATAGCATGCTACCTTGAATCAACTACATCCGATATATTCATGTTTTATATTACCTCTGTGGGCTGCTTCAAATGAAATTGCCAGGCAGATAAAATACACATTTATCGTTTATCAAGATGTTTATTTTCCAGATTTTTACTTGGTGTTAAACAATGCATGGAGATACAAACCTTAAAAATCCTGGCGCAGTATTCAAAGGATTTGGGATTGCTGACATCATATACTAGGCATACAACATCACACATTATTTCAGCATCACACAGGAAGTCAGATTCACAAACATTATGCAACTGTGAAGAGAAAAGGAAGTTTTAACAACTACAGGATGCTTTATAAACATACTTTTTTGCTTTCTCATTCACTATTGCTTTTTCCTTTAAGCACACAAAAGATGCAACTACCATTTATTAGAGATAGGCTGCCCTTTACGAGGACTGGATGACTCCTTTAGTAAATCTTTGAGTACATGCACATGAGGGGGTTAATTTAAATACAGCATACAGTCAATCAATTTTTCCTATAAGTCCTATAGGACATAATTACATGCTATATGAAGAAGCCAGAGACCTAAATCTGCTGTTGCAAGCTTCTTAAGGGCTACACGTCTATATTCACAATATTGTGCAAAATACAAATTTGTCTGCATACTGCTGCCTATACATGTCCATTCTAGGAGATACCAGGACACATCCTCTAAATTCTGCGGGTTTTGTCTGTATATGGAAGAGGACTATGATTTTTTGGTCTTGCAGAAGAGCAAAAAGCAAGTTCCATAGGATACTGAGGGTTTCCATACCCTAAGAGGAACCTCAGCCTTCTGCCACAGAAATTTCCAGACAGCCATTGTGCTCTGACTTTCTTAATTCCTTGCTGTTAACATTTGCAAATTTCAGCTCTTGGCTTAGGACTACAACCATACAAGTCCCTACTATCAAATGTCTTAAATTCAATATCATCACTATTGATCAAGTAGTGATTGCAGAAGGAAGGAAGGAGGATCACAAGTACATGACAGGCCCACATTTCAAGTTGTCAAATGAGAGAAAGCATGTAATAAGACAAGGCCAGCGCAATGGTGAAAGGCAAGGGTGTTGTATGTACAACACAGCCCCAATTTCCCTGTAAGTATGCTTGGAGGCTTCACATTGATAAACCTGTTGGTACAACAGAGGTAATTCCATTCCATGAAATGCTATATCCCAAATCTAATTCAGCTTAAGTCAAGGCTCACTACATAAAGAAGCCAGCTTGTGAGATAAACTGTTTGAAATGTCTAATTCAAATGAGCAGAACAATTCATATTAGGTCATTATGCATTCTAAGCAAGCAATTCTACTGTGTAAGTAGGAAAATGGTTTGTAAATTTTCAATGGATTGAAATATTGTAAATATTCAATGGATTGAAATACAACAACATTATGAACAGCACCAAAGAAGGAAAGTTTCATTTTGGATGTCAATATATCAACATGGCCTTACCAGTAAGTATTTTTCTTGCCCGTACACATAAACTGTATTAATTGCATAATAAGATTTGTGGTCTGGACGTATATGCCTCTGTCTCTGGAAAGTATAAAAAAATTCAAATAGTATGAAGGGCTTTCATCATGAACCACATTTGGCAAGCTTATTTGGAGCAACAAGAGCGTAGCATAATCTAAAAACAATCAGGAATCTCAACTGAAGTCTGTATTAAGGGGAAAAATCACCATGCACTACCAATTTATTGTATGAAGGATTTCAACACATAAGCTTACACTTGGGTAGGAAAATTTCATATTACTTTTTCCAAGCAGTGTGGCACTACAGTGTTGGATTCTTCTAGTTGTTAAACATTCATAGGCACTGCATACAGCCACTATAGCTCTGGCTATTGGACAGAAATGTACAGAGACAGCTCTGTAGTGTTGCTTCTGTAACCCAGATGACTCTCAGGAAGAGGGTGAAAGCTTTGTCTCCTAATCATAGAGTACTTCAGCATTTCTACCAAAACCAGGGAATAAGTGCTGTAGAAAGATTGCAGCCATCCCTCCAAACTTTGGAAGGCAACTTTACTAGTCCCCCAATATCACAGAAAGAAGAGGCAGATAAATGAAAGGGATGCACCAAAAGAGGAGACAAATGGAGAGAAATGATTTCTAATGTAATTGTGGTAAGCAAGTGCCACCAACAGGCCGTGACTTTGTTACTGCAATTCAGGGTAAAATCATAGCCATGCTTAGAAAGAAAAAGGGTCTTCTACTCTTTGGCTGCTCCAGTCAGCTATGCTGGGAGTTGTTGGCTCTTTTTCTCTCCAAGCATGCACAGGAAATCTCAATATCATAAGTTACCTTTCTAGATAAATTACAAGAGGATTCTTACTTACCATTAGGTTTCTTCCAAGTAGTGCCTGGAGGACTCCACTTTTCCCACAGCCTTTCAACCCAATAAGATTACACCTGAACACGTTCCTCTGAGTTTGTCTTTTCTGAAGGTCAATCTTTTTATCTCTAGTTACTTTAAACATCAACAAAAATACATTTCACACAGATGTATCTATTACAGGCAAGGAGGAATATGCATTATTCATAAACAAAACCAGAGTAATTCTGTCACTTGTCTTTACACATTTGATACCTAATTGGATTATAACCAGTTTGCTTAAGTACTTGGTTACAATGTTAAGAAGGCAAGGTAACATTAAATTCTTCAGAACTTGCCTGCTAGCTTCCTTGAGGCTCCTGCCCCTTTGCTGCAAAGAGGCAGTAGGAACATAGTCTCTTTCAACTGTTCCTCCCTACAAGTATTTTGACTGGTATTGGCTGTAGTGGGGGTGGGGGGGGGGCAATAAACAGGGAGAGAGATAGGAGAGAGAAATTTGGTTTGGCCAGACCCTGGCCTGCTACACCAAGGAAAGGGCTGCTAGATCAGTCACTGTCTCTTTTCTAGACACCTGCAGACAAATAATTGGAAGCATATTTGAGATTCAGGACTACTCCACCGCTTCTTTGCCTTTGCCGCCCCCTTAAGTCTACTAATGACTGTAGAAGCAACAGTTGGCAGAAATTTCCCTTCAATGCAGCTCTTAAAGGGAAATCACACCTCTTAATATCTAGGTTTGGGAATTCTGTGTGCTTTTGGCTTGCTACCACAGAGTCCAAAATCTGTTAGCAGAGCTGTATTTCCCAACTGCCCTTTTCTTTAGCCCACCAGATGGAGATAAATGGATGCTGCTCCATCAGGTTTCCTCAGCAAGACATAGTTGAAAGAACTGTGATCCAACAACACTGTATTGTTTATACACCTTCCCACATATGGCTGTTACCTGTAATATAGGTAATGGAATGACATGGAATGGGGGAGTGGAGGGGCAGATGAATGGGACACCATCATCACTTTCCAACTACACATTATTGGACAAAAGTTACATCTTCCCAATCCCCACCCTACCATGATAAGTTGTTCTCTGCTTCATGTGAATTACTTCATCATTTGCTCTACCCCTTTCCTGCCGCCACTAGGCCTCTGGATTCTATTACATACTCAGTTAAACAGAAAAATGGCAACGGATCAGTAAATGGTTTGCTCTTGCAATGCAACACACCATAGGCTGTTACCTGTAATTGCTGATGCCTGCGATTCCTGTTCAGTCAATATTGAATATCCCAAATAGCCCAAATATTCAAGACAGCGCTGTACATCTAAGTATGTAGTTAGTCTAGTAGGAAAAAAAGTGTACTTTAAGTTATCAAAACTCCAGATGGCCACACTGGAATTAATACTTGCATTTAAATATGTAGTAAAAACTACATTTACAGAAAAATTCCAGTGTAGTTAATGTAGATCACAATTCTATGATTTTGTATGCTATGACCTAAATCCAATGCAGTTAGGCAATCCTAAACCCAATAATTTCAGTAGGCTTAAATATTTACTTCCTCTGTGTTGGATGTCGGCCTGTGTCTTGAAAAGGAATGTTGTTCTAATATGGGTGGCGGAAAGGTCAAGGGCATCTATTTTTCATGTCTAGCCCCAGTAATTCTCTCTTGGGCATGTGGGAATTTGATGCAGCAGACAAAATGTTTTATCAAGGAAGGTTATTCAATTGAAGAAAACACTTTATGGAGACTTTTCAAATAGACTTGCCATGCTAACTTTTGAACTACAGCAGAATTCATTGGAAATTTTTCTTGTTGACTACAGATGTAGTGTTCAATGGTTTCCCCCTTTAAAAATATGAATATTAGGGAGAAGATGTCAGCCTAGACTCTCTCCAAAACATGCTTGCTCTTAGTGCATGCTGAGGTGTCAGTCACATGCCTGTGTACCTTCAAGTTTAGCTAAATACAGAACACCCTTCGCCAGTCAATTCTGACTGCATATAGGTCAAAGTCTGTAGGCTGGAAAGGAGTTGGTCGTATTTCCTTTTTAAATATTTCTGACCCATTCTCTGTCAATTGCTCTCAAGGTGGGGAATAAACACCACATGCATGTTGTGCCTTTAGAAACAAGTTAATGATGGACAATTCACCCTCTTCCCTTTTCTCTCCCCTACATGTTCTGGAGCAGTTGCAAGAAGCTGAGTGAAGCACTGGAGTTTATGTACTCCACTTACGTCCACTGAGAGAGAAATCCCTGATAGGTTATCCAGCCCCTTTCATTTGTACAAACAGTGTTGTTGACATCTGGTCCCCATGGCATATAAGGGAAGATTTTGAACAAATCCTTGAGCTCATCAGGAGACAAAGCACAATCTCGGTCCTGTAACAGATTTATGAAATCAATAGTGATAACATTTGTTATAACGTACCGTATTTTTCGCTCTATAAGACGCACTTTTTTCCCTCTCAAAAGTAAGGGGAAATGTCTGTGTGTCTTATAGAGCAAATGTGTGTGTGCCCGACGCCCGGGACGCTGCCGGCCTGCCTGCACCACGTGGCACCACCTGGCCGGCACGTGCTCGGCGTGCGCTGCTTCACCCGCCCCCCCGGCGCAGGTGAGAGCTGTGCCGCTCAGGGGGAGTGGTGCGGAGGAGGAGGAGCTGCAGGCTTTAACCCGCTGGCCATGGAGAGAAGGACTGCTCACCCCCACCGCCCAGGAAGACCTGCCGCCGCGCTGGCCAGAAGACCACCGCCGGCACGCTGCCGGCCCGGTTGCACCACATGGTACCGCCTGGCTGGCACGTGCTCGGCGCGCCCTGCTCCGCCCCCCTCCTCCGGCACAGGTGAGAGCTGTTAATCACAGGTCGGTGTGTGTTTTCAAATGGCAACCCATCTTTTAATGAAGCCCATGGGGAAGTGATGGGGAATGTGCCTGTGATTATCAGGAAGCATTCCATGGATCCCTCCTCTAAAAACAACATGCGTCTTATGGTCAGGTGCGTCTTATAGAGCAAAAAATACGGTATAACTTATTCATGTTTTAAAAAATTAATGTTATGTCAGAAATGGGCTTGCAGTATGCATAAAAGGAGCAAGAATGTATGGTAAACACCAAACTATAATGTTAAATTAAGTATTTGCTGCAAGTCAACTAAAGACTTATAAATGCCTGTGCTTTCCATGGTTCCTTAAGCCCTGCATCTAATGACTTAGATTATGAACCTCTTCAATGGGGAAACATCTGTTGTATAACACTATCACTTGACTTCTGAAGCCTTGATTTAAAAAAAAAAATCTCAACATGTTTCTTCCCCTCTCTTCAACCTCATCCATAGCTCAGACACTGGAGGAATAATGTTTTAAATATTCCTTCTGGAAATAGCTTATTAATCAAATTAAAAGCTTACCAAATCATGTTTATCAAAAATGCTCTGAAGGAACAAATATGCATGGTGATTCAACTCTGTTGTACAGTCAGAAGGTATTTTTAACCTGGTTAGAGAGAAAGTAACATCTTTGGTAAAATATGGAGAAAGTCCTTATCTTTGATTATGCCCTGCCTGCTGTAGGGGGTATACCACATATCATATCACAATGTATTGCCACTAAACATAAAAATCCAAGACCTGTTTGCTGCTTCACACCAAAGACCCATCAAGTCTACCATCCTCTTTTTCCACACAGGGCAACTAGATGTTGTTGTGGTTGTGAAAAGCAAACTAACAGGATATGAGGGCAACAGGCCCCTCCTGCCGGTGTTCACTGGCAAATGGTATTCAGGGGAATGGAGACTCTGCTCCTGGAGGAAGTGCAAAGTACATCACACATCATGACTAGTAGCCAACATTTGAGTGCTCTAACATGGATACATGCACAAAGGAAGGAGGAAAGATGGAGGCACACAACCTTACACTCAACGCATTTTAAAGGCCAATTTGCTTAACTGGGAGAGCCACATTCAGTGAACGATCACGGTGGAGCAAAGATTTTATACGCAAGTCTTTCTTTCAGTATACAACACTGATTTCTTCAAAAATTCAATAGTGGACAGCTATATACACTTACTTATGATTTCTCCAGACCAAATGTAATTACCAAGCAATCATCCGATTATAACCTGCTCATGTTATATGTTAAGCGACTGGATAAGGCTGGGGAAGGGTTCCCCATAATGAGCCATTCTAGACCTAGTTCATTACATGGGCAAGTCCCTGTAGGGAAAATGCCAGATTCAATTATCTAGATTATAGGTTCTAGACAACATCTGTGCTATTATTTAGGCAAGAAATGTCCCAAAACCACATGACTAGCAATTACTAGAAATAAATGTTGGACTACATCAATTCTGGTCCAAAATAGCAGGGCTTTTATGTTCTAGGAACTCTCTATTCAGCTACCTGCCTTGGACTGAGGAATTTTTTTATAGCTGTAGAACCACAATTTTTACTTTGAATGAAATGGAAACAAAGCCGATTGGTACCTACAGAGGAAATAAATACTCTGGCGTGAGCTCTAGGTCATCATCATATCCAAAGCGCCGTAATACTGTCCAAGTTGTTTCATGTCTCCCTCGCTGAATGAACAGCGTGTGCAGAAAAAGAAAGCCTGAAAAGAGAAAGTTCTTCAGTTGCTAGTTTTTCACTCACACATCTGCATGCTGACAGAGCAGCTTTCCTCAACCTGGTGCCCTCCAGATGGGCTGGACTACAACTCCCAATACAACAGGGACCAGGTTGTAAAATAAAATAATAAAACCATAAAACAGCAGAACAGGATTAGCACATAGCAATTAATAATACCTTAACCTTCCATCATAGCAGCAGATAATAACACAGTATTTAAAACATTATTATGAATCTAATAATTAAAAACTGGAAAATAAAAAGGATGGCACCAGGCATACCTCTCCGGGGAGCATGTTCCAGAGATGGGGTACCAATATTGAAAATGCCCTTCTCCTGGCTGCTACCCCCATCCTTAATTCTTCAGGGGGATTCCCTAAGGAGAAGCTCGACAGATGATCTTAAAGGTTGGGTAGAAATACATGGGACAAGGCAATCCTTCAGATACCTTGGCACCAAGCCATTTAGTGCTTTAATTGTTAGAACAAGCACTCTGAATTGGGCCTGGACCAACTGGCATCCAATGCAGCTGAAAGAGGACTGGCATGCTATAATCTTATGGGCCAGCCCCCATTAATAGCCATGCTGCCCTATTTTGAATTGGTTGAAGTTGGATCGATACACCAAAAGTTTTAGTATCAATACACCAAAAAGCTGGCTCCTTCTCAGTGGTATAATATACCAGGCTATTCTGGAAAGGTCCACTGAAGTTAAGGAAAGTATTCCTAGTTCTTTTGCAATGTTCATTACAGTTCTGCAAAAACTCGGCAAACATACGAATAACACAGATGGATCAAGTTAGGAAATTGTCATTTTGCAGTAACTGGTTCTGTAAAGAAGCCCTAAATCAGGCAACCCAATGCCTAGCTTGCTTTTTACCTTACACTTAAATCTAGGTAATCATGCTTTACACCTCAAAGGTAGCAAAAGGAGACCAAGTAAATTTTTTTCGCCATATTTGCTATTTGTCAGCAGTCCCTGTTCCACCAACATATTTGGAAGACATGCAGTACCTACCCTTTAACGTTAATCCGTTAGCCGCAACTCCATCGCTTAGATTTTTCCTGACTACATTCTTTACATCTTCCAGTGCTTGAGGTGCCAATGGAGTGTTAAAACAAATTCTCTGAGAAGGAATATTAACACATTCTTCAAACCAAGACTTGGTAGCCTCTCATGCTACAACCCCAGCTTTCTAATTGATAACATAACATTCATACCAGCCGTCTTTAAAGCAGATGTGTTTGAACACATCATGGCAACAATGGTTAAAGGTTTCAAAATCATATCTAAGCTAGCCTCATAGTTAGGCACATGCTTAGAGGGAAATAAATTTGCATCTGAGTGACAAAGGGAACTGTCTAGGCACCGTGCGAGTGCTCCAAGTACAGCCTCCCTGCCACAACACTCAATTCCTGTTGCACTGTGACCTATGCCTTGTTTCCTCCTCTCAGCAGAAAGGTGCAAGGCAACAACATTAGGAGTACCCTCAGAACACTGCCTCTCCCTTGCAGGAAGGGAGGAAGAAAACAGGACACAGTCAGTACTGAAGCCAGCAGTAGCCTGATGCTTTCATGCAGAAATTGAAGTTTGTGTTTCCTGAGGCAGGAAACCTAGTGGTTCAGTATGGCTACTCTCATTCTCACAGATGCTGCCTGTGTTTCTGACAAGAGAATGACAAGTGGACAGGATCCAAAGGCTCTTCTTTCCTGCAGTAAACCTCCCATTTGCTTCTGCCTCCCAAAAAGTTATCATCCAAAGGTAGGAGATTCCCCTGGAGCAGTAGCTCATGAGGCAGAAAGGCCTGGCATCAGACAGAAGCAATCTACCTCCTGTGCATGAAGGAGGGCTGACTCCTGGCCAATGTATCAAAAATGCTCCAAGTAGATCCAACTGGTGCACCTTGCTTTGGGACCGAAGCAACAGCTATAGAGAAGAGGCAGCAACAAGTACCAGAGATAGCAGGGCTATACCTGAAAGAAGTTGAGTTCAGCATCATTAAGGGTGCCATCATTATCTTGATCTGAAATTCTGAAGATCCGAGTAAGTGCTTTTATACAGGCAGGTTTCATCTACAGATCAAGACAATAAGGATTTGGGATTATTTCCTTCTGACAACTAGCCGTTTCTTCTGCTTTAATATGAAAACCTTACCCTGTCACGAAGCACCAGCCAGGGGAATCCCAACAAAAGCCCTCATACAGTTACTGATTTCATATGCCTTGCATGGCTGAGACAGACTCGGTTCGCACTGACTAGCAGACTGCTGCAGGCAGAGCAAAACCACAGCAAGACAGCAGGCTTTAAGGAGGGTACTACTCACAACCTTACAACTGTTTTAAAGCCAGGTATCTGCCTGATATAGTAACAGGGATCTGTACTGCAGTAGACTATATTCTGTTCTGCTATTTTGCTCCTCGTCCTGAATTTTCAGCTTGGGAAACGCTATACACATTCAAGTAAAATTTTAATGCTTTTGGTGAATGGACTCTGACTCAGACTACACGCAGAAGCTGTGAAATACGTTGATGAACTGAAGCACTGATAACACTGCCTTCCTCCTAGTAAAAGCAGTTCATCAGCTCCAGAATGAGATTTAACAGCCACCATGCAAAACTTCAAAATTTATTTTACTTATTTCTACATTTAATAGACTCACATAATATTGATGCACGTACATACTGATGGTATGGCTTCAATATTCCAAACCAAATTACATTTTAACAAGAATGATACCTTGGTTGAACTTTGCTTAGCAAGAATTTTTTAAGGTCAGTCAGTGCTACAATACTTGTTTACCTTAAAAGTAACATTAATATATACAGACACTGAATAGATGAAGTTAAACATCTATCTATTTAGATTTTTCAGATTATGGTCAGACTTTCCTGTAATATCTCTCATACTAAGACTAGAATGCAGGAATATGCTATGTGTTTATCCCCAGCATTGAGACAGTCAGATGAAGATGGAAAATCCCTCAGTCCCAAATTTGACATATTCTTGGTTAAAGCTAGAACACGAAATATACTTCCTGCCCTCACAGACAAAACTTCCTTGGCTCTCAGCACATTCATCACCTGCAGGGACTGGGCCCACTCCTCCCAGAATACAGCCTTCAAAGTCTGTTGATTCAGATTCTGATTCAGAAGTATAAGAGGCAGGGCTGGAATTTGTAGTTGAAATGGTAGGACCAATGGACCCAGAAATAAGACAGGCTGTTACTGAGAACAGGACAGTTCAGAGGGGAATTCTGGGGAGTAAACTAAGATGAGGGGGATGACTTAACATCATCAATGTTGGTTTGGAATGGTGGACAAGTAATCTGGTTTGGAATCAGTTTGAAATGCTTAAGCCACATTTCCCTAATTGGTTCAGCATTCTGACTTTGCTTGTGTCTTTTGTTATTGTCTTCCGACTCTTCTTTTGTAACACAAAGCCAGCCAAACTGTTCAGCTTTAATGCAATCAAGACTTTAGTTAGAAAGCCTTTTGCCTGATCTGCTTAGAAGTAGAGGAAGTAGGCCAGGTTGGGACAGCATAATCTAATTTGCACTGGTGTTTCAAGGTGTGTGTGTGGAGGGGCGGGGGAGAGACTGCAGGAGTGAGGGAACTATTACCAACAAATCTATTTGCAACCTGCAAATTAACTCAAGTCTCCACTGTTGTATGAATGAGAAATTTAGAGTTCAGGGGAAACTGATTTCTCTTACTGTATATGGCTAGGGAGCAAATGAAAACAGAAAATTAAGATAGCCTGTGTAAAGAGAAAAGAATCCACCAACAGAAGTTGTCAGACTGTATATGGAATGTAATTGTGGGGTAGTGTGTTAAATAAGAAAATATTTTGCTTGTACGTGACAAAAATGTATGCCATTTTAACATGCCCAGCGGTTTCTAAAAAAAGAAAACCATAATAAAAGCAGAGCACAGAAAGAGTCGATCAAAGACAGCCACAGAAAGAGTCAATGGAAAAAAGAAAACCAGTAAAAATAAAAGTGCAGTGAAGTAAGACTGCACTTGTGCCTTATGACTTTCGAAAGAGAAAATGCAACAGAACAAGACAGCAAGAAGAAAGGGGCTGAGTTCTAGAGCTTGAGCACAAAGGCCAAACTGCTTTCTCCTGCATACTCACCTGCCGATTTTAGAAGTCAGGGAGAAAACACAGAGGAAGTCTTCAGGTGATTAATGAGCAGGTAGGCTTGTATGGGCCTCCAGCACCATTGGAGAAGAAATGGGCACATAACTAGTGTTATGTGCTACCTCCAATGGGCTTGTTAGAGCCAATTTTGCACTAATCAAAAGCTCTGGCAATCTTCATAAAGCAACTCCATCAAGTATATTCTCTAGCTGTCCACTTTGGATGTTACTAAGGTACACATGAACACAGCCTTAACAACTGGCATGTCAGCCTACCTTCTTCTGGTCACCTCTACAACAGGAGCTTATAGGAATAGAGCTGTATCTAGGAGCATTCCCAAGATATGTAAGCCATCCTGAGATGCGATAGTGAAGGATGGCATATAAGTGTTTTAAATATAAAATAAACAAAATAAAATAAGAACCTAATTCTTCTGTCTGAAGAGGCTAAGCACCTAAACCTGAATAAGGTTTAGTCACAATCAACAGTATTTCCATATTATCTGAATTAAGTTCCCATTTGTTAGCCCAGCTTTAGTCCTTCCCTGTTCTCAAGTATCAATGTAGGAAGCATGGCCTCCCTGGAATATGATGCAAAGGAGAGAGTTGTTCATCCTTAGACTGATGATACTCCCCTCCAAAACATCAGGCAATATTTCCCAGTCATTTAACATATGCCTTAAAAAATGGGAGACAGGATTTCACTCAACATGCTTCTATAGACTAAAGGAAACAGAGTCAAACATTAGTCTCCTTCCAGGACATACTTTCTGGGACACAAAAGAGCCAGGACTGAATGCTGCTGAAAGATCCAAAGAACACTTCTGTTCACTGCCTGAAATAAGTCACCCACCATGGCAACGAAAACTACTTCTGTCAAATTCCATAAACACTTGCATTTGAGAGGCCACCACCAACTCAAGGACCTAGCCCCAAAATGTTAAGTATGAATTTAACTATAATGGTTCTACTGAATGTGGGTTCCCCAAAAGTGGCCCAGCCATTTATTGCAGAGTGTGAGAGAGAGATCCCTCCCTAAGATGAGCTAGGAAGAAGTACCAGGTCAGCAAGTAGTGGGCTCACCCTTCCAACCATTTTGTCCAAGTCCTTAGTTATACAAGCTGAAGAGCATGCTCTGAACAGAACAACTGGAGGCCATGGAAACATCCATAACTATGTGCGTAGTTAATGTGCAGTCCACACTGGAATTGATACAGTGATACCTTGGCTCATGAATGCCTCAGTTTATGACCAAATCGGGTTGCGAACAAAAATTTCATAAACATTTTTACTCAGGTCGCGAACTCTGCATTGGGTGGCAGCCACGATCGTGCTGGGGAGGGGGGTGTGGACAGATGGCTGAGATCACGCCTGTCTTTCCTACAGGAGCGCACCCATGATTGCGCCCGTCTTTCCTGCAGGAGCGCAACCACAATCTCGGCCACCTCCCCACCAGCACGATCGCGCCTGTCTCCCCTCCAGTGTGCCCGTGTTTGCACCCGTCTGCCCCCCCCCGGTGCGCCTGCATTCCCACCCGTCTCTCCCCGCACAGCACGCCGGGGTGATGGGCATGGGGGGGGGGGGCGGGGGGGGGCCGGGGGGGGGGGGGGGGGGGGGGGGGGGGATGGCCATACTCCTGCTTGGGGTGGGGAGGGGGCATGATTTTTGTTATTCCTTGTCACTTTGCTTCACATTTTTCTGATTAAAAAAATAGTTACAGAACAGATTAACCTAATTTACATTGAACTTTATGGGGAAATTTAACTTGGCTCATGACCAATTTGGGTCATGACCAGAGTGCTGGAATGGATTAAGTTCATGAGCCAAGGTACCACTGAACTTTTGATTTTATCCTCAAAATGTTTTGCAAACTGGCCATGGTAGACCAGTGGTGCCCCACTTTTCTTGGGGCCAACATTCAATAGAGCTTTCACCACTTAAACGTACCACTAGCAGATACTGTGATGGCCAAACCACTTAGCCAAGTTGCCTTTAAAATCAATTCTAATTAGCATTTGTTCAGACTTGTCATGGGCTTTTCTTCACTGCTGCTGTAGTCACTGTTCTGCTCTGTCATCATCCCCAGAAGGAGGACGTTCTTCAAAAAAGGAAGACTTTGCACAAGCACTTATAAGTGGGAAAGCACACATTAAAAATTGTGTCAACCCCCTGGGCCTTCTCTCCACCCCAGAATTGACCAAAATTGCGAAAAGGCCACTTAGAAGAGCAGGGAACAACCCAAGAACTGTCAGGAAATCATATGAATCTGTCTATTTCTGGGAATGGGTCATTCTAACTGAACCACAACCACTGCAGAAGACGTAAGTCTAACCCCCCACCTCCCCCAGCCCCAAAGAGTGGATCTGTCATGGTAACTGTCCTCCACCTCCAGATTGCCTTCTTCCTGCCCAGAACAAACATGCCAAAAACAGAGTACGAAGGCCATGAAATCCCTTGCTGTACCAGGCAAGAGGGATCAGTGTAGATGATGGTCTCCCAGGGCAACCAGTCTAGGACTCCAATACCACCTCTGCCAGCTCAGGAAGGGCAGCAGGTAGAGAGCCCAGTAAAGCACTTCTAAAATCAGGAGGGCAACCGTTTAGGAAAAGAACCAAAAGGAGGAGGGAAAATACAAGGACCTTAATCTCCATTCTGATACGAGGACCTGTCCAATATCCACCATTATATTCAGCCTGCCCTGTTCTTGGTATCACTGTACCCAAGCCATTCTCCCATAGACAAACACATATCAGCCAATGATCAAAGCAAAACATGGCAAATATTTGGGAAACACAAACCAGAAAGAGCACTTCAGATTGCCAGAAATGCTTTGTTAGCTTGGTAAGACTAGGAAATGCTGAGTGAGTACCAAGGTGGTCTTTTTAAGTGGAAAGGACCATGCTGGTGAGCAGCTTTCAGAGAATTACCTGTAGGGCTAATTTTATGGCACAAACTATTTCAAATACCTCTTTTTCCTCTGGACAATAGAGAGGTCCTGTGGGATGTAGAACAGCTTTTTGTGCATAATAGAACAGTTCGGATATATTCTTCAAGTTCTTGGCTGAGCACTGAAAGAAAAAACAAACTGGGCTATTGAAAGCTTTAGTGCAATGTGGAAGAAAAAGCCTAGTATATATGTATAAGGCTGAAATTTTGATTGTCCAAGGAGTTTATTGTTTTCTAAGAAACAATGTTCTGATACATTTTCTGCTTTGTTTTTGCACTTAATCATTTCAATTGCTATTTCACCTTCTATGTTTTAATAGTGTCATCATGATTTCAAATTTTTAGTTGCCTAACCTGCTCCTGTCATAATTATATTGTTCTGTGTATTAAGTGGCTATGGTTTTATTTTTAGCTGCTTAAAACTGCAGCTTAAATAAATTGAAAAGCAGGTTACAATACTTGAATTTAATAAAGAATGGACATGCAGTTCTTTATTACTTCATTTAGTTATGTATTAATCCCTACTTTCCAGACAAATATTATTCCAAGGTAGTTCATACCAAGCAGTAAATAAGACATAGAATATTCCCTTTGGCCTACAAACTAAAAGAGGGAACACACAAACACACACAGAAAAGGGAATGACAAGAAAGTGTAAAGGAGGAGGATCAGTTTGACACTGCCAGAAGGAAGCGACAAGCTGTAATCAGGCATTTACCCTCAACTGGAAGCAGGATCATCCTCCCTCCCTGAAGTAATTGGTTGGAAGAAACCCCCTGGAGGCCCACCTTTTATTTTCCTGGTTCAATTCTGCAGTTCGAACACAGCTGGTAGTCGGAACAGTGCTTTCTAAAGGGTAAGGGAAACAAGCTCCCAGAAGATATTTCTCTGATCAGTAACTTGGAACCAAGCCAGTCTTTTCCTGGCTTTCTTTCTGAAGCAGAGGGGGTGAAACCTCCCAGCGGTCTTTTTTCCTTTTGCTGATTATAAAAAACCCAGTTCACAAGAGATGTTAAGCCATGGGAGGTTGTCACCATGGGTTGTTTCAGGGTAGCTTGTCATTATGTCCAAACCTGAAGCAATTTTCTCCCAGTCACAGGATGTTTTCCATAAACAAACCATCCTGCAAACCCAGGGCTTCTTGTTGGATTATTCAGCGTGGTTTGTCATCACTGTGGCTTGTCATGACACCCAAAGCTGGTAGGATGACTTCATCATGGACTGTTCGGATTGGCTAGAGCTGCCCAGCAAGAGTGGCAAAAGACCTTACTGCTCCTGCTAGTATCACCACTATGCTCCCCCGTCCTTTCTCACCACTCTCTGCCCAGTGTGCCTAAAGATCAAGAAGAAAGGAACCTAAAAGTACCCTGAACACATTATGGTTTGGTCAGAAGTCCACTGTTGACCTGCCTCATTTGTCTGCCTTGACATGGATTTATTTTTACCAATCCCCCTCCTGCTGTCTTAAAATTTATGGCTCTTTACTGCATCACTGCTCTATCCTGAAGGTTGCATATTTTTATTAAGTCCACCTCACTACTTGTTCTTTCTTGTAATTTGTTTACCTTGCTCTGCAACCCGTAAGTATGTCTGACAGCTAACAATGGAAACCACTCATGGCCATGCAACAAGTACAAAGTGGGATGGTGGGGAGGAAGCAGCTGGTGGATATAAGAGAAAACTTTTCAGATGAGTGTAATTACTAGAATATGAGGTAGCCCTTTTTTAAAACAGGACGAGTGCTAACAGGACGAGTGCTTTAGTGGAAGACAAAATCGACAGTGGAGAGTACTGGCTGCCTGGGCTATTTTGAACAAATTATAAATATATTGCCACATTTGTAAGTTTAGAAAATTACTTCCTTTTTGCAATCTGATAAATGTCTGCAGGTAGAGTGTCTCTTTAATCAGTAACTTTAGCAGACCAGTTACAGAAAGAGTGCTGATGAAGGAAATGGAATCTGATCACAAAGGCCACTAGGATATGGGCAGAGCCAGGTGAAATGAGTAAGGTGCAACAACCCATGACAAGTCATACAGAGTCTAATTGTTTGTCAGAGTAACAGGTGTTATTCAGTAAAAAACAACCCACCATGGTTCATCACCAGGGTGGCTCAACATGATGTGCAAACTAGCCTAGAGTGTCCTAAGTCTCAGAGACACTTGTCATCATCCTTGAACCACCAGAAATGCTTTCAATTACCTCTACACAAGTTTCTATCTCTGTGTATTGGTTCATGATGGGAAGAATAGTCTCCATACTACTGTATTCAACAAGATCTGATTTGTTCCCAACCAGTATAAGAGGCAGCCTAAAAATAAGTTAAGAGAAAATGTTGAAATAAAAAGCCAGCTGTTGTTTGACACATCATAAAATACCATAATTTGAAAGCATACTTTAAAGCAACTACAGGTAAAATTAAAGCTATCCATTGATCTCATAATACAATATTCATAACTAGCAGACCAGCGAAATTGTTTCAATTAACAGAGGCTGCCAAATGCAAGTCATTTACCCTGGAAAACTTCCCAATATCATCAAATAAAGTAGCTTAGAGTAAGACGCCTCAAGGCAAAGAGTTCCATGCATTTTTTGAACTTTATTTGAAATTTTATTTGAATTTTAAGTTGAATTTATAACAATACTGCCTGGAAGTTTCACACACATCTGACACATATTCGTGTAATATACATTCTTTGAAGTACTGAATGTATTAAAACATACTTGAATTCTTTGCATATATCAATCGCTTGGAAAAGTCATTTTTAACCCTTAGTTCAGGAAGCTTAAACCGTTCCTGACAATTCAAAATGGGTAAACAAGCAAAGCATTCACCTGAAATAAGATCTATGTTGAACAAAGGCAGAATAGTCAGAAAAATAATGCCTTGAAGCTTGCAATTTACCTTCTGAAATGCAGTCAATACTAACCTCTTGGTAGGCCCAACTCTTCAGATATTTGGGATTAACTAGATCAGCCCTAAATATCAACATGATGTATCTACGTATCATTAACGGTTGCCAGAACAGTGCAGCTCACTGTAGCACATTGTGCTATGTTCATACAGATTAACAATTGCCAAAATAATAAGTAAGTATTGTGCAGATTCCACATGGAGCAGATCAGGAGTTCGAACACCTTTGTGTTTAAGCAGTCATAGCTGTCAGGCCTTATTTCTTACTTATTTCAGTTGTTTTTAGGCACAGCAGCTTTGGGTTTGCTTTAATATGTACCTGCTATCTTTGTCCGTTCTTTCGTTGATGAGAGGAATCCATCGGCTTGTCACCTAAAGCAACAATTTACTATTCGTTAATAAGGTTAGGTCAGGGTTTTCTTTTAATTTTTATGATTCACTTTATGCTTACATTGCAATTACCTGGTGTCTCAAAATTGTAAACCCATTAAAGAGGAGCAAAAGGAGGTGCAAAGAGGATGGGTACATGAACTGAGTCCAATGGTTACGATAGTTATATGGAGGTTAGGCTAGCATTCCTTCATTCATAAGTGCCAAACAAAAGATTCCAAACTGGGGTATAAGCCTCAGAAAGAAAAAGAGGGCAAATGTTCTTTCTTCAAAATGATTTTGTGATTTTGCCAACATATTTGACATCCATAGGATCCAAAAGACCTTCCCCTACCCCATGCCGCATTCTATGATCAAATAACAAATGTGGCAACAGTAATATAGAAGGCTAGTATATCCTAGCAGAAATAGCTCTGGAAACACCAAAACTATAATCCAAGAACAGGAACTAGAAGAACAATACCCCAGTATATGTGAACCGGGGGCTCTTGTTCTTCTCATCTGGAATGTTCACCTACACAGCATAGAACAATGCAAATACCAGCCTATCTATTGCTAAATTTTGGGAGGAAACTATGGAGGTAAATGCACCCAGGCAAAGCTGTAGCTGTGGCATGTAATTTAAGATTGTATAGGAACAGGGTATTTTCAGGGCTGGATGGGAATTTAGCAAATGGATGAGTCACTTCTTTCTAGTTATATTTTTTTTAACCAGTGAAAAACTGAGCACCTGAAAACAAATGCACATGTTCAGGGATATGCCACATACATAAATACACACAAAGAGAAATCTTTTCTCATACCTTATCAATTGAATTCTTGTTGTTCACTGCATACACTATGCAAATTACATTTGCCTGGATAAAAAAAAATAAACAAATGAATTATAATCACAAGGTTTTCTTAGAATAGGTAGGGTGAATATGTGTTCCTCCAGATGTTGCAACTCCTGTAAGCCCTCACTATTGGCTATGCTGGCTAGAGCTGTATCTGCCCTAGAAGAATAAATATGATAATTCACAAAAAGGGTGCTTAAATGTGAGCCAGGGGTTTACTTATGGATATTATTCTGTGTCCAACTAGAATTAAAATAGGAAATGCACAGACAACAAACCCGGAGGTTGCAGTCCTTTACATACTTTTCCAGAATAAGGGTTCAACTGAACTCAACAGGGCTTACTTTTGCATGGGACTGCACTTAAATGTATGGGACTGCACTTTAGAGAGGTACACAGGATGGAGCATCCTAGAATAGGCCATAGAAAAACACAAGCAAATACATTTTTGTTTCTAGATCTGCAAGCATGTGCTTCAGGACATAAATCCCACTAAGGGTGTTTTTTACATGAACTGAAAAAACGTATAAAATGTTGTTGAATCATTACTCAGATTGGCGTCGGCAAGACCAGGTGCTTATTGCCACTTGCTTCGACCAAATGGAACACTTCTGCTTACACTGGAGAAATCCCAAATGAATGTGCCCTTTCCACTTCAGACCTTAGGTCCCATTCCAGGCTGCAATGGAAGGCTCATAGGCCCTTACGAGCAGCTTAAGGAAGTACAGAAAGCAGATGAAAAAATCCAATTTCATGAGTGGAGTTCTGCTTAACATTTGTTGGACCCAAGCAGCGTGGAAGATATTTCTGGGGACACAAAGTGCTTCAAGTGACAGTAAGCCTCGTTGTGTGAGCACACTTCCACTTACATGCCATAGCTTTAGGGCAGATGGTACATTGGTTGGTAACAAAATGGCCAGGTGTAGAGAATGAGGGCATTTTACATTCCCAGAGCTTGTCAGATAATTTAGTTACTCTTCAAAGGTGACCTGTACAACTTACTTAAAAAATTAGGCCATAAAAGCCCCTCCCCCTTTATTTTACAGGCTCCAGCCATTCTCCATACCAGTTACTAAGCAACTTAAATAACTAGAGTGTAAATCAAACAAATATAGCCTGTCTTTATAGAGAAGGATTTCACCCAGACAGTTTTAGAAGGCAAGTATAAAAAAAGAATTTCAAAGTAGAAGACACATGGCCACTCACCTGCGATATTTCATGATGGAGTTGTTCATCACTTTGCTCAACTTCTGCATGGAACAGAAGTTCACAATTATTGTCCATGTACACTTGGAAGGCAATTTAGGCATCCTTTCACTACATTTTCTCTCCCATTTCCATGTTGTTTTAGCTACAGAAAAAAATTCTACTTTTCATAATATTTGTAACTGAAACAACATGGTACAAGGGTTTTTTTCTCCAGCAAGTAACAGCAGTTTTTAACAGAAGGGGGTCAGCCATCTTGTCACTGCTTTCCAAAAGAGATCTAAACATGTGTGAATTCATGGAAATTTTAATTAAAACAAAGGGAACTGTTGAACAATATGTTGCTGTCCTGAGTGTTCCATGAGTGTTGCAGTTATTTATTGTTGAGTTTTAGTGCATCTAGTGGTTTTTTTATTGCTCTGCTTTATTCTTGGAATTTATTATGTGTATATTTTAAATTGTACACTGCCCTATTGGGCTAGAGGGTGGTACAAAAATGCAACAAGCATTAATAAAGAAAAATCAGCCATGCCTTCCTCCATGAAACTCCTCACAATTTCATCCTATCCCCATGCCCCCCACCGGACAGTCAGCATTTCATAGCTGCTGAGCATGCTCTTTGAGGTCATTTTACTTTTGCAAACTGGAATTCCCTGCAAGCCTGGCTAAACTAATACACAAGGACAGCAAAACCGAAGGTGTCCCAACAATTTCTGGAGAAAAGACTTGAAATAGATCAGTGGTTGTCAATGCATCATGCACAATTCTTTGGGTTGCTAAAATTAATACTGCCACTTTCCCTAGGCTGATGTTGTCTATACTGCTGACTGAAGAGTGCTGGAAATTGTAGTCCATCACTGTTGGCAGCAAAGTGGGGAAAAGTGAATTAGAGTGCAGTCCAGTGAGGAGGCCTGTATCCTTGTGAACTTGGAAGAATACAGAGCAGCAGGGGTGTGGAGGTAATTTCGGCTATGTAAGGGGAAGGAAGTAGGCTGAGACATGCCTCTTTGCCCAGAACAGCCCCCTTTTCTGAAATCACTGCTATTACCTTGGAAAAATAGCTAGCATGGTTTTTCCACCCCAGCTGCAAGGGGATCCAAGCAGAAATCGCAAAAACTGCAGGTTAGACTTCTTTTTCAACTCTGATCTGGGAATTCAAAAACTTCTATGTCCTCTAGTTACTATCATGGCACCAAGGATTCCTCTATAAAAAAATTCAACAGTTTTTCAGTACCTTTATTTTTCACATTTAAGTAGTAAGGGAAGTATATGCTATTGATTTTACATTTGTACAATTATTCCAATTTAAAGTTCTACATAACATTCAAATTGCATTAAGTACCCTTTCACTTTTCTCATCAAGTATTTCTGATCAAATAACTTTGATATATTGAGGCAACTTCTGGTGTATTTTTTAAAGCTTTGTTATTTTAATTGTATTTAGTAAACATGCTAAATTAGACTGGGTGACTTTCTGATGCAAACTGAAACCTTTGTGTTGCAAATGATTCTATGAAAATTAGCCAGATTTCCTTTGAAATTTTTTAGTTCAAAATTTTCCAGTAAATTCACATCACTGTACATGAGTGGTGCTGTTTTGGCCAGATAAGCAACAACATTCACAGCCTGATCACTGAAAATAAAGGAAATAATGGACTCATTATGCCACACAGCTTCATTGAACTGAATATACAAAAACACATGTCTACTCTGCATGTAAAATCTTTTGTCTAAGCACATGGAAAAAGCTTTGGCCACATGCTATGTAGACTATAACTCCCAAGGGAAGTCACAGTACACTAGGAAATAATTGAGAATAGAATGGAAAATATTTCACGTCATTAGAAAAGAATGTCATAACAGAAAAAAATTCTTGAGGCAAAAGCAATTTCGAAGATGTTATCTCAAAACAATTTTGATTCAAATAGGAACCTTCTGTCTTTACTAAATCCCATAAGCGAAGAATGTTTGCATCAAGGCTGTAGTTTTAAAATAAGTAAAGAACATATAGGACTGTACCTTGAATCCAACTTTCTATTTTTTGATTTTCAAGACAGAACTTTAAAGGAATTGCTGTATTTCACTGGAATATATATACTTATGTATGAAGGGGAATTGTCCTTGATATAGAGAATGGTGCTTTGAATATGCACAGCAACCACACTAATCACTTTCAAGGAAGTGCTCAGATTTCTTTGCACCTTATTATCTTCCACATTTTGAAAAAAAAAGGGTACTAAGTTCCCCGACAAAGCAAACAACGAACCACCTTCTACAGGGAATGTTCAAAGTACAGTCAAAAGTAAACTTGGCAACTCTACAGGAAAAACACTTTACTCCCCAAACTTGGCAGATGCAAATGTAATTCTATACCAGGTGTATACTAGATCCACCTTAAGTGCCAGGTGCCTTGTAGCTGTAAACAGATGGTAGCATACCAGACTGGAGCCCTATACCTGTTCAAGGCTCTAAAAGCAGGCACAAGTCTTTTCAACATTAAAAAAAACTAAAATGTCCTAAAAACATCCATTTCAACTACCACCTATGGTATGATCAAAGAGGCCTGACTATATTTGAGCATGCCTGAGAGACTTGTTCCATTTATTTAATGCAAGCTTTCTAGCCTGTGAATGAATTTTCCCTCTTCAGGCAACATGGGGTTGAATGAAGAAAGGATGGTTGGTCTTTGTGGGGATTATGAGAGAGGCAGCGTTCTGGATATTAGTTTATCAATGGATGGATACATGAAGTATTGAAGCAAAAAGTGGTATATTTTGGTACAGGTTTGTAGGGACAGGGCATTTCTTGGCTTCTTCGTCTTTTCATTTTACTACCATAAATGGAAATATACTATCCACATGCTTCTTTGCCCATCATATTGTGACCTCCACCCACCCATAAAGTTCAAAGGATCACACTGTATGTCTCAGCTCTCTCTTCATTCGTAGAAGGAATCAAACCATTACCTGAATAATCCACTATGTGGGTTGGCACTCTCTCTGGAGTAACATCAGCTGGGATGGTGATTTCTTCTGCTCGCGGAGGAACCTTGGTGTGTGAAAAATAGGAACAGTCTTGAAAATGTTAAAAGGCAACAGAGCCTGTAACTTCTGATAACAAAGTAGCAAGATACATAAGATATTCTATAAGGCAGGAATAATCAAATCAACCTGGGAATTAAAATTATTTTAGGTACTTAGTAGTTGTGACCTCGTCTGCTACCTTGCTCTGTCAAGGAAATTCAAAGTTCTTGTGTATTTTGCCAGTCTCTTGTATGCCTAGTTCTAAGTACTTTTTGCAATGTATCTACTTAATAAATCAAGCACATGACTGACAGGGGTAAACTATGAAATGCCACTAAATAGCTAGACTATTGCCCTTTTTATTCAAATTGCTTTCATTATTAGTTTGGAATGGTCAATGAAATGGATAATGATGAATTACTTCAGGCATATCACTCTACTTTCAGGACAGTTAGTGACTCTAGCAAATATTCCACCACCAAGTTTACATAGAATTTCTTTTCAACTGAATACAGCATATTTCAACTGAATGGGAATTAAGACAATATTTTTATGCATGCTAGTAAATAAAATCCTTTTGTCAAACCCAAAAATGGTTTGAAATTTGTAAAATAGCCATATATTATAAAGCATTAAGTGTCCACATGAGGTTCAATCAATTAGAACTTTGCTTTGTTTCAAATTTGCAAATATGTCCAGTTCTATATTCATTAATGCCATTTTAAAAAAATCAGAAAAATCTAGATTTTTAAATGTTTCTAGTGGAAAGAGAATGGGAAATACAAAATGCTAAAAAGAATTGTTTCATGATGATTTCTCTACTCATTTTTGATACTTTTAAAGACCAAGTACTTTTCCTAATAAAATTATTCAAATATGAAGAAAACCTTACCTCTTCAGGAAATTCTTCACTTACAAGGGACATAATAAGTGATGTTTTCCCAACTCTGGCTGTAAAATTTAATACACATCACAAATTAGTTGAGAATTTCTATAACCACAAGAGTTAATTTTGTCAGAGACCCTGCAGGCCAGTATAAAATTAAATTCTACTGGCCACTGATCCATGTAAATCTGCAATGTATTCCCTCAGTTACAGGCTTCACATAACTGATAGTTAGCTCTCTTCACAAATCAGTAGACCCTTACTTATACAAGTGAAGAATATTTCTGCTGATTAAGTTTTCTCGGTTTGATGGAAGTGCCCTGCTTTTATTGAATAATGTTTCCTGCTATGACATTTTCTGTTACTGATCATTACAAAAAGCTAAACATATTTTATTTTTTTCGATTTATATCCTGCCTTTTTCCTACAAAGGGCTCAAGGCAGCTTACATCTCCTCCTCCATCTTATCCCCACAACAACAACCATGTGAGGTAGGTTGGGCTGAGAGTCTGTGACTGGCCCAAAGTCACCCAGTTGGCTCCATGGCTGAGCGGGGACTAGAACCCAGATCCTCTGAGTCCCAGTCCCACGTTCTTAACCACACCACCACACTGGAAATTCACTGTGCTTGACAACTACAGCAGACTGGAGATGGGCTTGCTTAATAGGGATAGTGTGCACCTACAATACAGAGTGGTTTTTTCCATATAAAATGACTTGTTGAAATAGCCTGTCTCTCATGGTCAGACAATGAACAAGAGGAACATTTTTTTGTCTTCAACACAAGAAACCACAGCAACTAAACCTGATAAGGAGGGTAGGAGGAAACCTTCCACCACACTATTAATACTCCCAGTTTTAGCATTACCCCACCTGTCCTTTAATATTTGATAGCACTTCTAGAATGCTGTCTCAGCAAAAGCCAGTAACATACAAAAGGTAAGCAACTGAACCATCCACCTGTGAAGCTTCAAATGGCAGATTCCACAAAGCTCACCAAGAATGCTATTATATTTGCCTCTATAATAAATCCAGTCAAAAACAACTACTAAAGCTATTTTCCAAGAATGAACGATAACCAGCATGATACAAAATAATATCCCTTTGTCAAATGCATAAGAGAGTATTTGTATAAACAAATTGTGATTACGGCAATTCCTTTTAGAAAGAAACTCTGTTCCTCCAATATATGCACACCATCAACAGCTAGCATTGATAAATCATGAGTCTCAGTAGCTAGGGCTTCCCCAAACTACCAGGCCAGTATAATGGGACAAGGTGACTTGCCACAGAGTCAGGCATTTTATATAAGGAAGAGAGGACAGGGTGCCACCCGTTTCCCTTCAGCCCAGCCAGCTAACTTAGTTTTAGTTAAAACAGTTCTACATTAAGAATTATTAGACATTCGAGATAGATTGCAGGCAGTATTTGAACAAGACACTTCTCACAAAAAAGCCACCCTGGCGACCCATGCTATCTGAACCCAAGGAAGCAACTTCATCAGTGGGGAGTTGGGATTGGTTTCAGAGCATTTTGGCGAAAGAGGCGAACCCTGTACTGCCCCTTGCTATCTCAGCCATGCTGCTGCCAGTGAGAGCCCCTCCTCTGATGCTCTAACACTTTGGAGTCTCTTTGCCTTGCCTGCCACCTTACAAAAACTTATTTAAAATGAGGTTTTCATTTTTATTTTTTTGCAAGAGGACACAAGTGCACTTGCCATGACCCAGTCTGTGCAGTATTGTCTGGACATTTCTTCATCAGTCTCAGCTGTCAAAGGGAGTCTCAAAGTGGAATAGGCAACATGCAGCACTACGGGCAAGATGAAAGCTATCAACCCTGTCAACTAACTTGTGTCCCTGCTCTAGGGCATCAGAACTCTTTGATGAAAAATGAAACTTTTCCTAAGCAAATTACCCTAATTGCATTAGAATTTTTTCAAACCTAAAGATTTTTGGAAAGTCCGTTTCACTAGTTTTGGAATGCAGCTCCCAACAGCCATAGGTAGCATGCTAATTAACAAGAAAGCTGGAAGTTGTAGTCCAACTCATCCAGAAGATACCAGGCTGAGTAAGACCATTACTCCAGGGTTTCAAGAGTTTCTCCCCTTTCATTAGTAATATTTACCACTACCCCAACATTTTAATTTCAGTAACAATACAATAAAGAATAATTTGATTCAGCTTAATCTATAACACAGATCCTGAAAATCTCAGGTATGTAACATTTGTATTACTTTAAAAATAGCTTAAGCCACCATATGAGCTTGCTATAATTATATTTCATCACCATACAGAAAAGAGCAATCTTCTGCTGCACTTTGAAAAAATTGAGTATTCTCATTTAATTAAAACCATTCACTTAAAATGCACTTTTAGAATTTCAAGCATATACAAAGCTTAGCTATGTGTTTAAAGATTAAGAGATGGCACACACTATTGCATTTATCCTGGTTTTCTCACTTCTTGCAAGGGACCTAAGGCAGCCCACAGACTTCACCTCTTCTCCATTTTATGCCCAAAACAACTTTGTGAGGTAGGTTATGCTGAGTCTCAAGGAACTGGCCCAGAGACACACAGTGAGCTTCATGGCCAAGTGGGACTTTAGAACCCAAGTCTCCCACATCCTAACTGAATGCTCTAACCACTATAGAACACATCAACTCACAACAATCGCACATCAGAAGCCACAATGCTTTCATGCCTTCGATCAGTAATTTTATATGGCAGTGATTTACTACGAATAAGGTTGCACGATGCTTGGCTCTCCCTGCAAAGCAAGCAGGAGCAGCTCAACAAACCAAGAACTTTGCAACCCAGGTTTGCTTCTTGTGATGGGTGGAACTGGAACTTTGGTTCTCTCTCCCCAGACAGGTCCTAGTCATACACTAAGCACAAAGCATCATTTATGACTCTGGCTTCTCTGGGAAAAGACAAGTTAGCCTTCAGTTAAGATATCACAATACATGAACTCTGGATCAGGCACTGCTTGTTCAAATATTCCAGATTTCATTTCAGAATTCTGTTTTACTGTGTTGTGCAACTGCAGCTCATGGCCAGATTCATACAATCCAAGGGAAGGAAAGCCACAGTAGCATCTTTTCCCTGTGCAAGCTGTTTGACCACTATGCAATCTGCCAAATTACTCTCACAGCACATGCTTCTCAAGCTGTCCAAACCTGACAAGGTGCATGTGGTGGGGGTAGTGTCCAACCATCCCGGAACCCTTTATTTATCCATCCCACACATTTCACAAGGTCTGGGTGACAATAGAAACCACCAGGCAAATTGCACAGAACAATTTGGGAGCAGACACTGTTGTGATTTCTTTTTGATCATGCAAACCCAATCACCTGGTTAATTAACTGTTTATAACCATTGTTCAAAGCCTTCAAGAAAAGCATCTGTATGAAGACTTAATTAAATACCCTTTTTATGTCAAGGCAAATTTGCTTGTCCAAGGTTTTAGCCTGGTTACAACTGTACCGCAACAACATATTTTTAATGGTGTTCTTATGAAAGGCAATGCAGGCACTTTTTTTTTTTTTTTTTGGCAAGGCAGACTTACACCTGGAAGTTAAAGAGCAGTCACACTTCCTTATGTTCATTACTAATATAATTTAACAGTAATATTTGGAACATTCTTAGCAGCTTTTCATGTCAGGAACTTCAAACACTGAAAACTGTCTACAACTGATTGAGCTCTGCATCTTTGCTTCTAGTGGCTGATGATCAACATGAGATTCTTTTTAGCTAAATTTACATTTTATCTATAGAATGGTGAAATATGTATCTAAATAAATGTGTGTGCATAAATCCAGCACACAATATCCAGTAAAGAATATTCAGAATCAGAATTCTCTTAATTGTGATTTCAAACAATTTCCTTTAACCCACCCCTCCCCTCAGTTCTAAGTGTTTTATAAACATCATGTAAGTTGAGGAAAGAGGGGGATGTATTGCATGTCATGAATATTTCCAAACGGTCTCTCATACTGCCTCTGCAGCTCCAGTCTGGCATTTCCTACAGTACAATTTGATGTTCTATCTGTTCAGGACCCATGAGAGGACACAGAACTGAATATGCATACAGCACAAGCTAATGCCTTTGTACCGCTCTGCCAGGACTCAATTAAAGAAAACTTCTGTATGCAGTACTATGCAGAGCATGCATATATTATGGAAGCTAAAGAATAATTTCTTAATTTAGTCAAAAGATAACAGTTAGATTTCCCTAGTGCATTAGTATGTATGACATTGCTTCTACTTTAATTTATGGTCTGGATTTTTTTTTTTTTTTGAGAAAAGCTAATACACTTGCATAAATCAGAATTTTATATCCAACTTTAGTTTTGCAGTTTTAACAGATGAAATCAGCATAAATCCAGGTGAAGGTCTTGGATGGCTAGTTCTCCAAGTTATGCCTTTGGAGCTTCAATTAAACAGCAAGGACTCAGCTCAAGCACTTTTTGACAGCAACCTTATACAGCAGCTAAAACATGTTCTCAAGACCTATTACTGAGATTCTACAACTACGTAATTTTAAGACAGCTTCCCCCCAACCTGAGCCACTCCAGCTGTTTTCAACATCTAGTATTCTTTACTACTGGCCATGGTGGCTGCAGCTCAGGAATAACAAAGTCACACTGCTACAGTTGTGGGTCTCTATACATGATACTAGGAATCGTTTCCGGAGGTCAAAGGTCAGCAACAAAACAGCAACTGGCCTGTTCTAATCCAACAGAACATTGTTACAACCCTTAAAATGCATGGTTTAGTTATACATAAGACTTAAATCTTCCAGAAAAAATAAAACCCTATGCCTAAAATACTGAAGCATAACTGCTTAACCATCACAGACAAGAGAATCTGGAAATAAGGAAACAGAAATAAACTAGATTTTCAAGACAACTCATACTTGCAAACACTCAATGCGAAGCTATACAAGAAAAGCTGCACAACTTTTTTGAACTGCAGAAATGCCTTCTGAAATGTGTAAAGAATAGTATTTCAACAATACCCAACAGTTACACGTGCAGAATCCACAAAAATTAGCTCTAAGGAGAAATGGGAAAATGCAGGGAGAAAAAGAAAAAAATCAAGAAAATGTTATCCTAAAATCCAATGCATGATCTCATCACCACAGCAAAAGAACACTAAGAAATACTCCAATTTATTTCAATTCCTGAACATTCTAAATTAGACCCCTTCAAATTTCAGAGTTCATGCACATTTAACAATAACAAATACACCACAAACTCATTAGCATATGGAACAATTTACTCCTTGAAAGCGTACAAGCATTTTTACTCCTCTATTAAGTGTGCAGAGTATTGTGCCAAAATCTTGTAATAATGAACATCTTCCAAATATCCTTCACTAACATACAAGAAAACAATCAATATATTCCATAGCACAATAATCAGAAAAGAAATTTTGTATTACAGGAAAGTTGCTTTATTATTACTACTACTACTACATTATATTACATTTATACTCCAACTTTCTTCCACTTGCAAAGAAACCAAGGTGGCTTGTACTTTTCTCCATTTCATTTTCACAAGAACCCTGTGAAGTCAGGTTAGACTGAGAGTCAGTGAATGGCCCAAAGTCAATGAGCTAAAACCAGGATGTCTCAAATTCTTGTTCAACAGTGCCAGTCTACTACACCAGTTCCACTCCATTACACCACACTGGCTCTCATTATGAAGCAATTTACCTTACAATGGACAGGCTACTGTTCATTCTGTAATGAGTATATACGCAAACAAAGACCTGAACTTTCCAGAAAGATTCCCATGTATTTAGTTTACAAAACAAGAAATATGGACTTCATGTCAAGATGAGCAAAGTATGTACGCAAAGCAGGACAAGTGAAAGCCAGATCTTTCCTATGCCTGCGATAGTTAAATAGTTGAACTTGTGCCTCCTGTTTTTGCTGCTTTAAACTGACATCAAGCTAACCCTAATCCAAACTGAAAAGACTAGAGGCACCACTACTTTATGAGAAAACATTCTTTCCATAGGCTATATTAGATCTCAGCAAAACACATCTGAAACCTGCTTTAAAAGCTGCTGATTAGCAGCGTTATTATTGTGTATTGTTACTGTGTTATTAGTCTAAAGAGATAATATTTTATGTTCAGTGGCATTGATTACTAAAATAAAGTAAAACTTAACTCAGATCTTTAAAGCAGCTGTTGAAGGGGTCCACACATACACAAGAGACAACTGCTTTCAAACAATGTAATTTGTAAGCATTTTGATCTAGGGTGAATCAACAATGTCTCAGGCAGAGATCACATGTTAGTCTAACTAACCAAGACTAGCTGGAGTAATAGTTCCCACAGCAAAAATAGCCAGGGTAATCTTTAATGGAGGAAACTTAGTGACTACATGTTGCAAAGAATAGCAGCTGCCTAGTCTCCTCACAGCAACACATTACTGACTAAAAGCAGGCAGGTTGTCCCTGCAGCACCAATATGAAACCAAAGGATGACCTAGAATTCCCAAAAAATGAAGAAGCTGTGGGAAGGAGGAGGGATATTAAGTCCAGTCCTTTTCCTATATGCAGAATGGGTTTCACAGTGCTATTTCACTTTCCCACCTGCTCTTCAAAGAAGAGTTGGGTAAAAGCTACGAAGATCATTCCAAACAACCTCCTTTGTCCCTCTTCCCTTACACTTTACAAGACTTTCTTCTGCACCTCCTTGAGCCAGTTTTCCCTTTTCTCAGCCTTAGCTCAGGATGTTAGGAAGTTTTCCCTCTACATTCCTTTTTCCTTGCTTCTCCTTGACCCCCTTTCCATGCCGCTTCTTTGGCTCTTTTAAACTCCCAAATCACTTTCCTGCCACCTGCATCATTTCTTCTTCCTATTAACCCTCTTCTGCAAAGAAATAAAGGGATAAATAAGTCCCACGTGCACCCCAATTGCCACAGCATCGCCCCTCCATCCCCGTCCCATTTCCTCCTCCACCTCCCCGCCCTCACCTCCTAGAGCATTCGCCTGAGGCGGCTACCGTCCCTCCCACAACCCCCTTCACCGCTTGCCTCCTCCTCCTCCTCTTCCTCCGCTTCGGTTTTGACCTTCCCCATCCCTGCCCCTCACTCACGTTCCCCCACCAGGAGGATCCTCACGTCCTTCTTCATCGCCCCGCTCCTTCAGGGCCCCGCAGCCAGGGCCCCGCTCACATCTGGCTGCGGAGATGGCCGGGGAGCCGCGGCCTGCTGCGCGCAACCCCCTCGCGCCACTCCGCTTTCACCACCCAGCTCCCTCGGCCGCCCTCGCCCGCAACCTTTCCCCCCGCCGAATACGGAGCGAGGGCTAGAGCGGCACAGGGGCTCGAACTTCCGGCACTCTCTTCCACGCCTCTGTGAGCCACCGTGATTTGCGCGGCGTCGCTCTATATTCCCATCTCGATGGTGAAAAGCAGATACGTCTTGGCAATCTCTAGCGTTGCAAATTGGAGCGGCCGCGTTCGATTTTATACCGGAAGTGCAAATAAAGTCGGCTGAGGGAAGCTGATTTCAAAGGGCTCTAGACTTAAGGAAATTGTAACATTTTTCAGAGCACTTCCGATTCTAAGTTGACCGTGTGGGGCGAGCAACGTAAAGTAAAAGGACAAAGCATCACAGAAATTAGAAAATAGAGCGCCCTCTGTAGTGCGCTTTTGTCAAAGGAATGAGGACTTACACGTGGTTCCTGTGTAGGTAGGGCTGTTGTTTTGTTGCAAAGTCGTGCCCCGTGGACAACATTCCTCCAGGCTCCCCTGTCCTCCACCATCCCTCGGAGTCCATCCAAGCCCACACCCATTGCCCCCATCCAGCACCTCATCCTCTGCCGTCTCCTTCTCTTGCCGTCAATCGTTCCCACTGTCAGGGTCTTCTCCAGTTGTTCCTTCCCAGTATGTAGGGTAGCCCATTGACATGACTAGTAAGCGAGGACAGCACTGGAGACCACCAATGGGCTTGAACGCTTCGGGATAGGTCCTTTTGATTAACTGAAGTGCCATTCATTTCACTGGGATGACTCAAAATAGAATGAACACCTGATTTTGACCCATTGCTAGGATCTCCACTTTACAGAATTACAGGAGTTTGCATACATGTGAATGGAGAAACATAAGGCATGCTTGTATTTAACAAATTGCGGGGTGGAGATGTGGGGGTGGGGGAGGGGATAGTGACCCTTTTAGGTTTAGCCAGATTTATTTTTGTTGTCACCTGCTGCATTGTCTGCTCAACATGCCTGTGCAACTATTTCTGATTTACAGTGTATTTCCATGAAATAAACCCCACTGAATTCACTGAACCTTGCTTGCTGCCAATTAACTGTGTATGTCTGCAGCCTTCCTGTGACATTCCCATTATCATTTGGAATTATACAATTTGCTATGCCTTTGTTTTAAGAGCTAACAAGGCATGATGCCACAGAATCGCTGTACAACCTGGGGCATTTCTATGGCTTTTTAAAATAATGGTACAAAAATATACACAGGAAGTCAAGGCACTTCCCAACTGCTATTGCCTCAAATTACAGCACAATCCTAGGCATGCCTAGTCAGAATGAATCCTACTGAGTCAGAATCCCACTGAATTCAAAGTTGCCTTACTCCCAGGTAACTTGACAAAAGGTTGCAGCCATAACAGCTTTTAGGGAGGACACCATTTGCTCAACTTAAGCACCACAACTTGTTCCAGGAAGAAATTAGGACTTTCGAATTTCAACTGTGTGGGATCCAGCAGTCTTAAAGATTTAGGAAACTGGTCCTCTATTAGAAATATTCACCTACAACAGAAGGTGGTTGTAAAGACAATTGACTACATGTATGGGAGCACTGTATGAATGTTAAGTGATACTTATATGGTGTCTGAGCAAAGAGCTATGTGTCTTAGGGAACTGTCTGTGGCTCATGGAGAGAACCCTCCTGATGCAACTACACAGCCTCACAAGCTTAAATCAAATGGGTTTCTACAGAACACAACTTGGAAATATAAAATGTTTTAAAAGAAATGTGTCGGGCTGTAAAGCCAGAAGCACAGTGGTGGAGGAGGGGCCCTCTCCATAAGGTCCTGATCTTCCATACAGGTAATTCTTCAGCAAAGCAGCTCCATGTATTCACTGGAGGGAAGATTGATTTGGTCTAGAAAGTTACCATTCTTACCAATTTCCCTGATTCTGAGTGATGCTGGGTTCTTGAGATGGAAGTACAGTTCTGCTGCTGTACTCTCAACCATTTCCCTGCAGAAAGACCTAGACCTAAGAGATGGTGAATGTCTCTGCAAGAGGCTAAGGTACCTTCTGCCCTCAAATGGACAATTGGGTGACACATACTGAAGAAATTTTGCTTAGATCCCATGAACTATTATTATCAGTATTTTAAGAGCAAGGTTCTGGAGAGGATGGAAGCTCTGGAACCCCAGGCAGGCATAGAATGAATTCTCTTGGACCCACCTGTCCAGTGAAGCCCAACAAGGAAGACCTTATCAGCTGAACATGGGATATCAGCTGCGGTCATGCTTAGAACCGCCAGACCTAATCCCCGTAAAGTATTCCCCAGTTATCTCTAGGCTGGATTGCTGTAATGGCATTTACACACTGAGGACTAGCTCAGATGCTCAAGTTGATGCGAAATGTGACCAGCAAAATGCTGATGGATTGCAGAAAATTTGAGAATGTGCCAGTTACAGTGGTGACCTGTTCATTTCTAGGCTGATTTCAAAATGTTAACCTTTAAGCCAACAAAGGACCAGGTTACACAAAGGAGTGCCTTCACCCATATCATCCTGCTCACCTAGGTCAATGCTGGGGTTTTGCTCATGTGCCTTTCAGCTAGAATGGCAAGTACAAAGGCAGGACTTTGTTGGTGGTGGCCACTCAATTATGAAACTCTCTTTAGTGCAGGTCTTTGAGAAACCTTCAAAAATGTACTTGTTCAAACTCCACTCTGTATTGTAGTGGTAAATTATTATTATTATTATTATTATTATTATTATTATTATAACATTTCTATGCCGCCCCTTGCCGAAACCTCGGGGCGGCTTACAACATGATATCGAAATTCTGAAGTGTAGCTGCTTATCCTAACAATGCCCATAATCGCAACTCAAGGGGAGTCCAAAAATGCAACCCTCTGTATCGATCCAGAAGACCAAACAGTTCTAGTAGTTTTCATCTCCGCCAACACCAGATCTTTTGCAAAGCTGATGACACTGGCATTACCAGCACTGCATCTCTGTGAGCCCCGGCTCCGTTACACCAGGGACCAGCAAGATAGCACTTGTGGGCACACTGGCACCCACCAAGTCCCTTGAATGTGCTTGTGACTGCCCACTTTCCCCTATCTCTAGTCAAGTCAGAGAGGTTAAGATCACTCCATTGCCTTTAATACAGGTGGGGAAAGGGGTGCCCTGCTGAAAAATGCCTTGCAGAGGCAAAACTCGCATTCCGCTGAGGTCCTTTGGGCAACAGAGTCTGGGGGGACTGGGGGGGGGGCGGAGGCTTCCTTCCCACATGGCTTTTTTTTTTTTGTAACCAAGGGACAGTTTTCCACAGATGTGCTAAAGCAGTCTTGCTCCATGAACTTTAACAGAGCTGGAGAAGAGAGTGCTTCTTTAAAAATAGTTGTGGAGATCCAAGAAGAGTTAAAATCCAGAAAAGGGGCACTCCCAACATTTTAGCCCCCCCCCCCCAGCAAACTGTAGTGTAACTTTTTCAAAATAACAAAGACACCTGAGGGCTCCAAGGGGTTGCTCACCTCTATACTAGGTTGCAGGCTCCACTCTCACCAATCTCAATTTTGCTTAAATACCTCAAATCTGAAAATTCTGTTTTTGGTATACTGATATATGTTTGCCTTTATTATTTGTAAGCCACTTTGTGAGGGTCTGTCTGAAAAGCAGAATACAAATCTATTGAATGCATACATTAATAAAAATAAAGTAGTTTTTTTGATAGATTTAATGATACATATTTTGTATGTGTGTTGCACAATTTTATTTCCAAGTTGCCTGCTTTGAAGTATCTTATGGCAGAAAATGCAGGGTACACATTATGTAAATTAAGCAAAACCATGAATGTTCCTTCATTTCTTCATTCTAAACTTATAATCTCTTTAGAACTCCTGTGAGTTTTCAGAGCTCCTGCTGGCTTGCTTTATATAGAAACAATAAGACTGAATACAGGACTGCATCTGAGGTCAATCCCAGGAATTTGGTACTTTTGCTCTTATTTATTACTTGATTTTCCCCATTTGTTGCTTGCTGCCAACCTATAAGCTAGCTCTTGGAATAAAACAACAGAGATAATTATTTTTAAAACTTCCTAGAGATAAGCATAAAAACTAATGCATAGCACATGTATTTGGTAAGTATCTAATGTAAGTTAACCCAGTTTATCCATGTGTTTCTCTACTTAGGTTTTTCTAAAGAAATAAAGTTTCTCTGGAATCTTTTCCCTGATAACGTTTAAGGCCTATGTCTTGTATCCATTGGTCCTGATGCTTACTACCTTTTTTGTATTATATGCTTGGTTCCCTACAACAAAATCTGCATAAAATACTTTTCTTTCTAACCAAGAGAAGCAAGTGTAAGGGCATGGGAAGTTATTACCATTTTATATCCATTATTGTATTTTAGCCATAAAGGAGAGTAGGTCTCTTACCTCATGACATGAAACACTGAGAGCTTACTGGCTTGCAAATTTATGGGAGTGCAGTTCCCAAATATACATCCTCTCTCCCCTTAGGTCAGGGACAGGGCGACCTTCTTGGGCTATGGGCACATTTGGCAATTGGAAAGAGCGCTCTGGGCACTATCACAAAATGGCTTCCATGGGAGATGTGGCAATGGACAAGTAAAGTGCAGAGTACATGGCAGGGATGAGGTCTGAGCCACAATGTACTAAACACTGGTGGGATCCTATTTCAGTTCCAGGAACTGGTAAGAAAATGTGCTTTTTTAGGTGGGAGGGCACCAAGAGGTATATCCTGGGATGCACTGGAGGGCAGCGGCTTCCTCACCCCTGTGTTTTGCAGCAGATTGAAACTCTAGTTCTTTGAACAAGTTTAATGACTTGAATACCAACTGGCTGCCCCCAGCCCCGATTCTGAGAATTGTATTTTTCTTATAGATGGTATAATATAGAATAGGAAAACTACATGACTTTGTTGTGCTTGCTAAATAACCTGTCACAGGCAAACAGAAGAAAGAAAGCAGTCTTGTAACATCTTTTCAGAAAACTGATGAATGTTTACCACTGGTTAAGATTCATGTATTGGCCAAGAATTTAAATATGCATTAAGACATGGGTCCTCAAACTACGGCCCGCAGGCCGGATCCAGCCCGCTATGCCCATTTATCCGGCCTGCCTCAGAGGTTTTGCATTCCCTGCACCCACTGCCGCCACCCGCCTTGACATGCTCGCGGAGATCGTTTTGGACTCACTCGGAGATCTCCAAGCGAGGAAACCACTGCCTCACCGAGCACATGCACGCTCGCCGCTGCCATCGCCTCATCAGCCCACGCCCACCGCCGCCAGCTTTCAACTGGCCCCCTGTTGAAAAAGTTTGAGGACCGCTGCTTTAAGGTTTAAAATTTGTATTTTATGAACTATGTTAATGTATAAACTTGGTGTAAACAAATCCCCGAGAATGTTCTGCCTGTTTTCTGTCAGTGTACTATTTACACTGAGACTCAGAAAAATCCACTAAGCTGGCCCTGAAGATGCTGCAGAGACAAAAATCATGCAGGCAATTTAGTTCTAAAAGCAGTGCTGAGCCAGACTCTGCATCACATCCAGTGACCCAGAATGGATAAGCTCCATGAAGGGGAAGGCTATCAGTGGGCACTAGTGCTGATGGCTCCATCCAGACTCAGAGACAGTGGACACTGGTTGCTGGGGAACATGGGCAGGAGGGTGCTCCTCCTGCATGTGGGATCCCGTGGGCAGCCAGCTGGCCACAGAGTGAACAGAGTGCTGGGCCAGAGGGACCCTTCGTCTGCTCCAGCAGGGCTCTTCTTATGTTACCTTGTGAGCCCTTTCAGTAGCCATACATTTTCTGTCCTCTGTCCAGGAAACGCTTGGCTTGATGGGCTTAATCTTAAGTCATGCCCTTTCAAGGAGCTGGGGTTTGGTGCAGGGAAGAAAGGCATATTTCACTTCCCTGACATAGAAGACCCTAACCAAATTCCAAGTCCAAGGATTCATTGGGAGAAACTGGTAGGAAGAAAATATACTGGATTAGGAGGAGTCATGCCTTAATGCTTTGTGATACTGTTTACAGTTAAGTAATCACCAACACGCATACCATAGATCCAAAAGGCAGGATAAACAGGATGGGTCACATTGATTTGAAACTGATGTAAGCAAGTTTCCTTGTTGGGGAGACAGTAAAAAGATAGGGAGTTGTTTGGAATGTCGAGGAAAACACCAACCAGCAGGGGTTTCTGTTCAGTGAGGGGAGTTTGCTGATCCCTGTGCCATGCTGAGAGCTGATTGGATGACCACTCGATGCACCAGGAGAGGTCTGTCCTCCCTAGTCTCTCAGAGTGACCAATTTCCCTCCTGGCCACACCGATGGCCCATCCAGTAGAGTTCTGAGTGCTTACTTCCCAGTAATGGTGCCCTTCAGAGAAACTCTGGGAACCCGTCACCTGGCAGTTGCGGAATCTCCAGCGAGAGGGTTCATATTCCGGAAGGAAATCGGGTACCATCACTGTCTTCCTGTCCTCTGAAAGTTCCAGTCTGCGGCTGACCCTCTCAGGATCTAAAGTCACATCTGAGGCCCCTACATTAAACAAAACAAATGTGTCTTGATCCAAATAAATCAAGGGAATTTTTGCAATGTTCACAGGCCTCACGTGCTCAGCAACAAGTTGTTCACTTCTACAATTCATGTTACTTATTTATTTGTAACATGTGTATCCTGATGAGTTCAAGTTAGCGCATTTTATTCGAAAAGTCTGCAAGCTGGGTCAAACAGAGAGGATGACTAGCCCAAGGTAATCCATGAGAGTTATCAAGAATTCAAACTTGGGTCTTTCTAATCAAGGAGATCCATCTGCTGCAGTACACAAGCTGCCATAGCAGAATGTCAGAACCTCCAATGTCCATGGCTTTCTTGAAATAGATCATGACTGCTTCACTCTTCTGTCAGTACCCAATTGCTTTAAAGTAGCATGCAGGTTTCTTAAGCCAGCCAGCCTCAGCATATGGTACAGGCATATGGAGACAAGACCACTAGGTATGGACTATGTTATGGGCAGTCACAACTAGCCACATATTTTGCCTTTAAGCAGCAAGGGAAATATTTACATTTACATTTCTACCACATGCTGTTTTTTAAATCAATGAGACATGCACTGAGTTTCTTCTCATCACAAACCCAAATAATTCCATGGCATAGATAGTGGAAGAACAATTTCTGTGGTGAGACTGCCAAAATCCACATCCCTGCATCAAACTCTCACATCCTTTTCTGTGTTGTGTAGGCTCACTAACACTGCCATGTTGTAACACTGCAGTGTTCTGGATTCCCTGCTCCAATTCATCAAGAATAAGGAGCTGGGCTGAGTCAATGCACAACGTGATTCTGTCACAACATGCACTAAGCAATGGGTCCTGGATACCTGAAGGAGTGTCTTCTCCCCTATGTGCCCTCCCGCCCCTTGAGATCTGAGGCAGAAGCCCTCCTGCAGGAGCCGTCCTTGAAAAAAATCAGGAGGGTGGCTACCTGGAGAAGGGCCTTCTCTGCGGTGGCACCCCTGACTGTGGAACACGCCCCCCCAGAGAGGTTTGCCTGGCGCCAACACTCCATTCCTTTCCGCTCCTTTCCTTTCCTCACCTTACCTTTTTCTTCTCCCAATATTTTAATTGCTTATTTGTTTTAATTTGTGGCTTTATACCTAACATCAGATATTGTGCTACTCCTACTCCTACTTCTATTTTTATTCTATTTTATTAATGTTGTGAACCGTCCCAAGACGTCTGTAATGGGACAGTATTTAAAAGTTTTAAATAAATAAAAAAATAAAATAAGCAATACTATATAATATGGGGAAGGGGAACTCGACATGGGGATGCTATTACTGGCACCAATCCTGTGGTGTACATAACACATGGTTGCACCCATAGTGATATGGGATATACTTGGATGAAGAGGTGAGACAGATTTCATCCAATAACCTATCCAGGTCCAGCTGCCCTTGCACTATTCCCCTCCAAAAACTGCCTCACATGGTAGCTGTGATCCTTCAATCAGCTTATATTCCTTCCCTGTCTGCTTCTGTTATGGCTCTTAAAGTCTAAACTGCCATGTTTCCCTGCTGGAAAATCATCTGCTACGGGGTCATGTCACATACCATAGAGGCTGGATTCTATCAGCAAGAGTGGCTTTGTCCCCTTCGGGTACCACAGGCAGGGGCTTGGCCATGTCTGCTGGTGTCTCTGGCCCTGCACTTTGTCTCTGTGCCTCCTCCCAGCAAAGAGAAAGGGCCTTGGCCAGTACAAGGAAAAACAGAGCCTCCTCCCAGGACTGGGCAAGTTCCTAGCTTCACAGAGCTGTGGACACCAGGCACCTGCCCAGCTGGCTGGTCCACACTGAGAAGAGCCGCCACCGTTCCTAGCACAGGCTAAGTCTCCACTGCCTGCATTCCCACTATTACTGCTGACCTCAGATTTAAGATAATAGTGAGAATTCCCTGATTGGTGCCCAGGAAAATCCGTTTTTCTCCTCAACCTCAGATTATTGATAACAACACAGGTGCCCCTCTCAGGAGATTCCTTTACAAGACAACGTGTGAAGGACAAGTCCCAACCTGTAGAGGGGGCTCTGAGGGCCAGACCAGGGAGCCCTGAGGGCCTTATTAAACCTGCAAGCAGAAGGTTCTGCATCCCTGCCCTACAATTTGGGAAAGCTTACAAATACCCACAAACTTTACAAAACAAAATGCATGAACACTCAGGAGCTCCAAAAACTAACCACAAAACTAAAGAAAGCAAAATCTTGGTTTCAGAATCAAAGTTTTGCTCTTGAATTGGACAAAACCTGACTGATCTCACTAGGGAAAAAATCTGTTTAGATGTTACAGTGCCAGTTCAATTGCTTTATTAAGACCTTTCCTGAAAGATTAGAACACTTCTGAACATTATGTATGTGTATTAATGCATATACTTACACTGAGAAAACGGACTTGAAAGTGCCCAAAGAGGACTGCCTCTAGGAGATGATATGGCTGAAGAACTGCTGTTAGTAGCCTGAAGTGGGCCTTGACACAGTGCTAATGAAGCAACATAAAGAGAATCTTCTGGTTAGATTTTAATTCAGCTGGAAGCAAGTTAGAGATCCTCAAAATACGAAGACGGACATTGTCAACTGGTAAGAACAACAGACATGTCTCTGACTCCAGAACCCCTCTTGGGGGTATAAAATATCTTACAGTGATGAGCAACACATGCACTTAAAGTGTGTGTTTTCCGTATAACATGCAGGGGCCTTTAAACTTTGTCCCAGTTGCTCAGAAGCTGCTTTTTCATAAGCAGGCAATGTGAGGTTTGTGCAACACTTAGCAGTTTCTCTACCTGGGGGGCTTAACCCACTGCTTTACTGAGGCTTCTTCTGTTTTCACGGTGGGTGGAAAGGTGCATCCTTTGTGTGAACAGAGTTGTTTCCTTGGATTTGTATTTCTCTGCCTTTCCGTGTAGTCTATTACGCAACCACAAGGTGACACTGAAGCATAGGTGCAGTATAGCAAATTTGGAAGAGTTTGCCTTGGTGTGTCAAGTTTTAAAATTTAACAGCATACTCTTCTTGCTCCGAAAGTATCTGCAAAAAGGGCTAGCAAACATCAGAGAGGTTCTGGAGGGTGACAACATTGTGAAAAGGCCGCACAAATATCTGTGAGTGGGAGGATCACAAGAGTACAAAATACACACAGGGAAGGTCCTGCGCAAACATTTTGTGGGAGATTGGAGAGATTCATGAGGGAGGAGGCCATCGGTGGCCACTCGCTTTGTGGGCTATGCACTTCCTCCCTTACCAGAGGTGGCCTGCCTGCATACACCAGGTGCTAAGGAGCTTGGCAGGCAGGGGTCTGGCACCCATCCTGCTTGGGGGGATTGTGTGGGCAGCTGGTTTGCCAGCATGTGAATGACATGCTGGACTAGATGGACCTCTGGTCTGATTCAGCAGGGATATTCTTATGTTCTTATTATGCAGGTCTTGATTATGAAATCAGGCATCCAGCCAAGTCATGGTCCCATGCTGACCAGACGGGTTCAAGAAGGAGAGAAAGAAGAGCTGTTGCTTTGCCCTGTCCCTGACTCCAAAATGAGGCAATGGCAGGGATGAGCTGCCCACCTGGAGGGCTTGCGAAGGTCTTGCCAGCTGCCCCTTCACGAGTGGGAGGAATTTTGGGGAGAAGTTCCCAGTTTGAGTTCAACATTCTTTGCATGAGCAAAGGGGTATCTTCCAGCTTATAGAGGGCTTTTAGAGTTACCTTGCCTTGTAACTGTGGAAGTGCCCATAAAGATCTGACTGTCTGGTGTTTTGGAGTCTAAGGGCAAGAGGGGAAAGGCCAAGCATCCATGCATGAAAGCCTACAGCCAGATAGGCATCACCCCAGCTAGACTGAAGCACTACTGTGCTTTTTGGCCAGTCCATCCAGAAGATGATACAGGCTTTTGCACCACAAAATCGTTGCCCTACACCTGCCCTACAAAGCTAGGAAGCCACCTTATATCAAGTCAGCACATTGGTCCAGACAACTCAGTCTTGCTTACACCTTCTGGCAGTGCCTTTCTAGAAAGATCTTTCCCAGCCCTACCTGGAGATGCTGATTGCACAGTAAAAGCCTCATCTGGAAGCTCATGCGGTCTGCCTTGAGGAGCAGATGTGGACCTTTGTGGGCAGCGGGCTCTGAATTCTGCCATCTCCCTGAGTGGGGAGACGGGCTTTAATTGCAGAAAACATTTCTTCCACTGCTTGATACATGAGACTCCAATCACATAAAACTTTGTGCACTGTTTTCATTCACACAAGCAAGGATTCCATGTTCTACAGCACTTGCCAGAGAAAGAACGCAATCCAGTTTTAAAAAGTACTTACAAGAATTGCTAGAGGAGGTGATTACATCCTCTGTCATTTCCATTTGGATGCCATTGCTTGTTCCTGGAGTTGGTTCTGCAGCAAAAAGAAACTCACTTCTTAATCATTGAGACTGGTCACTGACTTCATTTAATGTATTCCTAAATAAGCGAGTCACCTTTTAGGTGCCTACCTGAACTGTATGAACTTCATACATCGAACTGGCTCCAGATTCTGGGGGGCCCTTGGCCAAGACAGCCACCACAGGCCCCACCCTCAATGAGCGTGCCTTCTCACAGCCACTGTCACCAGCTTCTGCTCCTCTTCCTTCATATGGCTACCATCTGCTTGCTTGGCAGGCAGAGAACCAGGAAGTGGGCAGGCCAGGGGTATCAGCTGCCCCTTTTTCTCACAACCACCACTGTCTGGGTCAGTTGAAGACGCGTCTGCATGAGCAGGTGAAGAGGAGGAACAAGTCCATGGGCTCCTCTCAGTGGACTTTGGCACTGCATGTTGGGCCTTGGTAGGGGCCCAGCCATGCCTACCTTTTCTGCCAGCCCCCTCCTTGTAGCTCTGTCTCCATGCTCCATTTCTATCTAGGTGATAGAACTGACCTACTAAGGAGGGTTCTTGTGAGGAACTAGTTCCTGGTCAGAAACTAGTCTACAGAATGGCCGCTTTCAGGTGGAATTGGATGGTGGTGAGCCAGGACCCTGCCCATTAAACCCAAAATGGCATGCCAGAGGTCTCTCTGCAGCAGCATCTTTCCTCCTCTCTTTCTCTTGCCTCTCAGATAGCACTGGGAACAGCATAGGGTATCCCCAGTGCCCTTAAGAGGGGGTCTGATTGGGTTCTGGGTCTCCCAGCTGCTGATCCCTCTTACAAGGATAATGTATGAGAAGCACTCTGAACAAATGTTATGCAAATACTATCATCATGAGCTACACATGTCACTGTCCACATCTGGACTATTTCCAAAGAAGATGCATGTGTCTACATCTCATGATAAAGACTGGAGCCACCAGCATGAATATGTGCTGATCAGTCTTTTAGCCAATCTAAATTGAACTAAATTCACCTGCCACCAAAACTTCAGTATAGGGGCCTTTTTTAAATCTTGCAAGAACAACACATGTTTGTTATTAGAATCTATTATAGCTTCTAATAATAAACATTATCACTCCTTCCTCTAAAAAGGCCATCTTTGTTTCCTTTGATAAAGTCCCTGTTCACATAACTCCCAGGACCAAAACAGCCGCAGAGGAAGAGTTCTCTGCCCATGCTGTGTCCATCTGCACTGCAAACAGGACCACAGAGAAGTATAACAGGAAAAAAGAAAAGGATGGAGGAAAGGGGGCTTGCTATCCAGGATACACAGAGCAACCAGGAGCACTCCGAAGACTGGCGGTACATCTGTATATGAGCACCTATGAATGCACAGTGCAACACAACACATAATGATCATAATTCATAAACATTCATAAACTGGATTAGATTCAGTAACAAGCTCCTACGGCAGTGTATAATTTCAGGACAAACATCTCTGCCCCACCTTTTTCATTTGCCTCCCAGGAGTATTTTGCTGCTACTGTTTTCTGACATGGCAATGCTCATGCTCTACTTGATCCTCACTGTCGGAACCACTCTTGTGTAAATCAACTGTGGGCCATCTATGGCCCTCCAGATGTTTTGATCTCCAACTCCCATTAGCTCAAGTCAACATGGCCAATGGTGAGGGGTGATGCAAGGTGCAGGCCAAAATATCTGCAGGGCTACAGGTTGCTCACCTTGCTGTAAACAATGTAGACTCAGTTTTACTTCTATAGATATCATAATGTAAAGATCCAGTGTGGCACAGGACAGCCAGAGTGGCTAGAGTGCTGAGCTTTGGAGATGTATGTTTTAGTCTTCATTCAGCCTAGTCCTCATTTGGATTAGTTTCTTGTTCTAGTCCGTGTTTCTCTCAGCCTAACTTCCTTCACAAGACTGTTCTGAAGATAAAATGCAGAGGGGAACCTTATACGTAAGCTGCCTTGTGCTCCTTGCAAGAGGAAGAAAGGCAGATTATAAACTGAACGTAGTGATGATTTATTTCTGTGATTCAATGATGATGATGGAGTCAGCACATTTCTAACTATCTTTTGTCAAGGGACCAATACATCCTTTGCCTACCTTCTGGCAGCTGTGCTGGGTAATTCCCCAAGACTGCCTTTTCCAGCTGTCTTTTGAACTCCTCCACGGCAAATATGATTCTACTAAACTTTTGAATAGCCAGGGAAAATTCATTCACTCCAATATCGCTGCCAGCATAAACTTCTTGCTCGGATGAGACACACTAACAGTATTAAAGATAAAAGCACAGAAAGAATGAACAACGCTTTTTCCATCAAGGATATGTGATGTTTCTGTAATTAGAAAGGAAGCGGTTTCTTTCAAGGTTCAAGAAAGCTCTGTTTTTTATCAATTTTCACCAAAGAAATTTTCACCATCTTTGCACCACTTTGCACCAATCTTCACCGTCTTTGCACCACCGACAAGTGGTCGGCTTTACCGCTTTTAGCAATGGGCAGACCTCAGTGTTTTTACTCTCAGAGGCTTCAGTCCAGGAAAACGTTATATACACTTTGATTCCCACTGAAACTACCTGATGCCACAGCCAGACCAATGGCAGGCACTGGAAAGTCTGAGTGCAGACTTCGAATCTGCTCCCCTTGCACTGGCTGCCTGTATGTTTCCAAGCCCAATGCAAGGTACTGATTTTGTCCTATAAAGCCTTGCATGGCTCAGGTCTTTAGTAGCGGATGGAGAGTCTCTCCCAGTAGGAACTTACACAGGCACCACAATCAGCATCTGAGGTCCTTCTCTGAGTTAGCTTTGGAGAATGGTAACAAGGGAGACGGCCTCCCAGAGGTGGAATGATCTCTCCAGTGAGGTCCACCTGGCAGCAACATTGTCAGATGGTCAATACCAGGTTACAAGTTTCCTTTATTCTAAGGTATTTGATGGCATATATTGCCCAGAAACCTTGGCTATTGGGATTAGAGAAATGTAACGAATACATGTGTGAAATCCAAATGTATGGAATGAAGCTATTTCAAGTTATTCTTTTCCAGATCTGCTGCTACCATGGTCTTTATCTGAAAGCCCCAAAGTCATACTTTCCTGATTTGTATTCTCTTCCTCACCACCTCAATCCCCTCCTTCCTCCTGCTATTTGCCCTGTGGGTACAAGGAACCTCTGGTTTGTAACCACTTACATGGCTGTTCCGCCGAAGCCAATAAAACTCACTCTCACTTACAACCTGGAATAAGGCTAATCCATCTTTTTAGACACTGGAGAGGCCCCATGTCACGCTTTCTTCCCCTACGGAAACAAGTCCCAACTTGCTCAATGTATCCTATTATTTCACACCATTAATGTCACTTCTCCCCCTGCCTGCCACACTTTTTACCTTCATGACTTCTTCAGAGTTACTTTGCAAGTCCAAAAGCATGTCAATTCTTCCACTGAGTTGTTCCTTCATTAATTCTGTTTTTTGTTCAACTTCAGGATATGCTAGGTCAATAACATCCAGCACCATTTTCTCTTGGTCATTAAAGTATTTCTTCATAAAAGCAAACACCTCTATAATTGAGCTTCTGCTATGAGACGCACAATCCTAACATCAGGAAAGAGAAGCCGATTAGGACCAATTTGAACATACAAGTCTGCCTAGCATACAGTTATGTGGGGTGTCCATTGTTGGTCCAAGTTAGAGTAGATCCATTACAATAAATGGGATTTGCTGTGATTGTAGGTCTACTCTACTTGGGTGCAAGCCTTTCTATTTCCTCTTAGTGGGAGGGCACAACTCTTCAAATGCTTTTGGCCTAGATCAGCTAACTCACTATCCTACTGTCAGAAATGCTCTTTAAAATTGGACGGTATTGCTTCCAGCATTGGACTACAGCTCCCTTACCATCAGCTCCTTTTATGCAATTACTGTCTCTTCCATCCCAGTGGAGAGGAAGAGGGTAGTGGCGGATCTGCCAACAAAAAGAAGAGCAGTTCAAGAAGAAACTGAATTTATTAGAAGCAGGAGCTCAAATGGGGACACGTGCTCCATTTTCTACTGAGGGTTTGTGCTACTTGCAAGAGTGTGCCGATTATTCCCGGTCATTGCTTCTATGGGCAATGCACATATCTGCATTTTGCAATCCCCCTAACATGCCATTATGGTGGCGGCAGCGGGGCATGTAAACATTGTCTGCACAAAGAAACAGTCTCAAAAAACTTAACATTTCTAGAGCAGGTAGAAAGAAATCCAAAGGATCATATATACCAACCTTCATATTAACGCTGTCCTTCCTACAGCTGTCAATGGCCTCAATAGCCACCTCTATCTGTTTGGAGACTTCACTTATTTTCATCACATCCTGAAGGGTAAAAAATAGCAAGTCAACAAATAGGATTTCAATAGAGAGTACTTCTGATAGGTGTGCACAGATCATTTAATTCACGGAAGCATGCACTTAACCACTGGACTTGCATTACAAATATTGCAAAATGGGGGTGGGGTGAGGACACATTTGGCAATAGCACTTAAATGCTCCCTATTTTCTAAGCACCAAAGTGGAGGAGGTAATTCTAAGTGTCATTCAAGATTTAGGAAAGGGAGAGTGGGATGCTTATCTAATGGGCTCAGGGAGAAGTAGTAGGGGAAAAATTTCCCCTGGGTAGGCATGAAGATACAAGAAGGGTTGTCCCGCACAGACTCATGGGATATGTGAGATGAGATGGGATGATTCAAGGGGGGAAAGCCATAGCAAACCATGGAGACTATCATCACCTTCTGGGAGCAACATGACTTAGTGAGTGAAAAAGCAAGTGAACAGCCAGCCCATGGTGGCCTATTCCCAGTATGGCTTATCCTGAGGTGCAAATTTCCCCAGTGTCAAGATTATTTATTTATATTAAATCGGTTTAAAAGCCACCTGTAAGCATCATGCTGTCTGGGTGGCCATCACAATATAAAATCAACAAATAACGTTAATAAATTAATAAAAATAATAAATAAACAGAATGAAATCACAATAACATAATTAAATAAAGATAAAACAAGCATTAATATAATTTAAAAAGAGTGTATTGATAGAATTGTGAATGCCTGGGGAAAACCCTTAAGAAAATTTTGGGGAAAAAAAGTGTTGGCCCCTGTATTTTGGAAGGCTTTTGTTTGTTTGTTTGTTTGTTTTTCTGAAAATTAAATGGATGATGGAATGCTTTCTTTCAGAATGACAAACACAGAGTTTCAGTCACAATTTTTATATATCTACTCCCCAAAATGCTTTTTTAAAATGATGTAACGACGTAAGACCACATAGCATCAGACCATTCCAATTCTTGTGTTCTGAGGACAAGCAAGACCTAGGTTGTAAACTAACAAGATGCATTTTTGCCTGTTGTAACAGAAGAACTTTCTTCTTTGTTTAAGAGCTTCCTCTTGTTGGTCGGGTTGCTAGATCTAACCACAACCCTTCAGTGTTTAGAAGTTCTTGCTAACTATGGCAAAGTAGCAGAAGGAGCAGAAACTGATTGCAATTGCTATGAAAATAGGACTGATTACTTTTCATATACATTCACAGAGTTTGGTTTAATCCTCCCTTTCCCCCTCAGTTCTTTTAATGAGAATGGATGTTTTATATTTACTTGACACTGTGAAGGAAAGTACGAAATTATCTTCACTTTACTGATTGGTTTCTCCTGTTTTGATTTTTGTTTGTTTGCTGTGCTTCTCATGAAGTGACAAACCCAAAGGAGTTTCTTACAGTTCAGCTGTTCCATACAGTTCAGGTGTCCATTACGGTTCAGGACACCAACCAACCACCCAGGAATTTGAAAATTCTGCTTGTAGTTATTGCTTGTAATTATTGTTTGAATAAATTATACTTTTAATATTTATTTATTTATTTATTTAAAACTTTTCTAGACCGCCTCATTACCAAAGTCTCAGGGTGGATTAACAATACAAAATGTAAAAAATTTAAAACACAGCATCCAAACATGATGGCATTGATATGCCAAACATGATTTGTATGCTAAACCAAGTTCCACATTATCCTGAAGAAACAAAGTGACTTTTAATGTGTAACGGATACCAATTTTGTTCAATTTTCCCAAAACTTTCCATCTTTTCTCTGAAAAAAACCCCCAGTCTTTTCCCCACAGCTTCAAAACTTTCAGAAGTCATACACATCTACCCTCTCAACTGTATATCATTGTCCCTTCGGCTTTCATCAGCTTGGTGGGGAGCAGCCCTATTGTCATGCACACACATCCTGTCAAATTTCAGGTGTGCTCTTGGGAGGTTCCCAGGACGGACTGTATCAAAGATACAGATTACGATGATGAGACTGTTTATGAAACAGTTCAGACTCCAGCTACTTCCTGATTTTGGGCCCCTCTTCTCATTCATCAAGCTGAGGGGTGGTGCTCATTGAGGAATGCTTTGCACATATTCAGAGGCTCCCTTGTCTTTTTTTTTCTAGAGATGTGTTAGCCTGTTCAGTCTGGAAGATTTATTGTGGCATAAAGTATTATGACTATACAGTCTTAAGTATTATCTTTGGGTGGCAAGTACATACACACACAGGGCTTAAAGGAAGAGGATATAAACAGTGAGGCCATGAAAAGGAAGAGGGATGTAAAGAAAAGCACTAATGGATTTTGTGCCACTCCTTATCTTAGGAGCCAGGAAAACTTATTGCTGGAACAAATGCTGAGAAGATCTGGACACAGAGGACTGTCTGGCACCCCAGATTTAATTTCTAAGGACCCCTCCAGATGGATAGGTTTGCTGGAATGGTCTCCCACAAGCTATACCAGAACTGTGTTGATGATAGCTACATTGACTGCAATTAGTTCAAACCTACTAGGAGCTACCAAAATTAGTTCTGAGTGCTTTTCTCCACAAATGTATAATAATTGAACTACAACCTGTTCTCCATGTGTGCTTAAGTTTACTTATTTTTCTCATTAACTTTATCTAGAAAGTTAAATTTTCACAATATAGCTTTGTAAACACATTTCATATCGTTTAAGTGATGTATTCATATCTATGTAGTGACATTTTCTCACTTCTTTTTAAAGCTTTGTTTTGTTTAAATTTATAATAAAAATAAATAACTATAACTTGCCTTCCATACTAGTTATATTACTATCTCGAGATAGTACTTCCCACCATCCCTTTTGGGTTCCACAGTGATCAACTTGTATCCCAAAATGGTTTGGACTATAACTCCCCTCCTCATCAGCCCCAGCCAGCATGGTCAATGGTCAGGGATAACAGGAGCTGTAGTCCAAAACATCTGAAAGCCCCACTTGCTTATCCCATACTAAGTCATGCTCTCCGATACCAACTTTCTGCTTCTGTTATCTGATCTGTTCCGACGTCTTCACACGGTCGAGTCATTACTAGACGTCAGAGCACCCGGTGATAATCGCGTTTATCAGCACCGTCTTAATAAAGCAATACCTTGAGAGTATACGGAAGAAGTCCAGCCAAGCGCTTGAGATCCTGGGATATACTGGCTTCTTGGTCATTCCTCCAGGAAGAATTCAAACAGTAGTTTCCGGGCCTGCTTTCACATATTCCCGGGGTCTTAATTCGCTGAACGATTTCCACTATGTTGGCAAGCGATCTGTTACCTACCAAACCATTTGGAGGAAGCTCACTCCTGCATGTGGGGCAGGTTGCCTTGGCCCCCACTTTTTCGCAGTGCTGAGAGATGCACTCTTTGCAGAAGCTGTGGGAACATTTTATACTCAATACAGGGCTGTTAAAAAGGTCCAAGCAAAGGCAACAAGTCAATTCCTCCCAAAAAAGTGTATCAAGCCGGGCAGCTTCAGCGAAAGTAGCCATGGTCTAGAGAGGCACCGTTCAAGCCCGCTTTCGGTTTCCTTTATTCCGCTAGAAAATGTTTTCTGTGCTGAAGGGTAAGGCTATTAGGTGGCTGTTCTACTTCCCGACTTAGTCGAAGGCTGCTTAGCTTTCGGTTCAGAAGAGGCAGGGCCACGGGACACGGCCCTCTTCTGTTGCGGCGGAACGATCGGCGTTGGCCTTGCGAGCCAGCACGCTCCTTTTCGGAAATGTACAGATGGGGAGGCGGGAGGAAGAGACAAAGTGTAGCACAGCCTGGGAAGGTGCGAAGATGAGCTGGGAACGGTTGCCCGCGCTTCTCCGAATAGGTAGGTAGGAGCCAGCGTTGCGGCGAGGGCGAAGTCTTTCTGGGAGGTGGAAGGGGCCCTGGTCTGGAGGAAATTTTAAATGATTTCTTCTGCCCTGTGACTGCCTGCGTGGTGCGGCGGTAAATTGCCGCAACTCTTTGTATGGTTACTCAGAGATAAACCCCCTTATAGTCGGTGATTCTTTTTTCCAAGTAAATGTGCGTAGGATTGAAGTCTAAATTATAATAATGAAAAAGTAGCCCTTTTTCCCCTGAAGAGAGAGAATTCGAAGAGATTATGGGATTCAGAGACGCCTCTCCCCCCAAGTCTGAGCTTCAGTATGTCTTTGAAACAAAACGCTGGTCATTTAAGTAACATTGGAGTCTTGAACAGTAATAGAATAATATTTTCCTCGGCGCTCTTGCTCAGAGAGTGGCTTGAGTAGATATTCAAGGTCCGGAGCCAGTACTACAGTCTCTCTCAACATGTAACCTCCAGATGTTTTGAACTTCCAGCATTCCTCACCAGTAGCTATGCTGATGGGAGCTGAACTCCAAAATGGGAATTGATAAGAATAGAAGCCCAAACATCTAGACAGGGCTGGATTGGAGAATCCTGCAGTAATCGTATACAATGTATTACTTGTTGCTAGTAATGTGTGGATAGTAATGGGGTGCAGTGGCTCCAACTGGCAGGTGTGATACATAACCTCTTCTGCTTTGCAAGGTGGATGGGAGGCACAGTATGTGCAAGGTGCTGATGAGGATTACATATGCACATCTTCATTTGAGTTATGCCAGCCAGTTGTTGTGCAACAGGCATGAAGTTTTCTGTTTAGTAATGAAAACTGAGCTCAACTGCTTGTGGGCATTTTCTTGTCTTGTGAAGAAACTTGGAGCTCCTAAATACATCTGTTCCTCAATAACAAGGTCAGTCGTGGTGGATAAACTTCTCTGAGTGGCGCATTAGTCACCATTACTGCTCTTTCCCTACACCTTGTAGCTGCAGGCAGTTTTTTTGGGCATGTTCTGAAATGCATATGCCGTTCTTGCTGGTCCAGCCCACTTGCTTCGATGGCCTGGGTACATGAAGTAGTACTGTGCCATGGGGACCTTCAGAAAGTCCTTACCCTGCTCCTTTTACCAGACACCATATGAGGCTACTATGTTAGTCAATATAAATGGATGTGGGGTTGCTATAGTATTGTCAGTAAGATTTAATTTATGTTAATCTATCCTAAACGAGGGACTGCAGGTGGCACAGTGGTTTAAACCGCTGTGCTGCTAGGCTGGTAGATCGGAAGGTCGCCGGTTTGAATCTGCACAACAGGGTGAGTCCCCATTGCTCCATCCCAGCTCCGTCCAGCCTTGCAGTTCGAAAGCATGCAAATGCAAGTAGATAACAAGGTACCACTTCGGTGGGCAGGTAACAGCGTTCTGTGCACTTCGGTGTTTAGTCATGCCAGCCACATGACCACGGAGACTGTCTGTGGACACTGGCTCCCTCGGCTAGGAAACGGAGATGAGCACTGCCCCCTAGAGTCAGGCATGACTGGACTTAATGTCAAGGGGAAACCTTTACCTTATCCTAAACGAAAAGCACTGGGTAATTTGATAACTGGGAGGAATGTTGTTTTGAACCAGTAAAACCAGATGCCAGGCCTCTGATATACACTTGGCCAGCAGTTGGATGTAAGTGAGGTACATGTGTATACGAGAGTGAGTGATGTGTGTGCATGCACATGTGTATAGCACCTGCCACCGTTACAGACTCCTGATGCAGCCTTAGGGGCTGAAAAGCTTGTGCACCTCTAGCCTTGAATATGTCTTAACATGTGCAGGGAATCCCCAGCTGATTTGGAAAGAGTTCCCTGAATGTAGAAAGACTGCAACTGTTTTACCTTACAAGGAAAGAGCAGAACATTTGGGATTTTTTTAGTTTAGAAAAAAAGTGAGTGAGGGGAGATACGATCAAAAATGGTAAAATTATGCATGATGGGTGGAAAAAGCAGAGACCTTTATCAGAACATTAGAATTTGACTGTGTGTAAACTGCCCTTAGAGCTGGATAATATGGAAGTTTACTGAGAAGTCTTCTGAGAATTTCTTCTTGTGTCTTGGAGAGTTGAGTGGTACACAGAAAGTATAACTTCTGTGGTTGAAGAAGGTGCCTCTTGTAAATTTTTCCCTTCTTTCTGGTAGAATATTTATTTATTTATTTATTTATGAAAACATTTTTATGCCGCCCCATTCGCCGAAGCCTCGGGGCGGCTTACAACAATAAGTAAATAATCATAATTAAAAGTCTAAAATATATACATTAAAATAAAATACAAACATACAGTATAAAATAAGCCGCCCTGGCCAGATAAAATTCAATAATATTAACATTTAAAATGCTGCTTAAATAAAAAGGTCTTTGCCTGGCGCTGAAAAACAAATAACGACAGCGTCAGGCGGACCTCTCTGGGGAGTGCGTTCCATAACTTAGGCGCCACCGCTGAGAAAGCCCTCCTCCGAGTAACCACCCTCCTAATTTCTTTCACGGAGGGCTCCCGGAGAAGGGCCTCTCCCACCGATCTCAGGGGGCAGCTGGGCATGTATGGAATTATAGGACACTGAAAGGTTGATAAATACTTAGAAAGATTCAGAGATGAATATAGGGATGTTTCTGACTTTCTTGGTAGATTTAATTAACTGCGTTTACTAGTGGGTGAGACCCCGTGAATGCTTCAGCTAATTCTATTACTGATAGGGTGGAATGACTTACGTGTTATGGACACTTTATTTTCAGGTAGAAGATGTTTTCTTCAGGTTCCATTCACTTCATCTCAGCTTCCACAGTGTCACAGGAAGTCGACATCCATCATGCAAGAAGATTCTGCATTAGCAGTTGAACATTTGAAGGAAACAGCACATACAATAGATGATTTGTTTTCCTCTGAGCAGAGATCTGCTGTTTTGCAGCTACTTAATTCAGGATCCAGAGAAGAACTTTCTACTGTGAAACTACTGCGAGGAAGAAAGTCTGCTAACATAGTGGAATATAGGAACAAGCATGGACCATTTCGAGATTTACACACTTTACTAGAAGTGCCTCTATTTCAACATAAAACAGCTGTTAACGTGTGCAACTTTATTCTTACAAAAGATGAAACAAAAGAGAGAAAAACAAACATTCCCGTGTGGGCAATGAGATGTATCACGCCTCCAATAAAGGCAGAAAGGCTAGAGGTATTATTTTTAGTGTCTTACAAACTCTGCTTTTTCCTGCATACTAATGTTGCATGTTGTAAACCACTATGCTATGGGGAGGCATAGAAATGAACTTCATGTATTCCAGTGATATGTGTGGCCAAAAATACCCCCCCCCATAGCCAATTGTACCAGTACCCAAGCATATGGGATAAATTTTAACCTTTTAGAATGGGGAAAAGTACACAAAGGCTGAGAATGAAAGAAAAAATGTGCACAATAATTAATGGTTGGGGAAAGGGGATGGAACCATGAGAAGTGTGCACGGCAAACTGCTGGAGGGCTAGAAGGCAAGATTTGGCCCTCGGGCCTCAAGCTTCCAGCTTCTGAGTAAATATGAATGGAACTCATCTTCCCAGGATTTAATCTTAAGTTGTTAGGTGAAATTATGTTATGGCAGGGATTTATAGATCTTATGCAGTATCACATGGCTTGGCATGTTCAATGGGATTTGTATGTTGTCTAGATTTGAGCAGACAGCCATGACCCCTCACAAACTGCTGTCAGAAGTTCCCTCTTTTTCAAGGGAGGCTTGCTATTTGGCATGTGGGAGCTGGTGTTCAGGATATGGTAGGCAAAAGCTGTTTTAGGTATGCAAAACAAGGTGCTGGCCAAGAACATTTTATTAGAAATTACTTGGAGCCAGTTCACATGTGGACCAAGTATTATCTGTGGGTGTCTTTGTGAGTAGGGGCTGCTCATACATAGGAGTTTTCTGTGACTCTGTTGCCATGGTGAGACCATTTCCTGGTGGCGGTGGTGGTGGTTACATTGCTTTTATATCCCACCTTTTTCTTGTGAGGAACACAGGGTGGCTTACATAACTCCATTTCATCCTCATTAGAATAGCCATGTCAGGGATGTTGGACCGAGAGTAAGTGATTGGCCCAAAGTAATCCAGTAGACTTCATGGCCAGGCAGGGACTAGAACCCAGATATTCAGCGTCCCCAGCCCAGCACTCTTAAGCACCATTCCACAGTGACTTTTCAAAGTTTACAGAGACAGTTGCCATTCCTCTGCAGAGGAGCAGTCAACCAGTTAAGCTGGTGTGCCAGAAGAGACTTGTAAAATCAAAGATATTCCTGAACACTCTGTGCAGATTTCCAGTCAACATTGTTCTCAAGTCCCTGGTCTCAACACGATTGCTTTCTCGTAGCAATTTTGAGCCCAACTCATACTCTGATTTACTGGGGACCTATTGGTTATGAAATAGGCAGGATGGTGACAAGAACATTGATGGCACAAATTGTATATAGCTGTTGTTGATGAGCTGTTCAGTCACATCTGACTATAAGCAATCCTATGGGCCAAAACTCACCACACTTTTTGATCCCATGCTACCTCTTTCAGCTGAACTATGCTCTGGCTTGCATCCTCTTTGATGGAGTCTAACCACCTCATTCTTAGGTGACCATGTTTTCTCTTGCGGTTGAGCATTCCAAGTATTATATCATTTTCTAATTAGCTTGATCTTAAGTGAATATGACCAAATACAAGTGAGAACACTCCCCACCCCACCACCACCACCACTTTCCAACAGTGAAGTGATTTTACTTCTTGGTCTCCATTGTATCCTCAAGTAGCTGTCTGACAGAGCTTTTCTGGATGATTTTAATAGGTTGTTGAAATCAGGAGGGGGCATGGCAGCACTCTTGGAGGTCCTCTTTGATAAGTTTACAAAAGTTTTGAGGACAAATTTACTCGTGCCCATACTGAGACAACTTTTTGAGACAGTTCCACTGAATGTGTCCAGAGTGCATCTGTTCTGGTCTTGTGGGATCAGTTTTGGTCAGTGCATCTTGAGGATATGGACAATGTGCTTGGAAGATGAAGCTAATAGCCAATGGCATTGATTCTTGTTCGTCTTGGTTGTTTTCCATTTGGAGAAAGGGGTCTGATGGATGTTTTCAAGAGATATTTAATTCTCCCTTGTGAGGGGTTAGTGGTGCCAATCACCCTGGAAGATTTGATTGCATATCCACTGCTTAAAAAACTTTCCTTGAGCTCGATAGATTTTCAAACACATATCACCTGATTGCTTATATCCATTGTTTGGGCAAGATCTTGAACAGGCTTGTGGTGGCTCAGCTCCAGATACTTCTGGAGGAAGCAGAATCTCTAGACATGTTTCACTCTGGCTGAAGGTTTTGGTTTGGTACTGAAATAGCTTTGGTTGTGTTGATGAATGACTTTTGTTGAAAAAGAGATGAGTATAAACTTGCCAATTACTGCTTTATCTTAGTGGTTCTGATGATGTCAGCCATACTGGAGTGGCTTTGTGGAAAGGTAGTAGAAGCACAATAATATGGTGGTTCCAATTTTATGTGCAGGGCTGGTTTCAGAAACTTGGATTGTAGGGCTAGGATTGCTTCATGGCTTGGCATTTGAATGGAATCCGTTTATCCCGTATGGTCTTCACTGTGTGCATGAAGGTGTTGGATGAGGTCATCAAGGGATTTGGAGTGAGGAGATATCAGTATGCTAATGATGCCCAGCTGTATCTCTTCTTGTCATTTGAGTCATATCCAGCTGCAAAGGTACTGAACCAGTGAAGTCAATAATGGGCAGAATGATGGCCAAGAAACTGAAGCAACAAGATGGAGGACCTGTGGAAAGATGGTCCTCATGCTGACAAGTGGGTGTGCAGTGTATTTCAGATGAGATTGCACTTCTCTTGGAAGAAGAGATGAACTAGCATTGTTACTTATACCTCATGTGGCCTCAGTGGCTAGGAGTGCCTTTGCCAGCTTTAGTTGTTTAAGGTACATTATGTATCAACAAGGGAGAAAGCCTTCCTGGTTTTGGTTCCCCGACTGTAGTCTATAGTCTGCCCCACATGGAGGTATGAGAGGTGCCAATGCTGCAATTGTTTCGTCACCAGTCCAAGTCTTTTCTGCTTTGTCAGGCATTTTAATTGACTGATTTTGACCATTTTATAGTGTTGGCTTTTTTCTTTTTATGGCAATATTTGTTTTAATGTTATTTTTAAACTGACCTGATGTCTACAAGGATATTTTTAAAATGTTTTAATAAACATAAATTAAATAAAGTCAATCACCTACTTGTAGTGAACAGATAACAAGGTGGGGGATTTCACATGTAGGCTTGGTGCCTCTTTCCTGATTCACATTAAAGTTTGTTTATAATGTGAGGGAAGATGCACAAGCCTGAATCTTGATTCTCTTCTGAGGCACCACTGAGTTCAAGGGGCCTCTGATTCAGCCACTTTCCAGGGTTCTCTCATTTTATGATCTTGGTAGTTTCTGACAGAGGAAAGCACTAAGGTGGTTGCAGCTGATGGGGTCTGCAGCAGCCTGTTTTAAATTAAAACATTTTGTTTGCTGATTTTGAGGAGCAGTGACTTGAAACAGATGCTGCCTGTTTGTGGTGGGTGGGGGGCAGCTAAATGGGTGGCCTTCTTGCTCTGTTGGGGCTCTTCTTAGCTGCATCTTACCTTCCCAGTATAGCCTCTGATTGCCAGTACTCAGGATTAAAAATACTTTAATACAGAGTTGTACTGCAGTCTAGAATGGTCAACCAGTATCACTGGAACACTGTCTTTTGGTAGTGCAGGTGAAGGAGGAGCTATTGCCTGTCAGCATTGCTTGGTTGCCTCTGCTTGACCATGGGACCCTGGACCTGTGCCTCATAGTCTGCCCCTATAGGTGCCATTCTCTGTACTCTGCTATAAATATCACATACACATGAAGTTGCCCTTAGTATTTACAAGCACTGTATGCTATCACCAGTCATCTTTTGTAAAACATCAGTGGGTTAAAATTTTGCTTTTACTTGAGTTTGATATCTCTCTTACACTCTGTAGCAACATGCAGGTGAAGTGGGGATTTAAAAAAAAACTTTTAATAGAAAACATGAGATTGCAAATCTAAGTACTGTTATACCTTTCATATGCTCTTTCAGAATGCCAATAGCATTGTGTCTGTGGTTTTTGGCACCCACAAAATAGCATGGACTCATATCACTAGAAACATGGTTGTTCACGATTGGCGGCAACAAGCATGCACAAAGTTTATGAAAAAAACTTGCATGCCGTCAGTGTACTTTGAACAGGTAAGCTACATTGAGTTTTGACAGCAGATTGTTCATAATTTTCTTATAACGTATTCATTCCAGTAGTAACTTGGTTCTAAGTACGCTGTATAGTCAGACGGTTCTCTGAACCGCCTCTGAAACAGTAGGATTCTAGTTATAAGGTTAGAAATATTCTCTTACCTGGTAAATGAAGCCTGATCATCTTCCCTTGACAACTGTTCAGGGGTTACCCAGGGAAAATAGAAATGGGAAGTTACTTCCTTGAGTCTCTCTGTTAAAACTTTGGCTACAGCTTAATTTTTTTCTGGAGAGATCCTGTTCATTTTCCATACTGAAAAACTAATTTCTTACAAGCATTTACAGCCCAATTGTAGGGACTGATTTTAGTGGCAGTAACAATTAAAATGGAACAAATTACATGGAAATAGGAGTGAATCTTCTTTGCTTCACTGTTCTTAGCTCTTGAAACCATGAACAGTCTGCAAGATAATAGATAGACCAGCCCTTTCCTCTATATGTAAAACACCCCTTACAGTTAAGCTGTGTACGGAAAGGGAAGTTGTGGTTCTAAAGTAGCACTGCTGTTTCCATTGTTCCTATGCTTGGACTAGTGGAAGGGTGCAGGGTGCAAGCTGTTCCTACATGTATGCCACTGTTAGAACTACTGTGCTGATCACTGATCATTGGGTTATCTTAGTGTACTAGCCTGCAGAATGGGAATAGAAGCAATGGCTTAAGATGTATTAGTGGCCAGTACAGGAAAACCAAATTCTCCTGTAGTGGAGATAAAACACAATGGGTTGCACTCAGCTTCGGTTGCTTTCAAGAAGCATCCTTGAATGTGGTTCTACATGCCTGCTCCTGCTGTGTGAAAAAGGGAAGTGATTTTTCTAGATTTCCCCCTCCCTTTGCAGCCCCCAGAACTAACTCTTCATTGTTCTATGTCTCTCAACCTCTGGAGCTGATTTCAGGGAACTGAAATAAGTTAGTAAAAACTGCTTGTTCCACTGAGAACCTACAGTGGAGCAGAAGCTTCCTGCTGACATAAGGAACCCTCCTATTTCTGGAAGGTATGCTGGATCCAGCCCAGCTTGCTCAGACATAGCAATCTGTCAAAGGTTGATTAACCCTTAAGAAGTTACAGTACATGCTGGCCACCATTATGAATATGCAATCCCGACAGTGTTGTAACACATGGTCTGTTGTAGGGTTGTGCATCTGTTACTTAACCCTCACTGGCCGGGTTTGCATGATACAAGAACCCCTGCTTTGAGGTTGCATATTCATAATGGAGATCAGCATGTGCCATAATTCCTTGAGGGCTATTTCATCCAAGATGGGCTGCCATATTGTCTGAATCTGATAATTCTGTGTAACTGACTGCTGCCATTTAGTGGTATTCCAAAAGCAGTTACTTGAGGAGCTCCCTCAGCATGTACAGGGCCATTTTTAATGAATGAATATAATTAAATAGTGCAATTTCAGTTAATGATACATTGTTATATGACACTGTAATATTACAGAGGTAATAATATTCATTCCATACTTATTTGTTTCAGATTTCCTCTATAGTATCCAACCTTCCTGAAGCAGATTTTTATGTTTTGGAAAAATGTGGACTTCCTTGTCAGAATCCCAGTTTGTTTCCAGTGGTATTACATTTTTGTAAAGTTGAAACTATGTTCTATGCATTGTTAAATAAAACATTTGCACAGGATCGCCAGCACAAAGTAGTAAGTATGGCCCGAAGTGCTGTAGGGAAATACTTCGGGCTTATGATTGGAGAAACACGAACTAGTGGAATAGAACTTGTAAAACAGCTTCTTTCAGAAACGGTTATACAAGACAAGCCCCGTGTGAGCTTTGTGAATGGCCAAGCCATTAACTATAGACATATGTTGTCAGCAAATAAACATCGGCGAGAGGAGGAGCTATGTGATTCATTGCTACAAGCAGTAGCTTTTACTGAGCTGCTAATACAGAACACTGCTGCTTAATTTTTATTGTACTCAAATTGGTTTGTGAATGACTTTAATAAATTTCTAACCAAATTTAGGATTTACCCTGTAAGAGGTTTCAGTAGTTGTGTGGCAATTTTTGGCTCAAAAATACAGCAACAGTAGAAGCACACTTAATACTGCCAAGAAAAATGCTAGAGAATCATTCTTGAGAGTTGTGAGATAGTACAAGTTCAAAAATAAACCTGTTACCATAATCATAGATATGCTACTGACCATCTTGGTTAAAATAATGAGATGGCTTTTTTACTCAGTACCCTCTCCTGAAGGGTGACTAGATGTTTTACTAATTAATTTTGCTACTTCACTAAGCTGAAGGTTCTAATGATTTCAGTATAATTTTAAACAAATGCATTTAGTGTTACAATGGAACACTTCAGTAGCATTTAATTACTACCAAAACTTGAAAACAAATTTCCCGTATCAGAGCTCTCAAAATTTATTTTCTAACAGTCATGTCCGATGTTGCTATTCTATTAAGACAACTGCTTCTATTGGCAAAACCAAGAGTGGAGATTTTCCCTGTCCCAACCATATCTTCAAAACTTGCTTTTGGTAGGATGGGAAAACCCTCCAGGATAGATTTTCAGGTTGTAGGAGAGAGGGAGAAAATCCGATTGTGTCAGCAAACTTTCATTAAAGCAACACTGGATTTAACACTTTAAATAAGTCTTTTACCCTCATATGCTAATTTAAAGGCTGAGTCCAAAATCACAGAACTATTATTAGACCTTGGGTCATCTCTGGTACATAGTGATAAACAACTTGTTAAATGTTTGGCGCCTATATGGTGTGATAGAAAATTACTGGCAGGGAGTGTTAAATACACAGATTAAATACTATACTTAGGCTGAGCAGAGCCAGCTTGTGTCAGGGCTCAGACTAGATGGCCCAGGAGGCCCCTTCTGACTTGTTATATTAGTATGTTACAAATCGCTGCTTCCAAAAAAGCTTTCTTAGTCCTTTATGTTGCTTCCAAGAATGACACATCTATTTTTTTCTGTTTCCATTGGACAACAGATGCAGTGTTCTTCAGGAACTGCTAAGCACCTTAATTTCCTGCAAAGGAAGTACATTTTTTCTTTATTGGAGGTGAATGCTACTAAGACAGTAAAAATTTACATTTTGTCTGATGAGTTTCTCATACAAAACAGTTGCAAAGAGCTGGAAGTACCTGTTCTCATACCTAAACGTCATGCTGTAAAAAGCTGCAAAACTCTGGAGAGATATTTATTATTTCATTGTATATTCAAAAACAAGCTCAAACAAACTCAGTGTAGTGGTAAATATATAATGTACAGTATAAAAATAAGATGTGCAGGATTACAGATAAATATTACTACACAACACAGAACAACTGTTGGCATAAAGTAACACAAAACTGACTATTTAAAAAATGACAGTGATCAAAGGTCTTTCAACTCTGAAGACAAACCCACCAGTCTCTATCCGTAAGCACACATGCAACCCAAAAGCAGTTTAGTGATATCATTTAACTAATGTTTTGATAAGTCCTGTATTTAAAGGGAAATTAGAACAGATTTAAATACTGTCCAGAATACATGAAATTGCAGCTAATGGATAAAACATTTTGCAACAGAGAATCCACATCCTAAAAGGTTAACATCAGTCCAGTAGTTGTTGCAATAGGCTTGTTGTACTTCAAAATTCAGGTTAAATTTTAATTCATCTGATTCAGATTTCAACTCCAACAAAGACCACATTTGGTATATGGAAAGCACCTTGATGGAAGATATATACAGTCTGCATTTTTAAATACTTAAAAGATTCAAAATATAAACAGTACTCTGTACATATAAAAATATACATTTCTGTATATTCAAAGTCACTATTTGCAGCCATTTTAAGGAAAGTCACTTGCCAGACTGTTCAAAATTTCTTTGGGAAGATGTATTCCTTCAAGGTAGTGGAGAAATCTGTTTGAAAATAATTTAAAAAAGAGTTTAGAATATGCAGTATAAGTAATACAAAGATATCTACTTGATTGCCCCTAGCCAGGATATTTAATACATTTTATCTTATATATTATTCTGAAGCACATAAATATTGTAATCTTTATACATCTGGGAGTAAGTCCCACTGATTTCAATAGGATGTACTTTTGAAATGCTATTAAGAAAATGTTACCTTCGTTTTGTTTTTCCTTGTTGTTTCTGTTTTTCTGATTTGCAGATGCTGCGGAGTATAGGCAGGTATTCCAACGTGCTGGCTTGTGTGTTACTAATGTTTAAAGAAGTTCTATTGGAAAATACAGTTTTGATTATTTCCAGCCTTTTTTGTGCATTATGCTGAACACTGTAAAAGAAAAGTACATATAATTGCCGGTTATGTTCAGCATGAAATAAAACTGAACACTTTTCATTGTGTGTACCTAAACAACATACACCCAATGTTAAGCTCTGTTCAGCTAGCATCTATTTGATTCCTGAAAACTTAGGAGGCCAATTCTAGAAGTTGTGCTTTTATAGAACCCAGGATTTGTTCTCATATAATTTCATTAAAATCAGACATTCCTCAGTTTTACTCTGGGTTGGATTCAGATCTACCAGAAGCTTCTCTTGGAGGAAGAAGCAGGGAAGTGGTATTCACCAATTTCACTGCAGCCCCCTTTGAACATCTCAGGTCCACCAATCCTCCAACTGATTGAAGGAGCACAAGAGGATGAAAGTCTGCTTGCTGCTCTAACCATGAATGGGCTTCTCCACCTACAGGAACTCTGGGTTCAAACAGGTGCTTGATATGAGCTGGGAGGAAAGTATTGGGAAAAGGAGTAGACAGTAGAGAGTTGTAATATGCTAGCAGAGCAACTGTGTGCTTTACTACTGAAAGTGCTTCTTTCCTCCCATGTCACAAATGATTATGTCAGACCCATATTTGAAAGATCAGCCTGCCACTGTCATTTCTAGTTTCAGCTATACTTTGTAACAATCTATTAAACTAGACTTGGTAACACTTAGAACTGAGCTAATGTTAATGAGGGTAGCTATGGGTGTATGTTTCAATAATTAAACTTTGCATTTATTCACTGATGATTCTGATCTTCAAAATTTCATGGTTGTTTGAAAAATAAATATCCATGGAATCTTTGTGCAAGTAAGCTGCTTTATTTGCTCCAAATATTTACCTGGAATTAGCTGCTGACTGGCCAAAGTACAAATTGGCTCGGTCTTTTGAAACATGGAGTGTAAGTTCTTCATATTCATCCTTCCCAACTGTTCTGTCAGAGTTCAAGTACCTTTCCATCATTTGTGAAATATTCTTAAAGCATTTTTTAAAATTTAATGCTTCCACAGTTGCTTTCAATTCACTACAGCTCTGTGAATTCCACCAGTTGGCATGCTCAGCACTAAACTCATCCAGTAGACCATTTTTGATCTTCCCTTTTGTCCAAACAAATTCCTCATATTTACAAGACAGTTTTGACTCCGGAGTCCTCCTGTTGAAGCAACAGTCCAAGAAAGACATGTTGTCCACAAATTCGGTTAATGAATTTAGACACTGGAATGCAGAAGCGGAGCCTGTTGCTTTTACTGATGTTCCACTACTCGGTGTCACTGTGCTACTACTTACAGGTTCCACTTTGTCCTTTTTTTCTTCCAGGCATGAGCTAGGCATATCTGATGGCATAGTAATGAACCCTGAGTAGTCTAGTTCACTCTCAAATAAATCACTATCATCCAGTAAAACCATTTTTCTTTGGTGCTTTGTCTGCTTAGACTTTTTCACACTGTTACTTTGCTCCAAGCAATCACTGTTGATAAGTTTATTATTTGAAGAGTTTTCTGCTAGAGTGTGTGTGAGATTATTCTTTTGCATTGGTTCTGGAATTATATTAATTGGTAAAGGTAAAAGGATTTCAAGATTGCTGTAAATAAAGTCTATATTCTTCATCTGGAATTCTGTGAGCAGATGTGTCAGCTTACTCCATTCTTCTTTTGTTGTGATTTCATGCTGAGAAAAGTGAAATTAATGTTATTTTTTCTTTAATGGATTTGTAGCCTACTAATCATAATGCAAATACTAAAGCATGCAATACTTAGTCAATAAATAAGCTAGTTGTCTTTACTGAAACAATTGTAATCAGCACAGGGTATGTGCACTTTTTGCTTCCATTGGAAAAGAATGATTTTTTTTCTCCTCGAAGAGCCTTTATGGACTTCCAAAAGCACTTACTATGTTTCACCCCATTTGGATGAATATACTTTTCTCATCTATTCCACTTGGATTATATTTGAGAGTTGATTCATTTGAAAGGGCACTGATTCTGTTCTGCTGCTCATAAGCTGACCCATACCCATAAGAATTGATAGCACAAATATTTTTAGTTTCAAGATGTCACATGACAGAGTAATAACTCCATTCTACTTCATTTAGGTTTACATTTATTATTTTGCTTTAGGAAAGGTGCCCACTAACAGAGATATAATGAATAGGTGAGGCTGTTTGCACAGGAGAATATACTAAATTCTAATTCCAATTCAGTTCATTGAATACTGTTGCTCATGTAGTCAAAACAGTAACAGTTACACACAAGAGAACTGAGTAGCAGAACTGGGTACCCCTGCAGTTTGTAGAAGCAAATGAAATAAAATTTCAAGAGGAGAGTAGCCCAATTAAAACTCAGCATTCCCAATGCCCACAGAACTGACTGACTCACTCTTGGGAGGGTGAATGGAATGAAATGGCTGGGAAAGGTGAGTAGAAGTGAAGTCAAACATGTGAAGTCAAACATGGAAATGTCTGGATAAGTCACTTGCCTATTCACCCTGATTTTTTAAAAAATGCTGTCAGGAATGAAGTGAGATCTACCTTTAGAAATTAGTGAATAAATCCAAGATATTAATGCACCACTGAATCTACCTTGCTCCCATCCCCCAAACAAAAACCTGAAACATCTCAAAAAGAATGGAGCATGTTCAGTGGGCACAGAATGCGGAGAAGAAATGGAAAGGAGGCATTCCACACTACAATTTGTTGCAGGCCCCACTTCCCTCTGTTTCTGCTGCACAGGCTTGGCCTGGATCAGTTATGTAGGTAAAACAGAGCAATCCTTCCTCTCAAAAGCAGTAATGGGAAACGAAGATCTTCAAAGTTGGCATTAGTACAAAAATATTTAGAAAATACCCTAACTGAGATAACCCCCAAAGCAGTCCAGTGAGGACAAGAGCATGCTCAGTGGCAACACAATGCTAATGGACTTGTCAAGGGAAGGGAGGCCTGAAAAGGGGTGCGGGGAGGGGGGGGATAGAAAGGTGCAGCTGGAGTCCTGAGCAGCAGCACCTTGTAGCAGGTCCCACTGGTCACTACATATTATGATACATTTAGGTAGTTACCTTGTACCAATGTAAACATACCTTAAGAAATGAGAACAAATCTTCTGAAGGCAAAAAGATGTTCTTAAGGCCAAGCAAGTTCTCAATGCAGCCAGTCTCATGCTTTGGAATATTTGCAGGGCCAAGCTTACTCATCTCGGAGCTAGTTGGTTCTTCAACGCAAGTAACTGGTGGTGTGCCACTTACCTCTTCCCATTCCCCTATACAAAAGAGTTTCAAGATGAATTCAAAAAATGTTTAGCTCTAAGAAAATGACACTCAGGGCAGCTATGCCATATGGCCAAGTTTGTGTTTGAGATAAAGTATGTGTGTCAGATGCCACAGTGGATTGATTGCCCCTTCGTGGTGAGATCCTCTAGAGTTTTTGACCCCTTGCTCTTTTCCATCCTTCTCTTGAGGTGCTGGCTGCTCAGAAAATTAGAAAAACGTGTGCTACTACTTTTTACTGGAGCACAGAGATTTAACAACTAGATGTTACAATTCTGGTTCCCTTTAAAAGGCATTTTTGTCAAGGACATGCAGTGATGCTTGCATATGTCCCTGTAAAACAATAAAAACAAGCCCGTTTTAACAGGTTGAAGGGACTGACACTAATTGCCAAATAGGATTACAAAAAGTTATCTCCAAATCAAAAAGTGGGAAGGGGGAAAATGTAGCCAATGCAAAATGACTCATAGTGATGACAGGGAGAGGAGATAAATTGGAACTATACCAGTTACCTTGGATAACTGCAAAGGACCAAGGCAGAAGGATGGAGGGGAAAACCCATAATGATCACTTGTTGGACGCACTGTGTATTGTTTCATGTACAACCACAGGATGAGTTATTTGCAGGGTGGGTTGTTGTGTTGTCCAAAGTTGTTTCACAACTTGCAGTGAGGATTGTTGTTACTGCAATCCTCATTTGTCTCATGTGCCAACAGATCCACCCCAACCCACATCTTTGCAAGTTTCATTTTCTTCTCTTCTTTCTACTGCTCCCAGCCTTGGGTCCTGTTGAAAAATCTACAAAATAGCTCAAATTTTAAGTTTCCCATTTAGATTGCAAATACCGTATTGTAAATTAACTGCTTGGTTTCATGTTCAAAATATTGAACAATTTTTCAGATTAAAATGAAGTTTGTATTAACATTTTACTATTTTAATTGGGTTATACTTACTAAACAGCAACATACCTTTTTCTTTCAAGTAGCCACCACCACTCCTAACCCAGAACTGTAAGTGCAGAATACTTTGTCTGATGTCACAGTTATTTGTACTTAATAATGCAACAGAATCTCTTATATCCATTCTTAAATTCTCAGTCAAACAGAGAACTTGAAGGTAGCTAGCAACATTCATCTAAAGCAAAACAGATTTTAGAAAATTAGCAATACTTGCCTTGAAAAATTACAACAGAAGCATGTTAGGTACGGAACTGCTTACTGACTATTGTCAAGGCCTTCAATCACAGAGCTGTATTTTAAAACCAATATTAACCAAATCCAAGACTTAACTACAGTGTTAAATGCTTATTTCCAAGAAGTGTTCCAATGATTAAAAGTTAATTCTTTCATATGCTTAATTATTTGAAAGCTTTGCAGAGCGACTGCGCAACACTGGGAATCATCCAACGCTGCCACTGCAACACTACACAATGGACATGGTGCTACCATAAATTAACTCTAGTAAGCTTGCATGATAGGTTTTCTGGGGAAGCAAAGCACTAGAGGTTGCCTGCACTACTGCTATCTCAACTGTGTAAGCAGAACATTGTATAGTGCCTATTGTTTGTTATACAGTGGAAATTATGAGACTGATAGCACTCCAGCAGATGCTGTTTCCTGAATGCTATAAAGGAGGTGCAGCCAATGTGGCTCTCCAGTTATGTTAGCCTACAGCCCCCGTCTTTTCTTCTCAGTGGCTAGGCTGGCTAGGGCTGGGCTGATGGAACTAGTAGGCCAAAATGTGTGTGGGTGGAGTCTATAAAATACTGGAGTACAGTCAGATGAAAGGCAGGCACAGAGCTCAGAGGCTGACTGCAAAGTGAAGTACACGTTAAAGAGAACCAACCTCTCTTAAAATTTCAGGTAATTTTACCTAAGCACAAAGATCAAAGCTTATCTGGACAATATATATATGTTTAGCCTAGTTCATATGAAGATGTCTAAACTTGCAGAACACTGAAATTGAGCCCCTTCTGCAGCTAGTGCTATTCTGTATAAACTTCATAGATCTAATTAAATTGTAATTAAGATATTAGTTTGACACACTTTTTCCATACAAAGACATGCAATTAAGCATTTTATATTCCAAACTGAAAAACTTACCAAAGAAGGGGCACTGAAGGTGATTTCTTCAAAGTAGCCATCAAATATTAAACTAAATGATGGATCTACACAAAAGATACACAGTTAAGGCACTTAACATTTGGTCATTGCAAACTATCCAAGAAGGGAAAAATCAAAACTCTTTAAAGTTATTATTAAAGTATTGTTATTTATTAACTATTTTTGTATAGTGCTTGATATAGCAAGGTCTCTAATATTGGTCTCTAACTAAATAGATTGATCAATTGTTGCAAAACTTGCAAACATCCAGAAAGGTTAATGTAAAAGGCCAGGCTACAGCTTAGATTATACTGCAAGAATTTGACAGTCCAAGAGAAAAAAAACAGTTGCTCAAGTGTTATGTCAAAAAACTCTCATAAAAGGTTGGCTACTCATCTCTGTCAACAGCAACCTATGGCAAGCCTGCCCATTGTTTCCTTGAACCACCTTGTAACGTAAGCTGGCCCAAGTCTCAACCTACTGCTGTCATGTGCTGAATCCAGTGTCTGGTCTGGAAATGGGACCAAGGAGTCCCTGGACAGAGGTTACAGTCCAGTGGGGCACAGGGAGGTGTGGACTCCAGGGCGGCTGACCACTACACAAGTATTTATCAATTTTATTTCTCTACCACCCAAAAGCCAAAGCTGTCTGGGCAGTTTATAATAATTAAGGTAAAGGTAAAGGTTTCCCCTTGACGTTAAGTCCAGTCATGTCTGACTCTAGGGGGCGGTGCTCATCTCAGTTTCCTAGCCGAGGGAGCCAGCGTTTGTCTGCAGACAGTCTCCGGCATGACTAAACACCGAAGTGCACGGAACTTTTACCTTCCCACCAAAGTGGAACCTTTTTATCTACTTGCATTTGCATGCTTTCGAATGGTAAGGTTGGCAGGAGCTGGGACTGAGCAACGGGAACTCACCCCATTGTGCAGATTCGAACTGGCGACCTTTCGATCAACCAGCCCAGCAGCACAGCAGTTTAAACCACTGCGCCACCTGCATTATAATAATTACAGCCATAAAATAGAACAGTAATACACTATAAAAGTTTAACATTACAGTATAAAATAGAAGTAAAAGCCAAAGTAAAAAGTAGCATTAGTACAAAGATTTAAAATACAGTGAGGGATTTAAAACTGAAACTAAAAGACTAAAATTCCTGGAAAAAGATGGACACTCATAACTATTGATACTGAGCTGTACATTTGAGGTTGTCCTGATCCATTAGAATTGTACTTATGATGCTCCCTTGTAGTGGCAAGTTCTACCATGGGAGAAACACTGCAGCCATGACCAGCTCTTTGCTGCCATTTTCTTAGAAGCCAGGCAGTGATCTTCCTGACTAAATCACCCCAGCATATCATATGCCTACCAACAAGCTATTATGGCTAACTTTAGGAAGGTATCAGCATAAAGACCAAGTACCCTTAAGTTTGAATCCAGTTTTATTTCTGAAAATAACAATCATTTTAGATATGTTGCATCATAACCTTGAGGTATATAATTTTTTCTGGCCAACTAAGTTATCTTAGAGTCATATTTTTCAGTTCTGAAATGTGAAAGCATTGCATTTCCCATTCAATTTATCTATTATCATGTGATCATTCTAGGTCCCAAATTATGTGAGAAAACATCATGGAAATGGAAAAGGGCACAGAGCTGGCCAAGTTTTATGCAGAAGAGGAGGAGCCAACTAGAATCTAATGGTATGGGAAGCTAAACATTACAGAATGTTTCAATTGGATGTAATGAATTCACAAGAAAGAGAATGTGTTTTTAAAAATACTACTACTCACCATTGGTAGTAAGAATGACAGGTCTCTTTGTAGTTGTCATGAAAGTCTTTATTGCATTTAAGAATCCAACATCTTCATCAAATATTATATCAACCTATGATAAGTGGAAAGGTTTAGTTCTGTTAATTGCCATACAGTTCCCATTTTTGCTTTCAACTGTTCAAATAACCCAGATCCAGTGACACCAAAAACCAACTATTTATTTTTTTACAAAATAAGCTGATATTTTGATTTTCTGATATATATATATATATATATATATATATCAGAAAAGGGATGTGTACAATTTTTGATTTAGAATAGATTAGCATAATTCTATTTGTTTGCAAATATGGAGAATTTTGTAGAGATACATTTACATCAACTTTCTTATCTTTCTTAGTATTTTCAAATGTTAGAAAACACTCAGAAAGCAGGATTTCTCTGTTTTTAAATGCCTCCAAATCTAGTGCAAGGTCAGAGAGGATTTCAGCTGGTTTTAATGATATAGTGCCACAGGTGACTTGACAATGGCATTTGTGAACCCTAAAGGCTGGAAAAATCCAAAGTGTATAAAAGTCTTTCAAGACATTGGTTTCATATGCTCAGAAAACATGATTGAGTCTATTTCAAAGCAATACTATGTCAAGTTTCAGCTGAACCTGTGTTTTAAATTGGTAATCTACTTTGATCTGGCTCAAGTTCAGCACAGACCTGACAAACAATGAGTTCAGATACTATTCAGACTTAGATTTCAGTTTTATACTATTACTGTTTGAGGATGTTTAAATGGGCAATGGAGGCCTGTCAAAGGCCAGCAGAGAATCTTAAGGCATGTGCAAGCTTTCCATACAGTTAACACTGCTGCAAAGTTGTGCTTACTAAAAGAAAATAGAATGAAGGGATTGTGGTTTTGGCAGGACACAGCATAGCTAATTAATTCTAGCTTTCTTGCTTCATGAAAGATAATGTCCAAGATTTTGGTCCAGAATACAACATAATTTTTATTTGTGTCTTACCTCTTCAAAGAGAATCAGAGAAGTAGCATATTTTTTACTGGATTCCTCTTCTTTCATTGCTCTTTTAATTGAATTTATCTGTATTTTTTCTCCAGATAAACTCTGCTTATTTTCTGCATGGAGAAAAAAATATAGAATTAATTTGGAAAATTAAGAGCCAGGAAATAGCATAAGTGAGCTTTTAATGCTTCAAAAAATCTGTTTAAAGCATCGGGAATGTGTACCATATATACGCATATCAAGAATGCTTCAGATTGCTATTAATAATATTAATATCTAGAAAAAAAAATTGTTTTGTTTTGTTTCTGATAGATAGAGACAGGGAGCTGTGTGTGGCCTCCACAGAGCTGTTCTAACTCAGAATCATCTCCTTACATACCCTGTCCCTAACTGAAGTGAAATGCATTCCTCCCACCACCAAAAAAAAAAAGACAAAGGTTTCTAAAGACTCGTGCTGGATCAGGCCAAGGAGCCATCTAGTCCTGCATTCTGCTGACACAGCATCCAAGGAAATGCTCATAGAAAGCCCACAAGCAGAGCAAAGGAACAACAGCACCTTTCTCTTCCCAGCAACTGCCTTTGGTACCAGAGGCAGTATATAGCCATCATGATTAGCAACAACTGATAGCATTATCTTCCCTGAGTCTGTCTAGTTCCCTTTTAAGGCTGTCCAAGTTGGCCATCATTATTATCATTTGGTTTTAAAAAGTCTATCGTTTGGCTTTCCCTTTATCAAGAAGTGGATTTTTAAGTGTTCTGCATTTCTCACCATTTTGTTTCTATCAGATGATTCTGGGATCTACCATTATGAAGGCAAAACCTTTTATTCCCTCTCTTCACATTGTACTTCATTTCAGATACTATTATCATGCCTCTCATTACTAATCCTTTCACTAAGCTGAAATAATTCTACATATTCAAGGCACTCCTTGAAATTCTTCATATTTGCAAGGATACAGAGAAGTAGAATACTATGCAATGAGAAATAAGTTTAAAAATGTATTACTAGGTGGGGGGGGGGGGGGGGGTTTTGGAAAATTTTGGGGTCGGGGGTAAAAAAAAGGGGGGGGGGGGGGGGGGGGGGGTCAGAATAGATTTTTTTTGAGCAACAGCAGTGTAATGTGCTAGGGAGCCAGAACTAGCAGCTGTCCCTTAGCGATTAAAGCTGTACTAGATGACAGATTGCTTTTTCTGCATGATAACACACACTATGGACTGAGTTTTAACAAAGATGCAAGTATGATCTCTACCCTCCACCTCCAAGGACTAATTATACACAACTAATATTAAAACCCACCTTTATTGCTTCCTTGCACTTTCTCTTCTTTATTCTTAGACTTTGAAGAAATTTTGAAATAGTGTGCTAGTGTTTTGGACTCCAAGCCTTGCTTTAATCCAACTTTTCTGGGTGAAACTGGAGACTTTCTCGGTGACCACTCTTTTCCGGGAGAGTTTTTTTCTGAAATATATAACAGTGTATTAACCTAAACCTTAAAAGAGAAAGCATCACCTTCCATATTACAATACCCTATGCATTTTCATAGTACAATTTGATACAGTTTTCAAGGAACTAGGTCTCAGCAATTGTTTGTTGGAAGAAATGGGGATGAAATAAGGTTATGTCTTCCATTTCTATGCCTTTCCATTTTTAAAATAAATAGCAACTGCAGGACCAGGTCCCTGGGGCTTGCTTTAGGTAAGGGAGAAGCAGTGTGCATATTCTATTTGGCCCTGGTACTATTCAGGTGCACTTACTTCCTGGCCTTCAGAGATTCTGAAATACCAATTTGACAAAGTGGTGCTGGAGATGCCACTCCATGGTCCAACAGCACAATATCACTGATTTTTGGTCAAGGTGTAGGAAGGCTAGGAGATCATGACAAGCAAAACCACAAGAAGGGAATACCCACATGGTATTTGGCATGGTGCTGAAAGGATGCCATCATAAGGAAAACAAGGTACGAGAGTTTCAGTTCTGCTCTTCATTTGCTGCCCAGCAGCAGTGACTTGGGACACATACTGTGAAATACTACAGCTGGAAAGCAGCTACCCCAGTTCTCAGCCCCAGAATGCAATACCCATCATAACATTGACACTCGCCCCCTTAACTGATATGAATTAAACGTTTGCCTATATGCAAATCATGATAATGTATCACAGAACATAGAATTCTTTTCTGTTATCAAAGATTTTCAATTATTCCAACTATTTCAAGTACTATACAGAGAAAACAAGACAGCACCTTACTTACTTGGTGATTTAGTGCTAATGTAATTGTTAAAGAAGCATGGTTTATGAGAATGTATACTTTGCTTGTCCACCTGATGAGACTGAGTAGCCTCTTTCAGCTGAGAGAGAATTTGCCTTCCACTACGCTGACAAGAAGCATTGACTTCAAATACCTGTAGGAGTATTTTAAAATTTTAAGTTTGTAAATTCCAAAACTGCTCACAAATATGTATTTATTAAATGAGTAGCTATCCAGCACAAACCTTGAAGCCAAGCTCCTGTGCACAAGCATAAACTGCTGCAGTTTTCCCTATGCCTGGAGGACCAACAAGAAGCATAGTATTGCACAGAACAGCCTCTTCCTCACTGTCTGATTTGTCATCTTTAAAGTCCAGACTGTCCGAGAATTCTAGGAAGTGGTATCAAAATAAGCATATATCAGACTTATTAAATGTGAAAACTAGGAACATGTAAACCTAGAATTATTCTTACATATATCTGGCTTTATGTATTTATATTCACTTGGACTTAATAACCTGCATATGATAAAATCAAGCTCAAGGCACCTTACAAATTGAAAAGAAATATAAATTAAATACAATTAAAAAGAATCCCACTTTACTTACCTAAATTTATAACCAACTTATTAACCTCTCTGGTATCCTCTTGAGGTAGCTCATACTAAAACTTTGAATAAATACAACTTATTTTACAGATTGGAATGAGATTCCAAAGTACCTTGTTGACTGCTACTCTTTTCTCCTGTTAGAGTTCGGTTTTCTTCCCAATCAGCTCTTCTTTTCCATTCACAAAGCCACCTACAAATAAGCACATGATACTATATTGAGGTATTTGTTTCTGTTGCTGCCCATGTTGACACATACAAAAATTCATGAACAATGACTGGCAGTTTAGATGTGCAATGTATCCTGACTGATAGGAGACAGGGAGAAGAAAACAGTGATCACCAATAACAGCTTTCTTTTTTTGAAGTTCTTATGTCAAATTCTCAAATATTTTTAGGAAGAGTTTTTTAAAAAGAAGTCTGGAGGTTTCAGGTAGCTGTCTACATGTATTCTATAGAATCACAGCTATTGAGATGATGCAGACTTTGTTAACCATAAGCAAGGGCCTGGAAGCAGACCACCTACTCATGTACTCTCCTTTATCAGTGTTAACAATGGTACAATGTTACACCTGTGTATCATTAACTAAAATTAGCTTTAATCAGTGCATGAAAACCAACAATGGAAATCGTCATATAAACCTAGAGAGATTTCAGGTGGTGCAACAATAAGTTACTTTGTTAAAAAATAGCTGAAATTCCATTATTCCCAACCTGTGTAGCTTTTTAACTGCCACAGTGTTGCCTATAAGTTCACTGGAATTTTGTGGCTGATATTTTTCTGTCCAGAGCATGTCTTCTTTTTCAAAATCTACAGGCATAAACACAGAAACCACATTTAAATAATTATTCCATTCACATAAATGAAACATTTACTATTTAATACTGTATATATTAGTATACTTTATACTTTTTGATAGCCTGTTTAAGCCAAGTGAAATTCTGAGCAACATCTATAAAAGAGTGACGTTAATTCTGATCAGTACTTATAGGTGGTGCTACAATATACAGTCGTGCATCCAGATGTTATGCTAAATCATTGCTCCACCTCTTCCTGTGGTGCAGCCAAATGAAGGAAATCACAAGCATTCTCTTCTGATTTCTATTAACTTGATTTTAGCATGTTGTGCACATCTTAAACTCTAATGTTAATTATGGTTTTAAAAAGCCATGGGTTGAAGCTGACTTACTTCAAACCAAAAAGATGCATTGGGTTTGGACAAAATCAATTCTGGTTAATCTGAAACAAAAAATTCTGAACTCCACACAGCCACACCAAAGAAAGAGCTGAGAGTGTGCAAGTCCAAGGTTTGTTATAGCTTTTATGTTTGTAAGAAACTAGATTAGTTCAAATTTTAAATGCAAAATTGGATTTATAATTGACTTTCTATAAATGATCTGATATAAGAAAATAGTATCCCCAAAAACTCAGCAAAACTGGTAAAATCCCCTACATTTTTACACAAGGAGGTATATCTTCTGCTCATGCCTTTGTCTGAAAGCTTCTATGTTTATACTTGGATTCCTTTTTATTAATGTGGAATAAATTAACTATTTAAGACTAATGAGCTCATATGCTTTATAAAAGCCCACAGTATTCACTACAAATGTAACATACTTTCAATACAAAGTATCCATCAGCAATTTCACATAATACATGTCACTACTATTCACAATGGCACACTGAGCACAATTAAGAGTACTTCCAGACTATCTCACATCAGTCATTATTGAGCTATTTCCAAAACTATTTAAATATGAAGTGTGCTCTTATGAGAAAAGCCATACTTAATATTCTCTAAAGCATTTTGGATAAAGTATATGTTACCAGAAGTAGAACTAATTTCTGATCCAAATTCAGAATCTTCTATTGTTATAATCCCAGATTTTTCTGTTCTGTCTGTATTGTGTGTCTGGATTTTATTTTCCTTGAAAGTCTGTTTTATGCACGATTTGTCTGGCAATTCAGTCTGTGCTTCCATTTGCCTCTTTCTTTTGGATTTTTGATCATCATATTTTCGTTTTCTTTTGGTTTCTTTCAGATTAACAACTTGTTCATTTGTTTCAGAACTTGAAGTGTCACATTTCTTTACTAGTCAGAAAAAAAGAAAAAACAGAATGCAATTTGTCATACCACTGAGCAATTCCTAGCACTTCTCTTGGTTACTTCCATCTGAAATGTAGAATTTAGTCATGGGTCCAAGACCCAGAATATTGTATGCTGCATGGCAGCTATTTTGCAACCTCCTATACTGCCAAGAAGAGCATGCTGAAGGTCAGAGAATGCTCTGAAGGAGCAGTTCATAAGAGAGGGGGAGTGCTGCCAGAAATAAATATCAGCGCACATGCTTTCCTCACTACTCAGTATGTTTGCAAGAACATGATGCATTTGTGCATAGGCTTCATTGGATTCCACTCAAAATCTTAAAAGTCAACCAAGGAACAATCCTATGGCACCTGGACATTGTCTGTGGGGATGTAGACAGTTTGGATTTTTAGCTTAAAAGACAGAGACAGTGCTTTCACTTTGGAGCTGAGAATCAGAGCTCTGTCCCCCTCCTTAGCCACCTCGGAACTAGTGTGGAACGAAGCATGCCAGCCACTTTCCAGGGTCAGGAAAATGACCTCAGGGAGACTGATTAAAGGGGTGTAGGGACAACTGGTATGGCCAGGATATCAGCTGTCTGCCCTAGCCTCCTTCCATCTTTCTCTGAGATGTCCCTGCTAGATGGAAAGCGCAGCTCATCTACTGCAAATACAAGGCAGGAAGATGAAGAATGCTTCTGTTGCTCCTCCGGCTCTGGATGCCTGCAAACTTCCAAGCTTGTGGCCTTTAGGGCATCCCAAAAGGACTGAACCACTTGGCTGCAATTTGTACATACTTCCCTAAAGTAAGTACACAGAATTCTCAGTTAATTTGTTTAGGATTGCACTGCTACACATTTAGTTGCTACTTAGGCCCATGGTTTACTATCAGCTATATATACTGCTAACCTTGCTTATTATTTTCAGGAGCAGCTTGTTTTTTCAAGAGTAGATCAAAAAATTGTTTCACCGGAAAATGGGGGTTGGAAGACTGAATCTCCTCCAACAAACAATTCCTTTGTATTTCAGAAAAAACTGGTCGCCACCCAGACGGCTGCAAACAAAAAATATACAGGTTTGTAAACACAAGAAATATTTTCATACATTAATAGCAGTATTTAGTTAAATTATCACATAGAGGAAAATTTCTGAACTATACAATTTGAAAATGTATTTTGCATAGTAACAAGTCACTTTAATAATTAAAATTGGATATAGAAAATTTATTAACTGGCAGCATTCACACAAAATTCCAGAAAATTTGAACTTTCCAGTCACAAGCATGCTGTCTGATTGTTTCCACAGGAGTAGCTTCAAGTAAACAGGAACTCACTAGAAGGGAAAAACTAATCACTATGCCCAAACTGAGTCGTGTTTGAATGTAACACTAAGCTTTTACTTGTTGGTAAGTTACTGATTATTGAAAGCACTCCAGGGCAGGAGAAGCCAAGCAGGAATGATCTAACAGCATGTACCAACATGTCTGTGAACGGTATTATTCAAGTGACTTCCATGGAGAAGGCGGCGATCGTAACTATTGACTATATACCTCCTTTATCAGAGGCAGTATATCTGTTCATACCAGTTGCTGAAGAGCTTGGGCAGGCAGAGGTCTTGTACCCACCCTGCTTGAGGGCTCCTGTGTACTGCTGGTTTGCCACCCCGTGAATGGAGTGCTGGACTGGATGGATCATTGGTGTGATCCAGCATGGCTTTCTTATGACCTCCTCCTCCTCATTATCATCGTTACTATATATACTGAGAATCATCATAGCAATAAGGATTTACAAAATACTAACCACAACTATTGTAGAATCAGTGCTATTAGGTTGTGTATTTAAAACTGAAAATTCACCAAGTGAAAAAGTGAGTTTTGCAACATCAGTTACTGTGGAATTCACCTCTCTTAGGTTAGTTAAGAGGGGGCAAGAGGGTGGTGCCAGTCTCCACATCAAGCATCCTATAGAAGAATAAAAATGCAGTTAACAAAAGAAGTTTTAAAAAGATATATTCTGGAATGGAAAGTATAGAAGAATCAAATGATGGAAGAGTATCTGGCCATGTGCTAAACTTTTGCAATTAGCCAGACTGCTTGCAGAATGTTAAAGACAGGACAGAATGTTAAAGACAGGACTTGTACAAAAAGATATACTTCAAGGAATAAAACTGAAAGAACTTGACAGCTGTGATATTTTAGTTAACACACACTGGAGGGCTGGTCTACTAAATTGGGTACAAAATTCCTGCACTGTCAGCATTTTGTGGCCCCATTTATGCTATTAAAATAATCTTTGTTCATAAAAATATGCTGCATCTTTATTTCTTGGCTGCTCTATGCTAGTTCTCTAGAGTTCTTCTGCAGTGCTGTCACTTCTACTGATGGAATATACACTCAAAAGAACACACACATTAGTCCCATCTCACTCTTGAGAGTGTGTTTATAGCTTAGCGATACAAATTTAAAGAGAACATAAACAGCAAAATGGTATTTATTTTTAAAAAGTATATAGTGTTTAATATTATCCAAGTGGGCATGATGCCTATAAACTTTAGTTTAAAGACAAAAGCCCCAATAACATGTTCAGTCTAAGAACTTCAGAAGATTAATACTCACCATAATCTTTTTGCTGTATATGGACCACAGTCTGAAAACAGGAATTAGTTGCAGAATATGCTTCCAGTGCTGCTGCTTGCTTTGCAATTTGCCTTTTTAAAGTCTCTGGCAAACCACTCATTAAAAAATCACGTTTTGCTTTGAATTGCTTGACATCTTGAGAATTTTCAGAATCATCTTCACTAATGTAAATAACAACCAAAAGCAACTAAGCTCCAAGATGCAGCATGGTTATACATTTCTTAAAGTTGGGGTTGTGTAACTTGTAGCCCTCCCTGTCAGCAGCTAGCTAATACACATTAGTGCAAATTCTTTATGAGGTCAACGTGATGTGATATACACAGAATCCCAAGTATGCTTAGCAGCAAGTAGAAACAAAGGCAGTGCAGTACAATAGCCAGGGTATATGGCTTAAGGACTAGCAACCATCATCCCCAGGAAGCCTGTCATTCTCCTCCGCTCTCATCTTCTTAAACAGCCTAGTAAAGCCCACATTTATTTGGCTAATTAAAAGGTTTTGTGAGGGAGGGAATAACCAACAGACATTAGCAATCTTCTACTGTTTGATTTATTGCACCCAACTACCCTTTTACCTAATTCTTACTTGCATGCTGAGCTCAGGCTGGCACATTGCCACCCCCCTCCCCTGCAACTTTATTCATGGTCCCCTTCTAAGGAAACTTCAGCTGAGAGGAGGTGACTGCTCAGGGTCATTCAGCTTTGTGGCTGAACCAGGGTTTGACCCTGAGTCTCTGCCAGCCCTAGTCAAACACTCCACCCATTAAATCACAAAGCTCATGGTTCTACAGACATGAGGCAGGATGATGTAGGCTCTTGCCACTTGTCTTGATGTACATGATCTGCATTGCCTGGCTGACATTGTATTACCTGGCTGTGCCATGATTACTCCTGAGTTACTCAGAATCTTATTCTCCGGACTGGCAGAGGGAACAAGTTGACTTCAGTGACTTCACCAGCTCTTTTGAAGATGTAACATAACACTGTCACAGGGGATGGAAATAAGGACAGGATTCTAACTAAGCTTTCCACACACATTCCCAACACTGCCATGTTTCTTCATCTATGCTGGTGGTATCATGCTGGTATTTATTTATTAAAAGCTTTTGTATGCCATCCTATTTCCCTCCATAAGTATAGCTTTGGATTCTGCCAGCAAGAGATGATTTAGGAGTGCTTCCTTCTCTGCCCAGCAATTGCAACTTTACTTTCAGCATATGTTTAGAAATGCAGTATCTCCCGTAAATTATGTCATTTCCACATATAACTGACCTGCTTTCCTCAGAAATAGTAATTGCTTCAACTGTAGGCTTCTGATCATTTTTCCTAATGAATGAAGACACATTTTCTTTTCCTTTAAAAATAACATATTGCAAGATTAATATGGGCAACACTATATTCCTACTCTCTCTTCAGCTTCTTTTCTCATAATAGCCACTTGCCATGAGACCTTACTTATAATTGTTCTGAATTTATTAAGATTGGCTTTCACTACTACATCATCCCTCCTGGAAACACAGCAATTTGTTTTTCCAGTTTCATCCTCATTGACTGAGTGGTCAATAGTAGACTCAAACCATCATGCTCCTTTTAATCTTTGCTCTTATTATTTTCAATCCAGACAACCTTGATGGGGTAACTAAGCTTATTCCCCTATATTTCTGTGCAGAGATGTGTATCTTTCACATGCAGGGAAACTTTTCTTCCCCTTCTGTTCTTGAACAAGTTATTTCCTTCATCCCACCAAATCTCACTTATACCTATGAAGTCATATTCACTCTTCTACATTAAAAGTTCAAGTTTGTCCTGTATGTTTCTCATAGTCTGGCATTAATATATAGACATTAAAGAATGTGAGCTTTTCCCTACATTTTTGGAAGACTATTACTGGGTGCTTTTGGAGCTGTTCTCTCGTCTGATACATAAGCCTTTGTCCACTGCTACCCCAAGTTTACTTCTCCTTCCCCTGTAGAATTCATTTTAATACAGTATAATGAAGGTAAAGTAGATACCATCTGATTTCTTAGTAGTTTTTAAATTTCCAGTCTTTTTGCCCAACACATCATTCAAACTTAGAAGTTTCTTTTTGTTCATACTTCCTAAAACAGTAGTGTTATTGTTTGTGCTTGAATCCAAAATAATCACTGAGTCCTTCACTGAGTCCTGAACAGAAACAGAACAATAAAGAAATGTTAATGAATTAATATTACTGATGGAAACAGTTTCAGATTTTGACTAAAGATCTGTAACTACCTGTTCGCTAGCAGCTACACACACATTTTCACTGTAGTTTTTAAAAATGGATTTGTAGAAGAGGCTTCCTAACTCCTGCTGTGAACCTTCTTTTACAGATTATGATCCTACATTCTGATGGAATTTTAGCATGCACATGGACCTTTGCATCACACTGCATAAAAACTTATCCCCTCTTTTACACCAGTGAATTCAATTCTAGTTCACACTTAAATACAATGGGTAGGCTTGAACACACCACTTTCCTTCAACCTTGTCTCCCCATATGTAAAACAAGGACAGTGATTTAATGTCCAAGGTTGCTGTGAGAATAAGCTGTAACTGGACAAATACACTGCATGGTAAACTGCTGCAGAAATAGTTAATTTTTTGTAGATAGCATATTTTATTTTCAATTAAAGTGTTATTTGCTAAATATTCTTTCTTCATTTGAAATTGCTCTAATTTTACAAGCTAAAGAAACCTTATTTGTTATATGAAAGTAAGTATCTAAACATTTGTAAATACTGGCAACCCCACATTTTCTGATTGTTTGGAATATTGGTGAATACTGACAGTCACCCAAAGTGTGATCAAATCAATGTACACTGATATGTCAGCAAAGTGAAAAATACTATCTACTTCCAGTCATTCTTAAAATTAATCTGGAATACATGGTGACGTACAGCAACATTTTACAATCATTGTCATGTTTGGAAAAACCTCAGCTAAGAAGAAAAGAAGGCTGCAGATAAATTCATAGTAATGAATTCACCGCAGGTATAGAATATCAAACTGTCTGTTATTATAGAAAAAAAGGACAAGTTTAAGGCAATTGTTTAAACAAGCCAGATCCAAGAGTGAAAAAGATAATTCCATAAATAAGCTGAGATGTATGGACTTACTTCCAAGTTCTGCCTCTTTTTCCTTTCAACAAGAGCCTGCTGTCTAGAGGAACGTCTTAGAGGTGTGCGTAGTAACTCCTCAGCAATTCTTGTTGCTCTGTGATGCTGCAAAACTTTTGCTTTCTCAACCAATTTCTTTGCTTTGAATATACTGTTAGAAGTGGAACTTATCTATTATAAAATTAAAATTAACCATAAACAGACCATTAGAGACAAACACTGACCTAATCCACATTATCAAAATAAGCCACTGTGTAGTGCAGCTTGTCCTGTCCTCCAAACCTGGGTGGCATGGCCTGCCAGAGAAGCAAAACATAACAGCTCATGGGTTACTGGAGGGCTGTTTTCTCCTCCAACAAGCCATGCTACCCAGGTATGCACAACATGACAAGCTATGCCTTGGTAGTGATTACAGAAATCATGCCTGGTGTATATCATGATCTAACCAAGCTATGGTGGTTTATTCTGATCATGCAAACTGGGCATACTGTGGCTTGGATCTAAAGGTGCCATTGCACAAATGGAAATTGCTCTTTTGGCTTCTTAATTTGTGCCAATTCCCCTACCCATTGCAGAACTCTCCAAAAGCTGTTTATGAGGTTAGTGGACTCTCCAGAAGAGCATGGGATGTTACTTGGGAGACTGTTGTGAAAAGCAGTCATTCTGTCCTGCATGAGCATAACCATTTTCTGCCTTGCATGAGCAGAACCATTTTCTACCTATAGAAGACATGGTGGATCCAAGATTTGTTGTTAGTCGTGTCCGACCCATCAGATCCAAGATATATGCCAATCTATAAGATCTGCTACATCTTTAAAACTGTTTACACTATAAAATGTGAAAACAAACATAACAATTCTAAAAATACTTCTCTTCGAACAAAAAACTGTTGTGTATAATCACCACCCACCCTACCCAAGTAGCTGGACTGATATGTTAAGGGCTGTTTCAGACCATATATTCCTTCAACATCTCAAAATGCAGCAAGATAAAATGAAGTCTCAGATTTGCCTTCCTTGCATCTGCCCTAGCAAAAGATCTAGTTACAGATTACAGATATGAAAATGGCATATCCTAGTTCAAGTGCTACATTCTACATGCAGTGAAAAAGAAAGAGGGCATCTATGAGTTTTGAATTGTTTACAGAATTGTCATATCATCCAAACAGCCCCTTTGTTACATCTCCCACAACATTTAAGGACTTGCAACAATGTTTTCACAATAAAACACTTAATTCTATTGCACCATCTTATTGTTCAAAATGTATTCTCAAAGGATTAATTACAATCCAATTTATTCAATACAATACCTTTACACTCTCTTGCGAAAATCCTTCAGCTGTACTAATTCGAATGAATTTCATCCTGTATAAGAAAAAAATCCCACTTAATATCAGTTCTTAAAAATAGTTCTGAAAACACATTTCTAAACAGTTTTGGAGAATAAGACAAAGTACTAAACTTGTATACAGTCAAAAAAATTACCTTATTGGACTCTTTGAATCAGAAGGTTCAGTTATAACTTCAGCTTTATACAAGTCAGTTTTATTAAAGGCTGTATTGATTGCTCTTGGAGTAGAAGCCTGTAGAAGAATAGCTCCTGGTGTGTTTTCAGCAACAGCCCCTGAAATCCTTGCTTTTTCAGCTATACTAGTTATAGAATCTTGGCTTTTCTTTTGTCGTGAACTTCTTCTCAAGCCATTGTTTTTCTGAGGCGATATGCTTTGTCTTTCACTTGATGTTATTTCTTTAATTTCACCATTAGCATTGCAGTTCTGGTTTTCATTAGTATTTAAATCATTCTCCTTTGTTTCCAAAATCACTTTCCTCTTGAGCTTATTTCTTATTCTGGTACTATCACTTTTGCCCATATTACTATGGAAATCATTACCAGCATAATCAGTTGATGCTTCAATATTTTTTTTATTATAAACATCCTCATATTCTTCCATCTCTAGTTTTAGCTCTGAAGAATTTTCTCCTACTTCTTTTATTTTACCAGCTCCCTTTTTAGTTCCATTTTTTACTGTCTCAGATTCTGGTTGTTTAAAGGCTTTCATAAACTGATACCTTTCTTCTGCAGTGCATTTTGACTTTGTGGTCTCTGAACTTGCAGTGTCTAATACAGCCAGCTCTAATTCTTCTTCTGCTATAACCACATTAGATTTTCTATTCTGACTCATATGCTCAATATACTCAAGCTCTGAAGTGGACAAAATGCTGCATCTTTTTGCTTCTTTGTTTTTTTGCTTTAAAAAGATAGAAGCTATTTTCCTAGAAGAGGGAGACTTTGGAGGGACAGAATGTATTTGTGCAAGGACAGTTACTTTCTTAAGTGGCAGCTGCTGATTTTCACAACTCATTGTTTCATCAGATACAATACTACTATCAGATGTTCGTGCTTTTGGAATATTATCAACTTTATATTCACCTTGGCTTTTTAGGAAGTCTTCAAATGATATGGTTACAGTACTACCATTTAAATAGGAAGTTTCATGTGGATTGGTTTCAGAACCCAAAACACTGCCTAAGCTTTTATTATCAGATTCATTGCTAGATGCAACTTGTTTAACATCAACTTCCTTACACTGACCCTTCTGTTGTGTTTCAGTAGAAAAACATTCGGGCATGTCCATCTCATCTTTATGTTTCCTTTTCTTTGATCTGTTTACATTCTTCTTGTTTCCATCTTGTATATTTGTTTTTCCTTCTTCATTTTTGCAACTAACGGGGTTGAGAGGGTTTTTGTTGCAAGCGTTTGACAGTTCTTTCAGATCTGTGGGGCTAAGCAATGCAGGAACACTATGACCAATTGAACTAATTCTGAATTCCTCTTCCTTTTGACTGGGCATTTTTGTACTATCACTACTATTAACTTTTACCATAAGTTTGTGCTCAGGTGTTTTCATATCTTTCAACTGATTACTTAAATTACATCTCTTTCCTCTTCTCTTAAGCCTTGACAAAGTCTTTAAAGAACTTTCCAGAGATGAACAGTTTGTTTTGCTTTCTTTCTCCAACTCAGGTGAAACAATCTTCTCATTTGTAGGAGATGCTCTTTTCAAATAATCCATTATATTGTTGGATTTTGGTGGTGACAACACACTATCAACATTTTTCCCTAATGGTGAGAAATATGTTGTAATTGCTTTCATAGAAGGTTCATCTTCTTTCCGTTTTTTATATGGCTATATGGGAAAAACAGAGTTCTGTATAAATGAACAGCTGTATTTAGATTTAATATAGTTCAAATCTTTACTTGTTTTATCTGCTTCCTTATTCAGGATGTGAATTGCTTAGTATATTTGTTATGTTTATTAAGAAATCTAGTTGCTGTATTTTTTAATGGGGCAATAAGACAGCTTCCAGATTCTATATATGTATATATTCTATATATGTATTCTATATATGTATATATAGAATACATATATTGGTAATTTACAGCAGCGTATAAAAATAAAATGGAGACTTTGGTACCTTGAAGACACTGTGGCAAGTATTTTCATGGACTAAAGCCATCTGATGGTGGGCTGTAATCTATTATGTTATTATTAATTTCATGTTTATATTACCCCATAGCTGAAGCTCTCTGGGCAATTTACCACAGACCATAAAAACAAGACAATAAAATTCAATATGGATGCCATAAAGTCTTATCAAAGAAACATTAAAAAAAAACATATGGTAAAGCAAGTTTACACCACAGCAAGTGTGTTAGCGCTTAAAGATGCCACTGGGTTTTTTTGTTATCTGAAAGGCAACAAAATACATTCTAGCTCTGCTGCATATAAAATTACCTAGCAGGGAAAGTGGAGAATGGAATGCAGCAGGGAGAAGGCAAGAGACACCATTTCCCTCCTTCTCTATCTCCAGCTACTGTACTGTTATAAACCAGTGGAAGGATGATGAAAGAACCTCTAAACTCAAGCTCTTACTTGTAATATTACATAAACTCCAATATGCAGTAGCATACTTATTTAGGAAACAATCCTATGTACATTTAAACTTTTTTTCTGGCTAAACATGCACAAGATTGTGCCCTTAGCCCCTTAATTTAAATTCCAATTCTATCCACTCTACTGAGAAACAAGTGCTACAAATTTCAATCTGGCCTACAGGGGATTACACTGTTAAAGTCTCATTAACAGAATTTTACAGGGTTGATGATGTCCAGATGACATCTTCCACTAAGAATGCTCCCAGATTTCTCCACAACTTCTTCTCTTTTTCCTCACTGCAAAATAATATTTTAAGTAAGAAAGATGCATAACATATTTTGACTTGTGTACTAGGAGCTACCTGTCTGGAAATATTCTTGAGCCTGATATTAAAATGTAATCAGCAACACTGTTATTAAAACTGAAAAAGTTTGGTCCCCTGCATAATGCAGTGTTGTTACATCCTAATATCATATATAGCTGCCCTTTGCTCTTGCAACGTCAGCCTACAAGGGGACAACTACAATCATTATCCCATGGTGAAATAAAAATTTAAATAGTATCCTAATTAAAATGAATTCTTCATAAATCTTGGATTGCAAAAAATCTGATCTAATTCCATTCATATTACCTTAAGCACCAGCACAAACCAAAGAATCATAAAGTCATATATCCAAGATTCTACAAAACTATCTTACACGATTTGACTGCAACCATAAATTATTACACAACAACAAGCAACTTCAGCTTTACAAAGCCTCATGAAAAATCATTGCTCTCAAATGCTCATTACCTGGGAATCACGAAGAACAATTAAACTGGCCATTTTATAGTATCTTGTCACCTATACAACTAGAATGACTGAAAAAGCAAGCGCAATAGCATGCACACACACTAAACTGATGCAGACTACAGTGCTTATTTTCAAGACCTCAGCTGTATCAGGTAAAACCTCAAATAAGAGCACAGCCAAAGAACCAAGAATTGGGCACAGTTGTGGGAAATACAGATCCTCATGCCAGTTCCACCTCTAATTCCATCTTGCAGAAAATAAAACAAAACACAGTACAATTCGGCCAGCTGGAGTCTAGCAGAACACTTTCTCACCCATTTCCATTCCATAACAGACAAAAGGAACTGCTATTCTCCCTGCCTTTTAGAGACAAGGTGGTATATACATTTATATAAAGCTAAGCAGTTGAAATGGCCTATCACCAAGGAAAGAGCCCTTAAGATTCCATAATGTGTGTGGAGGGGACTATATGATCGGCATACTTCCTATAACCATCGTTACAGGAAAAAAAATGGGAAGTGCAGTTGAGTTAGTTTGAAAGACTTTTCTACTGCAGCCCTCTACCTCTCTCTCACCCAGAACTGCAATTTCAAGGATTTCCTCGGGACTAAACCAGATTAATTCTACAGTGTGAACAGGATCGCAGATGGGACTTTTCTTTGAGGCCTCCTGTAGGGCGTAAAGCTTTCAAACTGCACACAAGGGGACTCTGCTGGAAACGTTTCTCTTCCCAACTTTATCAAAAGGCATGCTGCCACCAGCATCGTTTCAGAACTCCCCCAGCCGACTTTGAACTGACCGGGCCACTCTTAGCATTTGTTTCAGCACAGCTGGCAAACAAAACGCGCGGGTTGGAGAAGCGAAAAGAACGCGAAATTTACACAGGCTGAGCTTCATTTCTCCTAAGAAAGGAGACCCAGTCAGGAGCAACGGCCTGCACCTGAGGGGCGTCGTTCACCTGGGTTTTCTTTAATCGAACCTGACAGCCCTTATCCGCCCCAATTTTCCCCGACCCTTTTGATCCCACAAAAGCCGAAAGCTTCGCCCGTACCCTCACCACCTCCGCCTCTTACCTGCACGTCCCCGTCGCTTGAGGCAGCCGCCACGGCCATTCTGCCCACCATCTGCCTCCCCGTCACGGCTGGCGAGACCCTTCCTCAGCTCCAGCAGCGGCCCCTCAGCGCCATGAGGCTCCGCGTCCGCTTTCGACGCCGCCCGGCCGTTCAGCCGGTGGACTGTCAGAAATTCGCGCGCCAGACAACAATCAGGCAAACCAGAAAAGCGCGCGAGAGACGGACTCCGGGCGCGGTGACGCCAAGGAGGGCGGGGCGTGCACCTCTGGAGCGCACGTGACACGGGAGGATCCGCCTCTCCCGTGTCACGTGGGCCTTCCCAGCCACTTAGAGGGCACGTGCGTGAGTCCTTTCTCTGCCAATAGCATTTGATTGTAAGTTCAGGAAGGACTGCAGCTTTTGTGTACACATCAATAAGCTTAGACATGCAGATGGTACCAATAGGCACCAATGAATTGAAATGGCTCCTGATGAAAATGAAGGAAGAAAGTGGAAAAGCAGGACTGCAGCTGAACATTAAGAAGACAAAAATCATGGACGTGGTAGAATTACACGGCTTTGATGTCAAAAATGAAGAAATTGAGACTGTAAAAGAGTGTGCATAGCTTGGCTCAGTCTTCAGTTCAGCTGAAGAATGTAGTCAAGAAATTAGAAGAAGGCTGAGACTTGGAAGGAAGGGCAGCAAGGAAGGAAATAGAAAAGGTCGTCAAATGAAAGTCCTCTGGAAACCAAGGCAAAGATCTTCCACACCATTGTATTCCCAATCACTATGTAAGGGCATACATAGTGGTTTTACAATACTGGTTTTACCTTTGCAAAATGAAATGGAGGCCACCTCTGGGATCTAGAAAATACTACAATATCTTAGTAACTTTGTTTCTATTGGTTCATTGCTCAGTGGAGGACAGGGATTACTCTTCCCACTTCAGGCATTAAGTACACCAAAGCTAGGAAGGCAAAAGCTGCATGTCCTAGGTTAAAACAACAATGCAGCATTTTGTGGTCCCTGGAAAACCTAACACATGTATTGTGGCAATAGCTTTCCTGGACTACAAAAGTCTTGTTGTTGTTGTTTAATTGCAAAGTCATGCCCGACCCATCTTGCTTAATCAAATGAGTCGTAGCTCACAAAGCTAGTGCCACAATCTGCCATAAAAGTTGATATTTAAGAAGCAAGGTTCTGAGGCTTCTTGTCTTTCAAACTGCGTTTGGTTCGTATCAAATACCCTTCAGCACCGCTTGCGATGAAGCGACAGCCTTTAGTGATTTTTTATTTTTTTTGGAAAAAGGCAGGATCTGCAAAGATTCCAATATTCTGGCTTATTAGCAGGTTTTTTCCCCCCCGGCCCCCGTTTAATCTTCGTCAGAACATTTATATAACGATAACATCATTATACCACTGTAAAAACCAGGAAGCATTCTTTATTTGGAGGCAAGTGCTTTGCAAACCGCGTGACTTAGCCGCAGGTAAATGCTGATAGGAGCGGGCTACGCGCGCCCTCACTTTAAAAGGCAAGAGGAAGAAGGGCCCCGCCTCTTTCCGGTCTTTGCGTGTTAGGTTCCCGGATGTTGCCTGCTTCCGGGTGTGAGGCTGCTGCCAGTAGTAGGCTTGTCCGTCGCGGCCTGCCACCATCCCCGCCGGCCGACGGTAGGTTGTCCGCAGGGGAATGGACCTGGAGACGGAAGCGATGTTGCAGGAGGCTCGCGAGAGCATCGAGGCGGCGCGGACCTATCGCCGGGAGCTGCAGCAGCGCCTGAAGGGGCTGCACCTGGCCCGCCAGCAGGTAACGGGGTGGGCGTGCCTCTCCTAGTGCCTCCCTGAGCATCCCGCCCTGTGACCATGGCGGGTCTGAGCAGATGCTAAGTAAACGAAAGGGACTTACCCGGATCCCTTCGAGGCTGGGGTAGGGAAGCAAAGTTGGGGCGTGTGGCTATATCTACCCCTGTCCGGCTTGCAAGCACGGCGAGATTTCACCTTTGGCATAGTATCGCAGCTCCTGCTCAGCGTATCACTGCCAAAATGGTTTTGCCAATGTCTCACTGGCCAATGACAGTTCAGCGGAGTATTTAGTAGAACTGCGATGTTCTTTTCCTTGCAGGCTGCTGTGTCTTATAACAGTAGCCATGCAGGCAGAAAATCCACTGTGAAAGCTGGTTCCGATGCCTCTCTCTCCCCCTGAGCTCTAGACCCTGGCTGCCTCGAGTGTGGCATTGGCAGGAAGAGAGCTATCATTCCTGCAGATATCTGCTGGTGTTTGAAACATTTTAAATCGAAAGGAAGGACAGAGGAGGGGCTAACTAGTAGCAGAAAGCATGGAAGAAAATAGTGGCTGAGGAAAGCCTTTGTATGCTGGCATATAGCAATTCCTATCAGTGGACTGTTGCAACTACAAATAAAGAGTGTAAACTTTAAATGTGTGATAGGGAGAATTATAGAGCATTCAGGAAAGTAACAGACATACAGCTATTTGCAAGAAATCGAGCTCTTTCTATTCCTGTTGGCAAACAGCCCACATTGAAGTTGGCAACAACACAAGTCACGTGTGAAGAATCTGTTCAGATTATTATATTTTGAAATGATTGTGTTGCTTGTTGTGATTGTGATGAAAGTTCTAATTACCCCAGTGGGAACTAGTTTGTTATGGGTATTAGCACTTTGCAATGTAAATCTTTCTGTGCTGCTTCTGGGGACTTTTTTTAGATTTGTTTCCTAACCTGTTCCAAAGTCCGATCTTATTGCACCAATTTAAAGCCAGATTTGCTTTAGAACTCTAGCAAGTAAGTAATATATGGAATGCACTTATAAAAGGGATCTCAAAGACTCTCAAACTCACTTGTTGAAGTGAGTTTAAAACAAGTGGTTAAAGCATAATCCTATACAAATTTAGGGAAAAAAACCCAAGAAAAGGCCTACAATTCCCATTCAGCATAGCTTACATAGAATTGTACCCCACATAAGGGCAACAACAAAGGAAGAGATTGGAGCATCATGCTCCAGTTCAGAAAAAGGACCAGGACTAAGTAAAAATATGTTGTTAGTCACGAAGTCGTGCCCGACCCATCGCGACCCCATGGACAACATTCCTCCAGGCCTTCCTGTCCTCCACCATCCCCCGGAGTCCACTCAAACTCACACCAACTGCTTCAGTGACTCTGTCTAGCCACCAAAGATGAAAACCCCATGGACTGTACCAAAGTAGAAATACAGCTGACTGCTATAAAAATTATGGTGCAGAGGAAGTGATTCTCTCTCATAACATTAGAAGGCCACACATGGATAGGGAATAGAACATACATCACAGAACACGTGAATAACTTGCAAGATGTGCTACATCAAGATCTAACAGCCATTGGCTTAGATGGTTTTTAAAGGGGATTAGACAAATTCTTGGAGTGTGAATCTAACAGTGGCAGACATGCATGATGGCTAAATGAGACAAGCATGTTCAGAGACAGTGCACCACTGAGTAGCTGTTGCTGAAGGACTCCAGGCTGCACCCACTGGTGGGTACCTTCAAAGGTTCTGGTTAGATCATCTCTGGAAAACAGTGTATTGGGCCAGAGGGACCATTGGTCTGCTTCATCTCATACACATACAAGCAGTGGTAAATTTTGAAGGGCAGGTATCCATCATGGCAATTCCCCCATCCATGTCCCCATAGAAAGTACAAAAATTGTCAGGAGTTGTGCTGATCTACATCTCTCAAAAATATTGATGTTGGGAAAAACCATTTACCTCCAGCTACCATGAAGATTACAGCTAAATCCAGAGGGACCACAGAAGCTTGAGTGCCGTAACAGATGATGTTACTAACTCTGCTAATCAGTAAGCCCTGGTGCTTTGGTTATGTGAGCCCTGGCTCCACTATGCTACTATATACAATGTCTGCAGCTCAGACCAGACATATTTATTATGAAATGTCCTTTTGGTTTCAGGGATTTTCTTTCATGATGGGTGGCACTGAATTTCAGCCTTGTGCAGAATCTTAGAAGAATTATTATCACAACCCAAGGTCTGGGACACTGACTACTGGTGTGCAAAGGATGGTAGAGTAGTTTGCCCTCATTCTACAGGGCAGTATAAACTCCACTGAGAATTAAAGCACAGTGAAGGTGAAGATTGGAGAACTAAACGGGGTGGGGTGGAATTGTACTTCACATGCTTCTTGTATCCTATGCTAGGGTTATATTGCTCTAATATCCGGTTTATTGGCCATGTGTTTAGTTTAGCTCAGTGCTGTAAGTGCATATTTTAATGTCACTATTGTGAATACTTCGATTTCCATCAGAAGTGCAGCACGTGTAAACTATTGCACCTCAGGAGCTGAAAGAATGGGAAGAGAGGTCTGAAATCATGCTGCAGCACTTTTCTCAATCATTTTACTATGCTGCAGTGGACTTTACTTATGTGATAGCTAAAACTTTTTATTGAGTTCCCTAACTTGCTGGTTGTGTTCTCTCTCGATCATTAAGCACTACTGTAAAACAAAAATTATAAGCTTTGACTTTTAAGCTGTAATTGTGTGTGCCCTTTTAAGGTTACAAGAATGGCAAGATTGAATAAAACTAGGATTGCTTAATTTAGAAGAAAAGTTAGAAGATGTGGACGGCTGGCATATCCGTAGAACTCTCATGGCCTGCTTCGATGGCACATGGTTCATTGGCCTCCTTTATGAACTGGATTACAACGCTGGTGAAAGTAGGAAGAGCTGGGAGGCCTCTGCTTGGTGAGCTATGTGGATGTAGTTAACTATGGTCAGTGCTTGTATACTATGACTAGACCTGATTCTGGTCTCTGTTTATGAGGAGGCAAGGCAGGGCAAGGCAGGGCAGGGCAGGGCTTCGAGTGTGGTTAGGAGGCCTAGTGCGGAGAGTTTAATTTCGGTTGGTATAGTAGTTGTTGTTGGAGGGGATAGGGGGGTAATAGAGGATAGTATGAGGGTTGCCTAGAGCAAGTCGAATGATGGGGTTGATTAGTGCTTTTGCATGCTCGTTGATTGGCTGAATGGGTAAGGATCGGGAGTGCTTAGTTTGTGTGTAGAATATGGTTTGTAGACTGTAATTTGAGGTTATTATTGTTGCGACTGTGGTGGAAGTGAGGGCCCAGGCGTTGGTGGTTGATAGGTTGATGGCTTCGATGATAGCGTCTTTGGAGTAGAATCCGGCAAGGAAGGGGGTTCCTGTTAGGGCTAGGGTGCCAATAGTTAGGCAGGTTGAAGTGATGGGGAGGGTGGTTTTCATTCCTTCCATTTTTCGCAGGTCTCATTCATCAGACAGGTTGTGGATAATTGATCCTGAGCACATGAATAATATGGCTTTGAAGAAGGCATGTGTTGAGATGTGGAAGAATGTAAGTTGTGGTTGGTTAAGGCCGAGTCCGAGGAGGGGGAGGATGTCTGGATTGGTGGTGTAATGAAGGATTTGTTGGATGTTTCAGGTTGAGGTGTTGGTGATGAATCAGGCTATTGCTAGGATGAGTCCAATATCTCCAATCCGGTTGTAAATGATTGCTTGGATGGCTGCTGAGTTAGCGTTAGCTCGTGCGGACCATCAGTTGATGAGGAGGAATGATATTGCTCCTACACCTTCTCATCCGATAAATAGTTGAAATATGTTGTTGGCGGTGACTAGAATTATTATGGCGATTAGAAAGATTAGTAAGAGTTTGAAGAATTTGTTGATATTGGGGTCGGAGGCCATGTATCATGAAGCGAATTCTAGGATTGATCAGGTTATAAATAGGGCAATTGGGAGGAAGGTGAGTGCATAGGTATCGAAGATGAAGCTAAGGTTAATGTTGAGGTTGTTGGTTGGTACTCATTGGATGTTGGTTATCGTGGTTTCTGTTCCGTTGTTAATGTGGGAAAAGAGAGGGATGAGGCTGGTTAATCATGCTAGTTGAACAGCGGTTGTTGTGTTCAGATATCATTTTGCTTTGGAGGGTTTGGCAAGGGGAAGGGTTAGGAGGGTTAAAGTGAGGGTTATGGAGGTTAGGGTGAGAGGGTGGTGTATGTACTTTTACTTGGAGTTGCACCAAGATAGTTGGCTCCTAAGGCCAGTGGATGGCTGTTATCCTTTAAAAGCAAGAAGTCTGGGAGTTTAGTCCTAGGGTCCGTGAGTTAGCAGCTCCGGTTTGGGTCTTCTTGGTGGATAAGAAGGGGTAAGTTTCTATCTTCAGGTTCACGGTCTGGTGTCTTAGCTTATACTCACCTAACAATGTGGACATAGTTTAATAAGTTCTGGTTTAGAGATGAGTAAGAGGAGGGGAGTTAGATGGAGGGTTATTAATAGATGTTCTCGGGTGTGGTTAGGGGTTAAGATGATATTGGGGGGTAGTTTGGATTTTTTGGTTATAAGGAAAATGTGAAGGGTGTAAGATGCTGTAAGGAGGGTTCCTGTGCCTGTTAGCATGATTGTGAGGGGTGATCATGAGAATAGTGAGGTGATGATAAATACCTCTCCCATAAGATTGATAGATGGGGGTAGAGCTATGTTTGCAAAGCTTGCATAGAGTCATCAGAGAGTTGTTAGGGGGAGGATGATGTGTAAGCCACGGGTGGCTAATATGGTTCGTGTTTGTGTCTGTTCATAGTTGGTGTTTGCTAGACAGAATAGGAGAGATGATGTTAGTCCGTGAGCGATTATGAGGAGTATGGATCCTGTCAGTCCTGGGTTGGTTTGGGTCAGGATTGCTAGGCCTATGTGGCTAACTGATGAGTAAGCGATTAGAGATTTTAGGTCTGCTTGTCGGAGGCATGTTAGACTAATTCTAATAATGCCTCAG